AATAATTGTACAATATAGACATAACACTTACAATAAGGTAGGTTTACTATTTTCAAGGAATTATTTCGTTACTTTTTAGTGTACTGTTTTCTTAATGAACGTTGACATGCGCCTCGTAATGACCGGCACATTCCCTTTGATCAATGTTTCGAATTTTTTGAGCAGGTTTTTGACGTTACCTAAAGAAGAATTTTTAGATGTAGGCACAGAATATCTTCAGTATTAAGTTACAAATTGGTAAAACAATTGCAAAGTTACAAATTGCGCCGATGCTTCTGGAGCAGGATAAAGAGAAAGATGATAATGAAATTGGCAAAAAATGTTTACTGTCATATAACTAGATATCTTTAATTTCTAGTCTCAACAAATTCTTTACTAATTATGTAGTGAATCTCCTTCAAAATCAATTAATAAAATATGTCGCATTCAAAAATTGTAACTATAGACCGTTAACTGCATTACTGTTACTGGCTATATAATGTAAAAATTGCAAGTAACCATCTATCACAATAGGGCTGTCAATAAAAGTTCATCTAAGCAAAAAAAATGTATTTAATATTACACTTGTGCGTTATTAATGAGGTAATCATGAATATGCATAACCTTTTTTGCATAATCGAAAATTCTGCTTTGATTGTATTGAATTTAATAACAAAGGACATTTAACCCTTTAACCGATAACCCTTCTACAGATACAATAGATGATCGAATTTATCGATTCAGGTCGTTATAAAAATGAATATTCAAAAGCAACAATTAGAATAATCAATAATGTATGTATTCTGGCTGCAATGTCATCTCTCTGTCATTAGTGCGTTTCCTTACAGTCTTTTATCTCTGGCACACCCATTTTATTGAAGGGTTAAGGGTGAAGTGTTCAATAGATATTGACAACTGGATGAATTGCCTAATTTTTTCCATGTATAAAGATGTTATTCTTGATTTCAGCTATATCATATATTATGTTAAAGCTATAAAACTGCGTGTATACGCATCAAGCTGGTCTTGTACCTTCGGAGGGTAAGCACAACACATAGCTCTTCCATACATTTCTATCAGCCGTATCCACTCCTTTTCACACAATCCATCCATACATTCTTCGGTCTTCCTCTACCTTTGTAGCCATCGACATTCAATCTTAGTACTGCGTTATACGCCATGTCACCAAAATACGACAGTAATTCTTAAAAAAAAAAATAAGTGACTTAAAAAGTGTACCCAAGTTACTGCTTTACATATAAATGTAATAATAAAAGTTGAACTGATAAATAGAAAAATTAGTAATAAAAACATGTCTGGTTTTGATTAGTCTATGATTGTTTTGATCCCTATCCCATTTTGATTTCAACTTCCAATTTTGAAAGGGAAAATAAAACCAAAATAAAACATGTTTAAAACATTTTATTAATGCAAATAGCAAAATACAACGCCGAATTTGTTCAGACTTTTAAATTTACAAGAGTATAAGCAAAATAATATTTAAATGCAAAACTTAAATCTAAAGTTTTGAGATCCAGTCTTGTAGGGCCTTTATGTCAGTAGGGTTGTCGTCATCAGCCGTGTTAGCCGAGCACTCGGCTACGTCAACACGACAGCTGAGATGAGAGAACTCAAAGTCCTTGCCGAGTTTGCCGAGGTACACTGAACTGGTTGACTGGTTCGGGTCTACTGATTGCAACTGATTGGATTTGGTCACTCGTACCAAGTTACTGAAAACAAAATACACATTACTATTTTAAAAGGTTTTATGAAACATACTCTATTGGTCAAGCCTTACAATTTAAATAATCTTGCTTGTTAATAGATTAATATGAAAATTGGTACACATAATTAATAAAATGTCAAATACAAAAGAATTGGTAGTGAAATTAATAGTGGTAGAGTCTGCTTTAACATCTTCGCACTGCAGGGTCGGCTGGCACAGTGTAATACCACGACCACACAAGACAGGCGTCAAGTGGAAACAACTCCGCATTTGGTCTGATGAGTGTGGTGTAGGAGCTCTAATTTTAGTTCTTTTCCCTTTCCACCCTTTTCTTAAATGGATTCAGGTGGCTGCTTGCTCATTTGCCACCTTATATTATAAAAAAAAATAGCAATATTGACTGACCAGCTATCATCAAGTAACAATAATGTGAAGAATTGTGGTTTTTAGCTTTTTCAATAGTAGAACTAACACTTTAACAATAGATGGCTTGTTTCCTTCTGTAATTATACTACACAAGCATTCAGCAGTGAAGGGATTTTTTTTCTATAAATAAAAAATTTAAACGCCACATGTGTACTTACAGTTCTTTTTCCAATAAGCTCTTTATAACCTGACTTCCTTTTGCCATCGGCTGATCCTGCTTGTTACATAATATTAGGAGAGGAGGGCAGTTGCTCTGAATAACAGGGTCCAAGAGAATTGTATACAAATATCTGAAAAATGGACAATGCCTTTAAACAAAGAACTCCCAATAAAAAAAAAGTCAGCCAATGAGAGATGCTATTACAGTTAGTTCTGTATATGTAGTTAAGAAAATTAAAAGAAATATGTCAAGACCACTGCAGTGATAAGGCAAAAGTCAATTGTCATAATTTAGTTTAACTTTGGCTACTAGATTAAATAACTTTGCCTTTCTAAATCTGTTTCTTCAGAAAATGGTATGTTGTGTGGCTGTGAATATTTACAATTACATTCTGACAATTTCAATATAAAATAACTAGTAAACACATGTTCAATAGTATTTCTAGATTTCTTGATGTTTTTAACTTACTCTGCAACATCTCGTATCTCCTTTTGTATAGTCACAGAGTCGACAACATACACAATAGCCTTTGCACTATTCTTGTACTGATCAAAGAACTTATTTCTTAGCCTCTCTTGACCTGGCAGGTCTACAATCTTCAATGTTTTCTGAAATTATAAAAATATATGCTTAATATACCTATTTAAATGTTTATACTTTTATTTCAATACAAGGAAATAGTCTTTGTTTATAACCATGTGTTTGTGAAATATAGTACATAAAACTCACATTAGAAGTGAAATAATCCTCAACATTTTCCCTCATAGAAGTGAATGTCTGTCTATACTGTGAGTATGCCAATCTCACAAACAGCAGCGTTTTCCCAGAATCCGACAAACCAGTGAGAAGAACTGATCTTCGCAGATGTCGGCGTCGTGAGAAACACCACCAAAACACTGTAAAAATCAAAAATTTTATATTAATAAAACATAAAGTTTGATTATTGCTACTGGTTCATGTTACAAATCTTGAAATACTTACAAAATGTGAAAATAAGTACTATAACACTCAGTAAGGTTATGTATCTTGGGTCATTCAATATAGGTTCTGTGTGAATTTTTTCCTTAATAACTTCTGATTCCGATTCCATAATTGCTTTTTATAATATCTTCTTTAACTAAATTAAACTTTTGCAAATACAATATGTTTTGTCTCCAATCATATGACGTTGCGTGACAATGATGTGACGTGACAAAACAATTGACTAAAGTGACAAAAAACATGTCAAATGCATTTGACGTTATTTGTTTCGTTTAGAATTATTAGGAATTTAGGAATATTCTTTAATACATTTTTTAACAAAACATTTTCAAAAATTATTAACTGTACTGAAATAAGGAACACTACTGATTGGTACACTACTTTTGACGGATAAGAAAATGCATTAAAAAATTTACATTTTAAACGAGCATTGGCATGTGTCAAACTCTTAACCTGTCACTGTCATGTCAATTTTATCTCAGGTTATCAACTTGTTATCAACATTATCGTATTTAAATAGTGTTATAAATTGTTTTTGTTAACTTAAATCTAAATATCTCGTTTCTGATAATATTTTTAACAACTCTAGTGAACAATAGCAATTATTTAGATAAATGTTACGTGAGAAAAATTTTAAAAAATCTTTGATACAAAAAATTAATTATCCTATAATCGCAAAGCGTACAAGCTCTTTTTAATAGTATTGTCAAGCGCATGGGTATAATTCGTCTGCGAAACTTACTCACGAGAAAAGACCTTTTACGCAATATGAGTATCGACATTGGAGGTATTGTGATTTTTTTCATGTTTACTTGTTACTCCCTAATTTGCATATTAATAACGTATTTTCTTTTTAAGGTATGAGAATTAAATATAAAGATAAGGATGATACATTCCTGGAGAAACATTTAGTGTCTAAAGAACCATTTGGGCAATTTAAAGCATGGTTTGAAGAAGCATGTAGTAGGAAAGAAATTTTAGAACCCAATGCAATGTGTTTGGCCACTGTATCAAGGTATATTATCTTATATTATACTCTTCTTCTTATACTTATACTTATACTCTAAATCATACTAACATAAATGTATATTTGCAGAAATGGATATCCATCCGCAAGATTTGTATTATGCAAAGGTTATGGTAAAGATGGATTTAAATTTTTCACAAATTATGAGAGCAGAAAAGCTAAAGAGATGGTTAGTTAAACTTTTCGCTTGAATACTACAAATAGATATCTATAATAATATAAAGGAGAAATATGGGCCAATCACAAAAAAGCATTACAAATCCTTCTAAAGTCTTCAATGCAAACTAAAGGGAATATGTAATAAGCAAGTGCACGTAATCAATTCATGATTATTGTGTAGATAAATAAATGTACATAAACATCATAATTAAAATTTCAGAGTGAAAATCCAAATGTAGCAGCAACATTTTATTGGGAGGTCTTAAATAGATCTGTAAGAATTGAAGGTTATGTAGAAAAGCTTTCTGAAGAAGAATCCACTAAGTACTTCCATTCAAGACCAGTCCCAAGTCAAGTTGCAGCTTGTGCGAGCTACCAAAGCACACCAATTGAATCAAGGGATGTCCTCTGTGAAAGAGAGAGAAAATTGGAGGCAGAATACATGATACCAGAGAAAGAAATTCCTAAGCCAAGTTATTGGTGAATACACACTTTTTATTAAATTTTTCAGTCCAGTACTTTTTGAATTAACTCATTATTGCATTATCATGGCTATTACTCACGTCTATTTTTCTAGTGGAGGCACCAACTAGTATCAGACAACTATCAAGGGTCCATCTTCAGAGCGAGTGTTAATGGGGTTGTTTCGCGGTCGCGTCGCACCACGCACTGACTCAGTCAAGATGGATCAGCGATGGGTTCGATACTAGTCGGTGCCACCGCCGGAAAAATAAACGTAATTGCCGTTAAATAATTATTTATAATTATTTCTCACAAACATTTAAATAATTTGAGTATTTCCTCATTATGTTAGTATAGATAATGGAAGAATGTTTTCAGGGGTGGTTACATAATACGTCCCAGAGCTGTAGAGTTTTGGCAAGGCCAACGGGATCGACTGCATGATAGAATAAAGTTCAGAAAACCAACAGAAGGGGAAGTAGTTGATGGAAAACTGCTTCATGAAGGGGATGATGGTTGGGTTTATCAGAGATTATCACCATAAATCATGAAAAGAATAATTATGGTAAGAGATATTGATGTCTTCCATTTTGTTATTTTACATAATAATAGAAAAAATTAGGTCACAATTAATGTTAAATTGTTAAAGATATAATGCAATCATAATTTTAATTTTTAAATAAAACAAATGCACTTCTATATTCTTTTTATTTTTAAAATTTCCCTCTGTATACCACCAGAACTTTTCCATACAACTTCGCTATTTAATAGACCAGTTTTTTGTATGTACATTTCGAACTGTCTCATTCCTCCTCCGACACCAAAATAACATGTTTTTGCTCCAACATATGCACTGCTATCTTTGCTTAACCTATTCAAGAATATATTTGTAAGTTTCTCATAATTTTTCTCATTATAAATTGTTTCTGAGGTTAAAATAAAATCATAAACATCAGTGTTTGTTAATTTCTTATCAAATGATGCCCAATCTCCGGAATAAAATTTGCATTTTTTTATTATCTCCTGTCTTTGTTCTTTTTCAATGTTTAGAAGCACACTTGGTATTGTAACACACTCTATTATTTCCTTGTTCTGTAAAATAAAACTCAATGACATATTGTTTTAATATTTACCTATAAAAGGTATTATTTAAAACAAATCATTAACTTGTTATGCTGCACTCAATTGTATGATAAAATTACATTCATACAAGCAACATAAATAGTAAATTAACACTTAAAATATTCCTCTGATATTTTATGTGCTAATTTACTGTTTAAAGTATTTTTTTACTTGCATACTTTTGTACATTCCAATAATGAAAAATTCATCATCTACTTACATAATCTTGAAATGTTACTATTGAGTCATTTTGTAATGCATAGATACCCAGGATGCCTACACCACATCCTAAATCTAGTACTTTCGCTCCTTTAAAATTGATATCTGTATCTATTAAATACTTAATAATGTCACTTGTGCATTCCCACACTTTAAAACCTCCTGGAATACAATAATAGCGATCATAATTCAATTTAACCTCACCCACATTGTCTATATTTATGTGTATAGAATGCTATTGAATAACAAAATACTTGTAACTTATTAAAAAAATACATACAGATGGGGCAAAAGTAATAAAAAAAGCAAGTACATATGGTAAGATAAAATCTGTTTACATAAATAATAAGCTTAAAAAGATAAGTGAAATTTTACAATTCTTTCTTAGGTTGAGGGAGTAATGAGGTATTTGGAACAAACCTTCATATTTGCCAGCAATCAAATCACTGTGCTCCTTTTCAGCTAATTCTAATGCATTAAATTGATAATCTCCACTAGAAAATAGTTTATCACAGCTACTAACATGCCCTATTTCAACATCATCGCATACAAACATCTTTGCATGAACCACAATATCGTCTAAATCATCTATTTGCTTGTTCGGTATAATCTCTTCACATTCAAACCACTTGATTTCTTCATTTTTATCTGTAACATTATTTAATCCAAATTGAAACAAACACTTTTACTTAGTTTAAGTACATTTAAAAATTAATTTGCACACTCATATGAACATTTTGTTGACAAAATAACCTACAGTGCACGTTTATTATGTTTGATTTCACTTTAAAAACATCCATTCATTGAGATTAAATAGCAATCATTTATTACCCTCTGTTTTTTCATTGTCCGAAATACCCAAAAAATTAAATTTAAAAGTAGACATTGTTTAATTCATAGATTCGTCATAAATTTCAATTTCAATATAAAATTAAAAATTGTGGGACGATTGAGGTCAAATGTCACTCTGACAGTGACGGCTTAATAACAAAGAATAATGTCTACAAAATTGGCAAAGAGTACGTTTTAGAAATAATTTCGTTTAAAAACAATTCATAGCTTTTCAGTTAAACGGATCTATTTCTATGTTAAATGTATTTACCAATTTAATCCTTTTTTGTAACCAAGATTGCTATTTTCAATACTATTACTAAAATATTAAATGGTACAAATAGCATTGTACTGTGTAGAACCACAAATTATAAAAATAGAAGACGACCCACGTAACCGAAGGTCAACATTCCCAAAACAAGTCTCCCTTGCTTTCTTTCGTTGAAAGAACGACGATTTCTCTTTGTTTATTTTAGCAGCCGCTAAAACTTCCTACTGTTAATAACTTAATATGTTATTGATGTTTGCAAAGTGAAAAGAAAAAAGTAATGATGAAAGTTAATTCCCGTTATGATTTTTATTTCTGTTTTTATAAATAAAAATCTGTTACAGATTATTCTTATATAAATGCATTTAAAAATTAATAAAAGCAGACTTTGAATGCAAACTTAATTATTACCTATTTGATCTCACATCATAGTCATAAAATATTTGAAAGACATTTAAAAAAAATTAAAAAGTATGTGAACAATCTTACTGTCACCGATTGCGCTTAATTTTAATTAAAATGGAAAATAATAGTACTTTAGAAAAAATCTTAGACGTGGTAGGATATTTCTTTCTTTTGATATTTTAATAATTACAGAACGTTTCAATATAAACTGTGAACGCATCCGATTTATACACTTATACATTCATTCAAGCGCACACCGAATTGTAGAACTTAAGTAAAGAAGTTTCGTGAATTTCAATTTACTTTATAACTTAAGGGATTTAAGTATACTTGGTCCCAATTAAAACATCTTAAAATAATGACAGACGTTACGAAAAAGGTAATCCGTATACCTACATTATATTGTTATTTTCCTTTAAATTTTGACACGAGTGGTGAACAGTGAAGTGACCGAGCAGGCAGCCGAGTTTTGCGTTAAAGTATACGTCTAAGTTCTGTTAAAATTCCAGTTTTGTAAAGCTTTTGATACGAATTACCATTTTAGATTAAATTTTTGTGGTGACTTATAAGTTAAAAGTAAAAGTCAACATAACCTCAATTGAGCAGCCATGGGTCTCGGCGAAGCCAGCGTTGTATGTGACGTTTACTACAAATTGATATTATAAATGTTTTTAAGTATCTTACGCCTTATGAAATGTTGTTTTCCAGGTCCAGGAATACAAAGACTCCTTGAAGCAGAAAGCTGAGCACTTAATTATAAAAGGATTTCCAGAAAAGATAGTGCTGTTAAATGAGCTGTTAGAAACGTCAAACTTTCAAAATCGTGATTTAGCAGATGTCCATCAGGTAATGGCTTCTTCTTTTTTTACCATTTGGTATTATATTACTCGTCTAAAAACATAAACTTTTAACTGAGTATATTGCTTATGAACGAAATGCGCATATTTATACGTGTAAGGCGCCATTAAACGCTTACGAACGAATGCTCTGCAGCAGCATAGCAACAGAATAAAATTATTTTGAAATACGACTGTTGCAATTTACGATTATTTACTGCAAATATTAAACGTTAAATATTTAAAATAAAAATACTATTGCAAAAATAACTAAAATGTCTCTTCTAAAATTTCAAAATATTGTATTTGCATATTTTTGTTCATAAAATATAATTTTAATAGATTACTTAATATTAGAATTATTTTTCTAACTTAATAATTAAGCATAGTGAACATTGAGAATTTTCTTTTCACAATGAGATTTTACTGCACAGCCAACTCACTTTATTTTTTTTCTTCAATTACTTGTTAGAATTATAAAATGTCTACGGTCAGCATAGGATAACAGAGTGTCCCACAATTCCCACAACACAGATTACATACTGAATGTATGAATTCTAATCTTACTAGTAACTTAATATTATAAATCTGAAAGTATAGATGCATATTTGTTATCTAGATGTTGAAGTTATCTCTGGAAAGTTTTAACAGATCTTGATGTTTGTCATAGATCTAAAACATAGCCCAGATGGACCATTTGGCTATTTACTTTTATTTTTTAATTCTTTTCTATTCCAGGACTTAAACATTCCAGTTCCACAGCCAATAACATTGAATGAGCCAAATGCAAAGCGTGCAAGAGTAGATTCATCTGACAATTCCAGCAATTCCACAATAGATGGCACAAAAGTGTTTGCCTTGCCAAATGGAACTGTACCTTGCAATAAACCACTCAGCGACCTTATCCATTTAGTTAAGCCACACATCAGAGAACTGGTCGAGGATTCTAATTTGGTAAGTACATTTAAAAACCCATTTTTCTCAAAATTATGTTAAATTTAATCCTAAGATTTAATTTTAATTATGTTCTTTTATTATTAGTCAATTAACAGTCCAGTTTTTAGCAAGTATGTATGAAAATGGATGGATAGAATTATGAGATTATAGACTTTAATTATTTAATAGTCTTTTTTTTTAAATACAGTTGGAAATTGTGTTTAACTTTCAATGTGAATGGTCTGTACAAACATAGGAATCACCTGTAGTTAATTTTGCATTTATTAAACAAAGTTATGTCTATTTAAAATCATTTTATAGTGATAATTAATAGTATTTTGCTATTCAATCTATCTTAAACTTTTCTAAAACAATTTCAGCTGAAAATGTGGATTTCATTTATGATTCCAAAAATAGAAGATGGCAATAACTTTGGTGTGTCAATACAAGAGGATACGCTGGCTGAAATTCAATCTGTAGAGTCGGAGGCAGCTGCATTCTTTGACCAAATCTCTAGATACTTCATTTCAAGAGCAAAGATTGTTTCCAAAGTCGCTAAATACCCACATATTGAAGATTACAGACGAGCAGTCAGAGTAAGTCTTATAATTTAATATTTTATGTACTACATATTGTCCACGACTCTGTTCGCGCGGAATTAAAAAAAACTTCTACATCTATGCCAAATTTCATTGAGATCCATTGAGTCTTTGTGGAGATTCATTCTAACAAACATCTGCCTAGGCACATAAATTTGTACTCTTGTATGTAATGAGTAAACTAAAAACTACTACCTAAAAGTCTACATTATCACTTAGTAATAAGCTATTAGGATAGTATTACTACTTGAATTTTTACTTTGCGGACAATTTTCCGAGCAAAAGCTAGGAGTTGTATAATTTAGACTATTCTCAAATTAGCTCTAATTCTTTTCACTGAGTGGGTCAATATAAGCTATAGTATAAGCTGAAGTTTGCTATTCTAATCTATATCTATACTAAATTTATCTATACTTATGTAGTTATATCTATATCTATATTCTATACTATTATAATAAAGCGTAAACACACACTTCTTTGTTGCCTAAGATGTCAGCAATTACAATATATTTTTGAATAACCCTTTTTTTATTTTTTTATAACTAGGGGTAAATATTTTGGATAAAAACCCTAATGTGGGAAAGAGACCATAAGTTGATGCCAATATCAAGGAAGCAAGGTTGTCATCATGTCATGTCGTTTTGACATTTGTAATTTGACAAATGTAAACAATAAAATAAAATTTTATAATTTCATGCGGATGGGAACAGCTAGTTACTAATAAGGAAAAAAGTGGTCTTTAAAACTGATAGGCCAATTCTAAAACTTTTCCACTAAAAAAACTACTTTATTACTAAGTAAGATAGGCCATATTTAGTTTTTTAAATTCCGCGAGATCGAAGTTCTATGTACTTGTTATGGATGGATGGATGAATAACATAATTATATGTTCCAGGAATTAGATGAGAAAGAATATTTGTCACTTTGGCTTGTGATGTGCGAGATCCGCAACCGCTACTGCTCCTTGCACGACATCGTCATCAAGAACTTGGAGAAGATCAAGAAACCACGTTCATCGAATGCCGAATCACTTTATTAGCCAGTAAATCTCAATTAGTACTATTGCCACAAGGTTTCCTTGTTATTTAAGTATAAAAAACAACATTTTTGTTTCCCAATCACGAATTGTACATAATTACTAAGAAGTATTCCACATTTTAAGCACAATTGGTCTTTTCGAGATCTGTTGCTGAATTTTGACAGTTTGAAATAGTGTTGTTGATGAAAGCCAATGTAATGTTATTTAACTATAATGAAAGCCATTTCTAAGCATTAGACATTTATGATACATTATCCATACCAATGTTCTTTCTACCCTCATGTAGTTTAATTCTATCAAACTACCCTCACAACATTTTTATCATAACATTAAGTGCTGTGCTCTTCAATGGTGAATTTCGGTTAAGATCTACCCTACCATTTTTAGGTTATATTTTTTGAATTCAAACGGTTTCTTAACAGAAAGATTTGCACTTGTTACAATATCTAGACGTGTTTAATTATTTTCACAGAATAAAAGCATTAAAATGTATAATTCCGATTTTGAACACCGTTTACCCAAAATGTCGTCTGTCAAGATCTTAATTTAAGCGTAATATAGATTGAAAAAAAAAATCGTTTATATTCTGTAAGTTAAATAGTTTAATTTATTGACACATGAGAAATTTCTGTTTGAAGTGCCTGAATATAATAAGTTCCAATAAGGATGGATGTTGTGTAATCTATCCTTGTATTTCAATGGATTGGCTGTATTCGGCGAATTATATAAAAAACTGATTCAATACCCAATTTAATAATAAATGCATTTGTATAAATGTAGTTTCAATTTATACCCAAACTGTATTCCTTATTGTAGGGTTTCAAATATCTTGCTTCAAAACATCTCACAAGTGCATTAACGCCAAGATATTTGAAAGCGTGTATTACACGATTTACTTTTGCTTTTTTATAATAAAAATAAAACAAATTGATGAAAGACAAACCGTTGGTTTCCACAGCTACTGTACAATATATCATGTAATCAATTCTTTAATTTTCTATGAAAAACTAATGCAATGTGTGTCTACAGTGAAAACTCACTGTTACGTGTTACATGTAGCGGCTCTCATTTCGGTTTATTTTAACGTTTAAAAGTTCAGACAAGCATTCATTCCCTTTCCCATTTCCTTTAAAGGAAATTTTAAAAACTAACATGATGAAAGTAATGAGGTTTTCTTAATTTCTTTGAACTCCGCGTTATTTTAAGTCTCCACCTGGCCAGTAAATGCAACTGAAACATTAACAAAAAATCTCTTCATATTTTGACATATGATTTTCTTTTTGATAGTCATTGACAAATATACTTTAGATGGTCGATGGCATTTTAATAAGCCTTATAATAATTTTTATAATAATCTTTATCAATGCAATATAATTTTTGAGAATCATGATGAAAAGGGATCTATACAGGGGCAACTTCGGCGACAGCGAGCAAAATGCGTCGGAATCCAATTTGAAGTGTAAAAAATCTAACCATATTTTCAACGAGGCCGGAGAGAACATACAATATCACAGTGATTCCGAATCACTGGGCTCTAGGAAGAGTAAGACCCGTTACGTTAATCCTGCTATTTATATAGAGCCTGTGGAATCTTCGAGATCTGCGACTTCTCTGCAGACAGATTTATCATGTGTCGAAGATGTGACTCCGCATCCTCACAGCACTTACAGGAGTAACTCGACTCCTTTCCTCTCCGGTCGCGTATCTACCACATCCTCTGGTAGTGTAAAGAGGAAGTCCTGCCGTCTGGCAGCACACGATTACGAAGGTCAAATCGACGAGGATAATACGCCAAGGTTCGGACGGACATATCGCGAGGAAGCCGCGGATACTTTCCGCTTGTCGGTCACATCGCTTTCCACTACGACCACGGCGAAGGAAGAACGGGAACAATCGGAGAAAAAGAAGCAAGAGGCATTTCAACAGTGGCTTAAGAAGAAAGAACAAGAGGTATGTGCTTTTCTGCTACCTAATACAAAGAAGTTTTTAACCGGGAATCCTCAAGCACCTAACTTATGAATTGGATTCCGATTTGTACCAGTTTTTAAGATCGAGCACAATAATATAACTGGTCTAATGCAATTGTTGGTTTTCTTAATACGAAAAGTCATCACTTTTAGCTATAGACAATCACAGAATTAACTTATTTAATGATTCAGAAACGTGAAAAATTGCGTTTGGAGACATTGAAGCGTCAGGCGGCGCCAAAAATAACGCAGCAGCAGCGCGAGGAATCGTTCCGGCGCTGGACGGAACGTAAGCGTCTGCAGATGGAGCGGCGCCGTGCGGACGATATCATGCGCAGGTTCGCGCAGAGCGAGCATCTCGAGCGCGAGAAGGAGAAGCGCGAGAGGGAGAAGCAGGAGAAGTTGGCGGACTGGATATATAAGAAGGAAGAGGCGATGAAAGGTTGTATAGTCCAAATAATTGTGGGACAGTAAACGTAAATAGTTGATGAATGAACTGAATGACGTGAAGATACTATAAAGTGTTAGGAAGAAAATCAGTATTGCGGTGGAGGATTGGCGCAACACTAGATTATTGGCATATACGTCCGTCCCTATCTGACTGCTGTCAATGTCATTTAGACGTATCCGTATAGCGCGCCATATCCGGCGGGATAAGTGGCTCTGTGTGTTTGAGTTAATTACTATAATACAATTAAAATCATCTCTAATAATAGAAAGACCTTTGGTTATTATGATTTATTTTATATAATGTATAGCAATGAAGACACGCGAAGAGCGACGTGCGGCGCGCGCTGCTATTGAAGAGCAGCGGCGACGCGCACAGGGCGAGCGAGCCTACCGCGACTGGCTGCGCACCAGCAAGCACAAGCCGCTGCCTGTGCCCCTTAACCAGGGGGAGCTTAGTAAATTATTTTATCTACCCTATAGACAATCGAAAGTAGCTTTGCCACAGATATGGCAGCGTCAATTCTCACGACTTCAGAGTCCTTTGAGCGATAGAAAATATAGTGCATAGATATTTTGGCACCCGGTAATTTTGTGGACAAAAAAATGTCAATTGAGCGTCAGGGTGATTTTGTCATGTTTTTACATTCAACAATTAATTTACTTCGAGTGCTTTACGCATTTTGTCTGCTTTTTGAATGTAATTCAATGAAAACAACATGATAGTGGCTAAAAGTAGTGAAAGAGATATTGTTTTGAAAGTGGGAGATTTTATGTTGCGGAAAAGAAGCAATGCAATACAGTAATTACACTACAAAATTTAAATCATCATATGCCTGTTGCAATGCAGAACTATAGTAATTGGTAATTTTAAAACCAGTCTATAACTAATGGTTTCGTTTCTAGGTATGCGCGGATCTGTGTCACAGATGTACATAAACCCAGTTCCATGGAAATCTGAGGTTTGAAGATTACGAGATTGAAAGTAGTTTGTTAATTTGTTTTAAAGTATTTATTTTTTTCGTCATCGTGTCTGTCGTCAAAATCGTCAACATTTACGTATAATTTTAGATTCATGTTGACTTTTCGAACGATAATTTTATCCGTACTTGTATTGTTTTTGGAAGTGATGTGTTTGTGTAAAATTATACGAAATAAAACAAGTTTGTTGGTTTGAAACTGCTTTTATTAATAACTATAAGGGTCCCTATAAGTTAAATCTGTATATATATAATTTAGTACAAAAACTTTAAGCGTACTATTTTTACAACATACATAAAATATCAAGGAAATAAATTATGAATACCAAAAATGCATTTCCTTTTTTTTTTATCATACAATTAGTAGAACCCATAATTGTGTATAAGTGAATTATTGGCCAAAGAAATTATTAAAAAAGAACTTGAAAGCGAAGAACATATCCTTCTCTACCATTTATTATTAATTATTCGTAACTAAAAAAATAGCCGCTATTAAAAAAGTGCACAACTTCAAATCGATTTGTTGAAAAGATAAAATGGGCTCACAAACTTCAATACTTATTGTAGAAAGACGGCACTGATCATAATCGTGTATTTACACTTACGTATTTCCTTGTTTAAAGTGTAATTTAATACTTTACGTATTACAATTTGATTTCATCGATACTTTTCTATTATAGAAAAGTACAGCTTCACGTTTAAAAACTAGCTGCCTTTCAAGTTACAAAACTACATTCATTTGTAAGGAATATTAATAAGCTTCCTCTTCTTCTTTAAGTCTTAGTATATCTGATTTGTTCATGAAGTAATACGATGGTTGTCGTCCCTTCAAATCCTTTAGTACTCGCTTGGCTCCGGCCCGGATTAGCACTCTACTGAGGGATTCTATTTTATCAACTCCCATTGCGTAGTGTAGCGGCGTACGTTCCAACTAAAAAAGTTACAAGAAATTAAGAGCATTGCCAGGGCTGTCCCAAACATTAGGCGCTTGGTTGATAAAAACAATATGGCGCCCATAAGTAGCTAAAAGTAGTACGTTTATTGACTAGGCATGTAGGAGCCTAGGGAGCTTCTAAAGCTCGGTTCGCACCCCCAGACTTGAACATAATTTCTTGTTGATGATCTTACATTATCCCCGATGCGTAGTAACTCAGGGCATGTATCAGCTAGATAGGCGACTACGTCTTCATGCTGAGCCAACACCGCGATGTGTAGCGCCGTCCTGCCGAATGCGTTGTGAGCGCGGGCTAGTGTGCTGCCGCCTTCCGCGGACACTATGTCACGAACGACGGCTAAGTCACCGCGACGAACCGCACTATGGAGAGTCTCTCTTGATTCCTTCAGAAAAAGTTCGATTAAAAAAACATACAGACGACTTGAGTACCTCCTTCTTTTGGGAAGTCGGTCAAAAAGTAAAATGAAAATATTTGTGTACATACCTCAAAACCGGGTATCGAAGCTAGAAGATTGGTCATTTCGGTATCACCACGCTGTGCGACCACTTCAGTAATGTTGACCCCTCCATCCGCGATGTCCAGTATATGGTCGTAGCCTTGCAACAACAGCTCCATTATTTTGTCACTTTTACCTGGAAAAATGTTACCATGAGTTTCCATAGTCAACACTCATGAAACATATTGTCATCCCTATCATTCTTTAAAATGTATTTCCTTGCCTCTAGCAGCTAAATGTAGCACCCATTTATCAATTTCGACCGTATTCTCTGGCACGTTGGCTTGTATGGAAACATCTCTCGCGGTGCGGTACAGCTCATCGCGGTAGCCCAGGCTGACGTCAGACTCCTGGAGCAGCTGGAATAGCGCGTTGTTGGCATGCGTCCGCGCCGCTGCGAAGTGCAGCATTGACTGTCCGTGTTCATCCTGGTAGATTTAATGAAGAAATTTTATTTTACCTCTGTTCAATATGAAAGTATGAACATGTAAATCTGGTTTTACTGCCTATGGTCACTTTATCGTGCTAAATATACAATAACGACACGATATCAATGTACGCACTCTCTCTGCACTGCTCTGCGCGATCTCCGGTGCATCAGGGTTGACTTCTAGCTTGGGCTCCAGCGTGATGACGTCAATGGGCCGTGGCCGCGTGGCTGTTCGAGCTGCACTGCGGATTCTCTGCGGTACCGGAGTTTCAGGTCCCTGTGGAGGTGGCTGGTCGTTCTCCACTTCCGCCGCTTCACTTGTCACCACTACGTTTGACTCCTGAACAAAGAATTTGAACGAAATAAATAACTATAGAAAATAGGAATACTAATTCAGTACAACCATCGCAAATTCGGAAACTTACAGCATTCAATATCTAGTAATTTAGAAAGAAGTAAATGGTCATGGTTTTCTCCATAATAATTTAGTGAAAGAGAAATATATAGCCCTCTGTTTAAAATCTTCAAGAGATAAGACACAAGCTCCCATATTATACATATATGAGCAGTCCCTATTAACCTTGATTCTACCCTAGGAAAAGCTTCGTCGTCAAAACTGAAAACATACCTGAGTATTCAGCCGGGTCTTTTCGTTTTCGGGGAAATTATGTAGAAAACTTGCAAGATACGCGACGGGATCTTTGGGCTTTACGTTCGCCACTTCGGTAAGACCTTTGATCAAAGGATCTCCGAGAGCTGTAAATACATCTGTGTGAACATCCTTATTCTGGACAGCTGTCATATTTAAATTAAAACTTTTATATTAAATAAGCTTACACTTAGCAAGATATCTGCCTTCTTCGGTATGAAATACTGGAATGTCGATATGACCGTTGACAGCGTTATTCTTACCTGAAAGTGTATTAATTATTCAATAATGGCCTTGTATTGTTTGCCTGCTATTCCGAACACCTGTGCGTTTACATGAAACAGTACACCTGCATGTTTGTGGAATGAAAACGTAATGTGGAATGGCAGTACAGTAATATTAACATTGTAGTAATTGATATTTTATTGATCGTGGTGACATGTTTAATAATATAGTGTTTTCGAAGTGTTATTATTGAAAATTAAAGTCATTGTTTGAATGTATTCAAAGACATTAAATAAATTAGAACGGTAGTAAGGTTTTAAAACATAAATTAGATTACTTTAACAAAATTTCAATTTGGTCCAATGAGTTTATCGTTATTGTCTTGATGTTAAAAATAAACTACATACTTCTGTAGAATATAGCTTACAATATAAATTTAATGTTGGAAAGACAATAGTGGCTGACAGTGAAAGTGTAAACGAGACAAAAGCATTTGCTAGGTAATATAAGCGTGTAAATTGCTTTGACGACACGATTATAGCTAAATTTAGAAAAACAACACGCTATTTTACACACCATGTAAAAATTATATACTGACCCAAAGCTTATAAAAAACCATCAAATTAGCCACGTTTTCAAAATGTCTATTTATGATGAAAGCCAGCCCATTTGTCTTTCCAACACTATCCTAGATAAAATATTATAAATCTAAAACAATAATTTGGGCACTTATACTAATTGTTTGTTTACTTTTGTTATTATTTATTTAAATATCGATTGTGCAGCTCTGCTAAGCTATTTCTTTTTCGTTTAAAAATATTGGTCAACATTTCGGTAATGTATGCCGAATTCTGCATTGAAAGTTCCTTCTCCAGATGTAGAAGATTGGAAACTGCAGTCGAAAAGTCATTGAAGCAGACCGATTCAGTAGTGCCCAAGCATTGGTAATTACTAACTCTTGCTATATCAGGGCTTAGAGTTTCACGATATTGTAGCCCTCTCATAGCACACAAATGTTTCATATTATCCGTATCTTTGGACAAACCAGGAAAATTTACGATCAAACTAAATCGGATTCCAGTGCCTAAAAATGTCGGCCGGCTGGATAAGTATCCGAGTTTCTGATGCCAAGCAAAATCGAAATTGTCATGAAGTTTGGCCATGATAAACGACATTTTGCTATACGCAACACCAATTTCTCCGGGAGATTCAGTCGGGGTTGATATTAGCACTCTTATGTGGTCGTGTACATTGATCCAGATTGCAATTGTTTTGTCGTCGTTCACGAATACTCCTCGACCGTACGGCCAGTGTTTGCCATGCAATCTAGTACAATCGTCAATTTCTTTTATATCACACAAGGCAACAAGCAAACCATTAGCAGCCAATGCTGCACAGATCTCTGATGGTTTCTCTAAAACCTCATTCAAAGTATAATATGTTCCACCTTTTTGATCAGTGTCTGTATTAAATTGTTCCATTAAATTTGAAAATTGTTTATTCATTAAAACGGTTGTAATAATTCTCTCTACTGCTTCTAATTTGCCAACTTTTAGATTGATAGGTAGTTCAAAATCAAATAAATTTCTCGAGCACTCTATAATTCCAGATAGAACAAAATCATCACTAGGATCAACGTTTAATTCAACAATTGGTTCAAAGCCTGATAATGACAATAGCTGTTTTGATTCAAAATCTGACGGAGGATGATTTGAAAGTTCTGAAGAAATATTTATATTATGAATATCTTTGATTAAAGGAATCAAAAATTCATGAAACACTTCATAAACATAATAATCAGGAGCAGTTACACCTCCAGGAAAGTCTTCCTCCACAGTTTGTATAACATTTTTGTTGTTTGGTAATTTTTTGACTGCCGGCCATATAACATCAAACAAATCGTGATCTAATTTTGTTACTCTATGACGAATCATTTCAAATATCGGTCGATTGAGAAATCTACCAAGAACAAATGTAGGCGTAGCTTTATTTGATGATGCAGAAAGTGGTGTCCGAGATGGTCTAGCAGAAGCAAGTAAACGATAACAGCGTTCTAATGTGTCTAATGCTTCTGGAGTTTCCAGATTTCTTCTTGAGGATGCATTATCATCGGGAACTATACAACGTTATAATTTGATTAATACTTTATAAATTTATATTTTTGTCAATCCTTATGGAACACACTTACCTTTATCAGCCAACATAATCTGAGCTATATCTTCACTTATGTCGTAATCGTTTAACAATTGTTCGTAAGGCAGTAAACCTGTATTATGCAAGTAATCTTCAGCTGATCGACCATTCTAAAATGTAAAATAAGAAACATTGATGTGACAATAGGAAATTTCTTGTAAATACACATATTTAAAGTTTGTATTACATCATCCAAGTCCTTTGCGTTAGCACCAAGTTGCTGTAGTAAGTTGAAGTAGTGGCCGTTGTCTGGTATTACTGCAGCATAATGTAAGGCAGTTCTCCCTTCAAAGTCTACAGCGGAAAGAGTTTCAGGAAATCTGTAAGAAAACATTATTAATTTTACAAATCTCTTCCAAATTTATGGAAGTTTTAAGAATTGAGTTTGAGCTCACCTTCCACCCAGATATTTTATAATATTAGTTTTGCCGAAAACGGTTGCTACATGTAAAGGGGTTGCCCCATTCGGTGATATGGGGTCCCTGGCTATTGCAAATTTTCGTCTATCCAAAGCTGTTTGTAGATCTCTTATATTGCCTTCTTTGGCTGCTATATGTACGCGATTGATCTTTTCCTAAACAATTTTAATTAATTAAATTAATTAACTACTTTTTCATTAAAATTCATAATTTAAATTATTTACTTTTGTCTTACCATATACATTGGTACATTTTCTAAAAATGATTGAAGCTCTATATTTTGTGATCGTCTTCCAATCAATCTCGACCCTTCTCCATTCAGAACTAAGGTAGCTAACATTTCCATATTAGAACTGTTTATTAAATCAGTTACTTCTGGATCAATTTCGTTATCCTGAAGGAGTAAAATATAGAGGTTTAATATTTCTACAGTGCGCAGCGTAGTTATAGTTTAGCATTAGTATTTTGGTGAATATTTTCGCGATTAATTTTTTTTATTACTTTCTACACATAACCTAATAAGCCAGCAAATTATTCTATGACGGTGGTGTTAGGAGTGTCTGTGAAAGTGCAGCAACGATGCAGCTAATCTAAAGAACACCACAATCAACTAAATAATTTACATTATTACCTTGCGTTCATTGATTGTAGGTATTTGTTATACTTGGCTGTATAAATTGTACTTACAACAATAAGTATTTCTCCATGTACAGATCCGTCTTTTTGTGTTATACTAGCATCTTGTGAATCTTGTTCAGGCTCACTGCTAATAAGACCTTCTATAAGACTTTCCTGAGTATTTCTGCCCTCGATCAGCTTTCCTTAATTATTAAAACAACCAAAAATATTTAACTTAATAGGGACCCCTCAAATATCTTATTAGTAATGTTAGTATTTTTTAAATAGTATCACTTGTTGTTACACTAAAGGAAGCAGGATTTTTACTTCCTTTAGCACTAGTTATTTCTGACCTTAAGTCTGAGACTTCTATAGTATCAGTTAAAGGTATATCGTGTGATTCTAAATGTGATTTTTCTTGAACTTGTACATCGTCATCATCTTCGTTGTTATTTGAATTATTATTACCTTCTGGTCCTTTTCTGGGATCTGATACCTTCTCTTCTTTTATTAAATCAAAATTTTTAGGATCTGACTCGCTTTCTGGTTTTTCGGATACAAACTCACCGTTCGGCGTATCTTGAGAATTCTTCATATCCGTACTATTCGAAACTTGTTTGTCAATATCTATTTCTTGTTCTTTTTGGACATTTTCTGCAACATTAGGATCTGATTCAGTACTATTGTTTTGCCGGTCTTTAGAATTTACGTCTTGTTCAGTTTTATGACAGGTGTCATTCCCGTTCTTCGCGCTTTCATTATCTATAATGTTTGTATGGTCGCTAATTTCTTCAACATGTTCTTCACGTTTGTCGTCAATTGTTTCTTGACGTTCATTTTCATGTTGCTGTTCTTGTTCTTCATCATTATGTTTATTTTTACTGTCTTCTGTCTGCGAATTTGTTACAGTTTCATGTTCAGGTAAATTGTTTACATCAGATGGTTCCTCCTTTTCAGTTTCATGAGTGCTTTCTTCATTACTTAGTATTATTTTATCATTTACGTTTTCTGTTTTTGCATCGTCATCTTCTTTTTCATCTGATTTGTTTTCTCCTATTTCTACTGAATCAAGTTGGTTGTTCTCAGTACCGTTCGCTATAGTGTTGTGACTGACTTCTTCCTGTTCATTGGTAATTTCGTTGGTATTTTCTTTTGAGTTTTGTTCCTCTATAACTTCTGAAACCTAAAATGAATAAAGAAAAAAATCATGCAAATGTTTATTAAAAAGCAAGGCAAATTAATAATAATGTCAATGCATGGTGATCTAACATGCAGTGCTAACCTCGTTATCTTTTATATCTTGAACGTTTTCATCTTTCTGTATTTCCATTTTATCTGTGTCATCTAATTCTGGTAATGTACTTATGAGATCGTGCGTGTTACTATTTTTCATAACATTTGGTTGACTTTCGACAGTTTCTGATAACGTGGTAGTATTATTTTTTGAAGATATGTTTTCATTTGATGCTTTCAAATTCTTCTTTCTGGGCTTTTTATTGAAATCAGCTAAATGTTCGATATCTAAAATTTTCCAATCCCAAGACGTTGGATATGCACTTGAAGGTGTTCGAGGGGCATCAGGCAAGACTTTTAATGTGTTTTTATCAATTTCTTGCGGTCTATTTATGTAATAGCCGGGTGTTTTATTTTTCTATGGAAAAAGATCTTTATTACTTATTAGGCTGTACAATACGCACGTATTAATTTAATAAAATGTATTAATTCAAATAACTTTAGTGTTTGTAGGTAGGTATTTGTTTTAGTCAAATGGTTAAGAAATAATTAAGTTGTAACTAAATGTGTTTAAAAAAATCAAATCATGCATACATTATCAACAACACTTTCATCAGCGCCGAGACCGACAAGCGTATTGTATGTGTGCTGCTCGTCCCTTATAATTGCGGCGTAATGCAGGGGGGTCCGTCCATCATGATCAACGTCGTGTATTCCTTGAGGATATTTCTCAATTATGTATTTCACTATACCATTATGTCCTAATCCGGCTGCCTAAAAATACATCATTAACTATGTAAGTTGTCAGCCACATAAATAACATCAAGTCTCCGTACTATCCAATCGATAGGAATGTGAGGTTACACTAGTTCAATATTTGTACATATCTCTTGTACAAATTAACTATACGGTAGTTAATAAACGGATAACTATCCTACTACTGAAATTTTCATTTTACGTACCTTATGTAGAGGAGTCATTCCGTTAACATCTCGACTAGAAAACACTTGTGAGGGTATAGGATCGGCCGTGAGCCTCATCAGACCCTCCAGATCGTTCTGTATAACAGCGTTGTGTACATCTCGGATTGTGTTCTAAAAAAAAATAGATATTACTAACATGCACATTAGCTTTTAGTTGCTGACCACTCACTAGATTGCTGGTAGACAATCCAATATTTCCTTTCAAACTAGCGGAATCGTTTGATAACCTAAAACTGTGAATGCTACCAACATAATTATTGGACTTTCACCCGCGACTTCGTCCGCGTGAAATTAAAAAAAAAAACAAAAGAGAGTAGCCCATGTGTTCTTCCAGACTACCCTCTACGTCTGTACCAAATTTCATCGAACTCCGTTCAGCCGCTTAGCCTACAAACTCTAACAAACATCCATCCATCTAAACTTTCGCATTTATAATATTAGTAATATCTTCTAACCTATGAATAGTCATGCTGTTTTATAAAATTAAAAAAGACAATGCAGCCAAGATATCCATATTTTTATCTCTCTTACCATGATATAAGGCACGGCTTCCAGGAACCGCTTGACAACCGGCTGGCTGGACACTTCAGAGAGCAGCCGCGTGCCGTGCCCCTCCCACACTACCCGCTGCAATCGGCCCATGTCACACTCATGACACCATATCCTTATGTTGTGGCGTTTTATTGCCAACCCTGTTAAGAAATTATATAACGATAAAGTTCTACACTAGGAGTTAGATATTATACCGTTTCGACCTCAAGCACAAGAAAAGGGTACTTTTTTCTTAATATTTCTTTTATGTATTACATCTGAATATAGGGTGATACTTAACGGACGGATCAACAGTTTTGTGGAGGTAGGTAGCTATCATTGAAACACATATCATGTTGCCCTATTTTCTATACTTTTAAAGTTTTATTTTTTTGTAAAAAAATCGGAAAAATCAGATTTTCGACTTAAATTTTACCGTACGTCCAAAATAATGTGTTTACAGTGGTAATTTTTTCTTTAACAAGCCTTATATTTATTTCTTTATCTTTTTTACGTATAACAGTGGCTTCGAATCTCATCACTGTGTATCAAATTGTATTTTATTAACCATGCAATCATCGATTCAGTTTTAAAATCTTGATATTAAATAGCTTAGAATGAAATCATAGTAAAAACATTAATAAATCTACCTTGGTTATAATTATTAAGTACTATTACAGTTTTGTAGAACAGCAATCGATGGTAAAGTTCAAGGTTGTAATAGAAAGGGGAGAAAATACCATATGTCATATATTTTCTATTTATAAAATTATACACATTCATCAACAACATGACACGAGTATGAACATTAAGTGGTTATGAATAATACGAGGTATGATTTTTCAAAGGAAATCATTAGCAAACATGGTTACGTTTTCTTTTTATTTATAAACCGTTTCAAGAATGAATTTCACAATTTTTAAGTTCTTTAATTGTACACTTTTACCCCATAACTATCTATTACGTTAGATTTTAAGTAAAAAACACATAAACTTATATTATAAAACTTCTGATACTTCTACGTAATACACTAACATATTATAGACATGTAGATACATTTAATCAATGGAACTTCGACACGCATCGTCATGTAATTGATTGGACGGTCGCCCTCATTTGTTAAATCACCTCATTTTCTGTACCATTATATAGAAAGAGTAGCAATTTTTATGTTCTACTTAATTTCTACTGCCGAAAACATGTTTTACATGTGCTTCGGACAAGAAAAGTCACGGAAAGTTTTTTGACTGACTTCCCAAAAGAAGGAGGTACTCAATTAGTCTGTATGTTTTTTTTAGACAACAAAACGTAACGGAATAACATCATGACCTATTTTTATTAGATATCCTAAAATGTGACTTACTTTTAGGTGGGTTTATGCCATCTATACCAATATAATAAAGCGTAAACACACACAACTTTGTGGTGTAAGATGTCAACAATCATATACAATATAATAAAAATCCCTATACTTACGTCACGCTTTACGCCATATATTTTCACGCTATTAAACCTATGAGGTACATAAATTGGATAAAAACCCTAATGTGGGAAAGAGACCATAAGCTACAAGCTGCCAACATCAAGGAAGTAAGATTACAATGGTCTGTCATGTCATTTTGACATTTGCAATTGATAATTTGACAAATGTGAACAATAAAATGAAGTGTAATTTCATTTAGATGAAGCCGCTCGGAAACAGCTAGTAAATAATATGGTAGAAGACTACATTTCATACAAAAATATGTATAAACCTTACAATGACATGTGTGACATCAGTGTCTAACAGTATCCAAGGTTGTACATTTATTATTCAAATTGTCTGAGGCATAGATAGTCCAGTCTACTTTAATCTTTAATGGCATACGAATATCGATCGCCTTTACATGACGTGTTCGTTGTATGTGGGCCAATTATTGTGTATTGACTGCTGATAGATGCCTTTGATTGCTATTGTATTTGCTATTGATTTTAGTCAATAAAGAGAAACAAATTGTTTACGTTAAATGCTATAATTTTTATAAACGAGTGGACATCTACAATCGCAACAAGGCAAATTAAATCAGATGCGATACTTGCCTTTAATAGACAGAGGAAAAGACATACTGTAAGAAGATCCCCTTCCCTATCAAATCTATTCTATCATTTATTTATAAATAGGGAATGGTAGTAAACAGAAGAAAATTAGAATCTGGCTATCAGGAAGATATCAGTAGACATTTCTCAGTAACATTTGTTTTCTCATCATGTTAACCTATTTAACATTCTAACCCTTTTGGTTATAAAGTGTTATTAATGGCGTGTTATAAAATAACGACATGTTTAGTAACGAGCGGGAACGCAACAAGTTCGCGTGCTAACTTGAGAAACTTATCGAAATTAACATAATACCAGCTTTCAGAAGCACTCCGAAACGAGCTTAAATCACTATTACGATAAGAACTATTACACGAATTTCGGAAGGGTTTTTGATTGTATATTTGATTATATTCAAAATGATTAATTTAGTATTATGAAAGTTTTTAAATAACTTGTACACAATTACATCACTCATAAAATGAGATACAAGATTAAAAAATATATTGAGATTTTAATTGTTTGGTTTGGTTACTGAATTTAAGTTTTTATATTCTTTTACAAATATAACAAAACTAACTGTTCCCATGCGGCTTCATCCGCAAGATCTTATAAAAGTTTTATTATATTGTTTACATTTGTGAAATTATCCATAGCAAATGTCAAAACGACATGACATGACAAACCTTAGCAATCTTGCTTTCTTGATGTTGGCAGCAACTTATGGTCTCTTTCCCACATTAGGGTTTTTATACAAAATATTTACTCCCTAAGTTTAATGGCGTGAAAATAAAGCGTGACGTAAGTGTTCCTATACTTTTTATTAAAAATTAATTACTATTCAAAAACATGCTGTAATTGGTGACATCTTAGGCAACAAAGAAGTGTGTGTTTACGCTTTATTATAATTGTATAGATGAATATTGTTGGGCATGGACAAGATATTAATGAGATAAAATGTAGATGACTAGAATGGTAGAGGAAGAAAGAGAAAAGTATTGTGCATTTAGGCAAGAGAGTGAATTCAGGCGGCTGATACAGGCGTACAGAAATGTACGAACTGTGCTGTTCATCCGAAGGGTAAAGAGCAAAGACCAAAGAAGAATAATGTTCCATAAAATTTTGGATTAAATTTCAAATGTAAAAACAAAGCTCGACCTGGAACATGCTAGAAGCTTTTAGGAAACTATCCATGACTATGTAACATTATACCGCGCCTCTGCCAAGCCTTTATTCACGCGTCAACGGATTACACGTAATAATGGACACACGCCATGTATAAATCACCCTTTTTAATAAACTGCTCATGTTACGTGTTTAATATATTTTATAATAAACATTTAAATTATCATATTTGGATTATAATATTTATATGTGTATGATTTTAGACATAAATAATCATTGTATTCTAACACAATATACGCAGAAAAAGAATAAATAAAAATATTGCACAATTGGAGAAAAACAAGAGCATAAGTGTATAGAAACACTTGTGTAAAATGCTACGGTCGTCTACGACGCGTAGCACTGTGCTACGAATTGCAAGTGAAAAGTAAATATTTATTGTAAAAAAGCACGATATGTTCAAATAATTATCATCTATCAGTAACAAATATGTAAGTTATTTATTTATTTTATCTGAACAATTGTAATTGTAAAGATATTTAAGTAATACAAGTACAAGATAATTATTTCCACTATTAAAACTGCTGTTCAAAAATAAACTGTCATTCTCATTCTTCGTAACAAAGCAGAGAATGCAATGTTTTTGTATAAGTTTTTTAGCAGTGGGAACTTCGGATATTGCGTAAAGTGTACCCGAATCAAGATACACTGTAACCGAGTTCTTTTGTTAAGTATTCAAAGGACTTACATGATTGCCTAGCCGGCACCTCATTATGCATTTATGCTTATACACTTAACTTACTGTTTTACTATTTAAATTGACTTGTCCGTGAATAAATGAATGCAACTTTATTCGACTTAACCTATTTTCTGTTATTATGTTTATTATTGAAATATCAGAATTATGGTCTTAATAGAAGGAAATCTTACAGTTTTTTTGTAGCAATCTCAAGCGATGGGTTAAATATTTGAAAGACAAAGTTATTGCAATAAAATTTTTACGTTATGAAAATAGAAGTTAAATATTAAAACGTCTTTAATGGAAAGTTAATGTTTTTCTTAAAGATTCAGACATATTTTATAACTTAATATGTTTTATATTTTTTTTTAATAAGGCACAATTTGGCCACATTTACATTATGTATATTGTGATTACAAGAATATGATAGTTCCTCCAAAATATATATTCCAAATATTAGTATTTGTAACAATTTATTAAAAAGCAACAAAATATAAGTATTTTTACAAACGATCTACAAAAAATCGATAGGAAACAAAATATAAATAATAAATACAGCCTATGTAAAGGATAACGTAGCTTTTTAATGGTGAAAGAATTTTTGTAATCGGCCTAGTAGTTTTTGAGTTATTTCAATACCTACAAAAATACAAATCTTTCTGACCTGTGGGGTTGTTCCCGTATCGCGGCATGTCTGCACTGTGGTGTGTTGAAGCCACGGGCAGCGAGAGCAGAGTGCGAGCGGCGCGGTAGTGCGCGGGCGTGCGCCCCGCACAGTCCCGCACGCCCCGTGCAGCCCCCGCGCGCTCCAGCAGCGCTGCCGCCGCCGCCTCTGCACGGCAAGCCACCGTGTAGTGCAGCGCGGTCCTGCCTTCCTGGACATTAACACAACAGTATGATAAACCGTAATGATGTTATCATCAACCACTTCTCTTGGGACATCAGCAATAGAGTAGGGCCACTACTATAGTTATATGGTGATCATGGTGATATCACTATGATTTGTAGACCTCATACAAATCACCACCAACCACAACATTGTTAAAGAAATGTCGGTAAGACTGGTTCTTCACTTGACAACGCCGTGTAGAGTAGTAATGATACATGTATGTTATACTCCACAGGCCACCAAAACTAAGATAGAGTCGTTACTTCATACTAATTAAACCACTGGTACTTTTAACCATAGAAAGCTTGTACTCACGGAGTCCCGTTGCTGCACGAGCTGAGGGTAGTTGTTGACGAGGTACTCGACGATATCCATGTAGGTGTAAAACACCGCCTTGTGGAGCAGCCCGACGCCTGCCGCGTCGCAGCACTTTACGCATTTGTTGCTGTTGTACACACCGGCCAGCAAATTCTGATCAAAATTATAAATACTTGATTGCAAAAATGGTGTTTGTTTTCCATAACAAATATCAAATATCAATAATCAAATTAGAATTGATTTATGCGTTGCAAAAACAATGGCAGATCTTAATAGAGGTGGAATGCTCCCACCATTTTAAGCTTTTACAACAAACTGTGTTTTGTCTGCAGCGAACGCCCATAGAACTTTCAAATACCGACTGTTTGGATCAGGTGGCTCTAATGAATTATAACCTTCAACTCAAGCAGCGATCCTTTCTCCACTGCTGCATGTAGTGCGTCACACGTAGCTATCAGCTGTACAATGTGGTGTGGCACGGGCAGGGTGTCGGCCTCCGCAAGTAAGCGATGTCCCTGACCTTGAAGCACGGCGCGCTCCAGTTTGCCCTCAGCCCCGCACAGGAGCCACTGGCGCAGCTGCGCGGATGGTATATCGCCCAATACTGTTTGTAACTTAGTTAGTTAATCCTTCTTTACAAATTCTTAGTACTTTGAACATGAAGAAAATATTTAGCTATAATAATCGTCCCTAGGTCCTGTCAGATACTTATAAAGTTAGAGAATTTTTTTATAATAAAAGGGGCACTTACTAGATTACTTATTTGATAAGACAAATGGTCTAATTTTGCAATAAGTTTCGCCTATATTATACGTACTGTGTTTATAAATGAAGTTACTACTTAACTGTTTATTTGCTACCTTTAGTTACTTATCGGTTGTAGTTTTAAACCAGACGTTAAAATCAGGAAACAAGGAGTCTCGCGTGAAAGCTGATATTGGAATAAGCCATTTCAAGGTTCACAAGCTCACTCTTTGTTTGTATCTGATTTTGCCCTTTCACTGATTTTGTATGCGTACAGGATGTTTATTTGGAATGAAAAAGGTGCCCCATTTACATTTGTTAAGTGATTACTAACGTAGATTTGGAAACAGAAATGTTAATAAACTCTTAAATGAGCCTCAAGTTCGTTAGTTTGCTACATAAATTTTGTTTTTGTAAAGCTGGGTATTGACCAAAGTTACGAGATGTAACATTCACAACGAGTAGCTTGTTGTTGGCCAGTATACCGTAACGTACTGACTGCTTAAACGTCCACATTGTAACCAGTTACATAACATTTCGTATTTTAACATTTCATCACTATTTATTGATTAACACCCAAACTACCTTATTAAGAAGTCTTTAACCAGTTCCATTTTTAATTTTAACCCTAGGTGAATTAACCTAATGTTTTTAAAATCACCCTGTAGTGGTAGTGGTTGCATGTACGTTAGTTCTTAGCGTAAAATTACAAGATTTATAATTTAATGGTGGCGAGAGTGTGCCAGTTATCGCGACATCTTCTGACCCGAGGCGCATGTTACGTGCGAATTACTTACACTTTTTTAAAAATAACATTAACCTATTCATATTTGTGACATAAAAGCGAATATTAGTTACCTAATTGTAGTACCTTTTAACATAAAACTGCACAATTGATAAAATAACATATTAGATTCCCAATAGACTATAATACAACTGTTTGTCAAATCGAGGATTTCCACAAAAAAAATTTTGCTATACCTCTTTTTTCAAAAAGTATAAAACAAATGACAACTTGTTTGTATTTGTGTTTTTTGTATGACAATCATTATGAAATGAAAATTTGTAATTAAAAGTTCACTGTTTAAATAAAAGTTCTCACATGGTCCGTGAGACCTTAAGAATAGTAAGTAAAAACTACATTTCCATACGAGAATGTTTTACAATCGACTTGAATTAACACACTTCATAAGAAGTTGGCGTGAATTTTTATGTTAATTCTTTAATTGAATACTCGACGATGACGACGCTTTTTTGTTTGCGCGAAATACATTTTTAATGTTCTTTTGCCAATTGTTTTTAGGTTATGTTGTGTACAAATTACTTCTTATATTAACCTCTTCATTTGTTTTTGAGTTGTTTTAGTTTTTCTCATAAATTCATTAGTGACTAATTAAAGCATACAAAACAAAATGAAGATCAGATGTTGTTCGAAATATGTTTTTAAAAATTTAACATAGCTTCAAAGTAACTAATAATTAAAAATGAAATATACATTTCAAAGTAATTTAAATGACTAATTTAATTGCACCATAATAGATACAATGTTGGAAACACGTAGTTCGTTTCAAAGTTTGTACAGTCTCTGTTAGAAGGGGTAAAATAACGTCGGGTCGATGGTCATCGTACCATCAAATTGACATCGACGGTGTAGGATTTTTAATATGAAATCGCTTTATAACATGAAACATGACATTACCGTGAAATTACCGTGACACTGTAGCTACAATTAGCTGTCCCTTTTTTCCATAAAATGTATAAAAGATTCAGTATTCGCTGTGAACTATTTGAATATAACATTTTTTCCGCAATTCGCCCATATCTAACATACGGGTCATTAACAACCATATCGCTTACATGTCTACATAACTGTGGGTCTCATTCGAAACCCTTTTTTAAAACATATCGTTGTCCCTCTCATTCCCATTCGAAAAATAAAGACAAGAATAACATTTAATACATGTATTACGGTGGAAATCAACAGCAAAACATTCGGCAAGTTCGCTGTCGGTTACAAACAGATAAGAAGCGTGCAAATACGAGCTATAATACTGGTTCTGTTTGCAGTATTACTTTCAAACAGAATGATCGATAATTGGCGAGTTCATAGGGGTCGAACTATGGATTATATTTACCGTTAATATTAAAATAGACAAACGATAGTTCTTTCGAAACAGACAGATTAGCCGTGAGGGAAAATAGTTCCACATCACTAGATGCTTAGAGAGATGTAACTCTTTTCATCGCATGAATCGATATACGAACGGTAAATTGAATAGTTCTTTGGGCAGAAGATTAGGCTTCTGATTTGTCATTATTGTCCTCTCTACCATGTTGTGGGAATGGTTAAGAGTGTCATGTAAGAGATAACAAGAGATGTATGACAGTAATTCGCAGAACAGTGACGCCCCTTTGTCAGATGTCTTGAAGGAAAACCAATCGCGTCCTATCCTAAGGCCGGTATCTTCACGTAGGAAAGTTGTAGGCAGTTTTTATGACAAAGAATATAGTAATAAGATGATGCATTAAATTATATTGTAAAAACTTATGTAGGTAATTCAAATAACAAACATAAAGGAGCGACCATCACGACATAACAGACAAGCTGGACGCCAGTCTGGGGGAGGATGGGGAGAAAGGGGTCAGCCGGCACGCGACCGTCGACAGGCGATGTCCGACATGTTTGCACAATTCCTTGTACAACATTACAAGCATTTTTTTTTCTTGTCAGCGAAATGAAAAGTATCTGAATAGCAGTTTTATATGTTTGTTGAATTCAGTATCGGCGAATAACAAATTAGACTAATCTTATCTACTTTCAGAAGTCGTTTATTAGTCACTTAAGGCGATCATTAAGACAGAGTTAGAGCTAAAAATGCGCACTTATAGCGGGCGCACACTTTTGACTAAACTATCGCACTGTTGTGCGATTGTCGATTGTTTCGCAGCCAATTCAACTGTTTAGTTGCACAACTAAAAATCGAATTGTCTGAGCACCTCCATATAAGCTCATAGGAATTAACGCAAGACTAAATAGTTGTGGTATAGTTTAGTTAATGGTATGCGCCCGCTCGTAGGGACTGCGTAATTAACAAAAGACTTAACAACGAGATAAGTACACCAATATACATATGTGGAAAATACAAACCTATCTCATTGTGTGTTCCCAGAAGAAAAACATACTTACCTTTTGGATAACTGTAATGGATGTACAGTCCATTCTTCTTTGTAGGACGTTCCATTCTTATAACCATCCATATGAATCAATCCAACTTCACTTCTTTAATAGTTATTTAAGTTAACAAATGTAGAATATCAGGATATTAACACCGAAGGACTATACTCTTTGGTTATTCAATTTATACTTATAGTGATTATCAACTTTGCTGTTCTATAAAATTTCATTAGACATTTATAACATATTCATGGGTTTACGTACATAAGGAGTCCATCGATTTTCCAGACACGAGGCAATCGAATAACGCCTTATAAAATATTAACAGCAACATTCCACTAACACCATTTTGCTCAATACAATCGAAAGTAACATTTTCAATTTAAAAATAAAGAAAAGAAAACCGTTAAATTCTTCACTATTCTCGAAATTACTTTAATAAATCTAGGTAGTTTATACAAAATAAACGTGTTATGTACGATAACTTAAGCGATATCTGAGTAATCACTAACGAAGTTCTACGTTTTCATGTACCAGTAACGATTTGTACAACCTTTACTACAAGTTCTGAGGAAAAAATCTACGTAGCCTTTTCCATCAATTTTTAAGAATGACTTGTTATTCAAAAAATATTCTTTATAGTTCGGAGTTTTTTGGTATTTAAATCAACTTTTCTTTGTTACTCAAACGCTATTGCATAAATTTGAATCTTTTGTTTTACTCTACTAAAAGTTTTGTGACTACCGCACATACTAGAATTAAAAATTAAAAAAATATACATATGCCGAATATTTTTCAAGGACTTAGTCATTAAAATTAAAACAGTTTTTTTTAAATAACATTACAGCAAAACTTGTAGGAACCGTTGTGCGTGAGTCGGCAACATACATGAAAAATGAACATCGACAAAGAAATTTCGGTATCGACACGTGGAAAATGTTTCGGAAGGAAATGGTTCAATGTACGATGCTATAATTATCGTAGAATGCTGCAACATTTGTAGTGATGCTATGTAATACAGGATCCAGTTTTTTTCTTTATGAGAAGGCCTGTGTCTAGGGAAATGTGTGGCAGGAACAAGGAGGTGATTATCGACGCCTTAAGACATCCGAAAAACCAAAGGAAATGTAGATGCGTTGACCCTTTTGAAAGGGATACGTTCGCTTCTTGAAGGACAATAGCAGAACTAGCTTGGAATTGACACAGAAGTAAAAAATAAATTTTTGATAGAATTGAGGAGAAAAATAGAATTCTACAGTAAAATAGGTGAGTATATCTTGTTAGCTTAGTCTTGACGCTTTTTGAACACTCGGCATTGTCGCTCTCGTTTTAAAATCACTCGTGTTTTGTTCGCACAGCCTAAAATGATAAAGGCGATACAAAAGGCAATAGAAAATCGTTTTAATTTTTTAAGAACAAATGTATTTATTTCTGAATTAAACAAATGTTTTAATTAATTAGAATGTTTCCAAAACAAACGGACATCCAATTAAAGTTAGTAAGGGGGCCGAGTTATGATAATTTTCTACTTATGTTTTCTTCGCTATCAGTAACAGTGATGTTAATGTTCAGTCCAATATCTCTTCTGCTCGGATTGGGTCTGCGGTTTCTAGAATATTCCGAGGCTGCACCACTGTTTTGCTCTAAAATTATAGTTTCAAATTAACAAACATATTTATAATACGAGTAGCTTCTAAAATTAACTAACAGATTATTGACCTCACATATTCTGAAGATGTTATAAAAGGAACTAAAAGTGGTAGTGTTTAAGTTTTATTTAAATTATAGATAGAAAACTTGATACCATTATTAAGGTGTCCATTCAATACGCGGTGGTACAATTCATTAAATTTCTTTTGTCGCTTTACATTAGAAGGCGTTCGCACAACCAATGTAGGCAGTAATATGTAATGTTCCAGATTTGGTTTACTTCTCGCTGAAAATTTGCGACGCAAAGAATCTTTTTTAGCCAACAGCCGAGGTGGTTTCATATTTTTAGTATCGGAAGAATTACTCGTACTGGTCGTATCTTTTGGAATTTTCTCAGGAGTCCCTGCACAGTTTATTTTTATAGCGTTAGATGTTTGATAACAATACGTAGGGCTCTTACTAGTTGAATGATATACGGCAGAACTTGGTCCTGGCGAGCAGTCGTCTTGTCTACATTTCTTTTTTCTTAACCAGGGATAGGTCAGGCGGTCATGACTTCTATAAGTTCTTCTAGCACTGTGGTCTTCGTGCTTGTGGTTTGTCAAGACCGCACTAGCGACGTTTTTATTCATTACCGGTATTTCTCCGTCTTCATTAGACTGCTTACTTTTATGACTCGCGACGATAATATCACCAGTTTTACCGACCGGTCTGCAGCTTTCGTGTCGATGGTTGAGTTTGACTATTCTGTAATGTCGTCGTCGCCTTCTTTCGACGTGCGCTACTCGTTCTCGAAGAAGATTATCGATAAGTCGTTGCAATTCAAATCGGCTGCTGTATCGATCCGAAGTGCGTTCGCATTGACGACGAGCGAGCCTTGCATTTGGCCAATGGGTCCTACAAACATCTTCCCAGATGATGTCACTCAACACCGCTTCCCGCGAAGGTGTTAATTTTATACCATCGTCGCGTGGAGCGAATTCTCCTTGAGCTAAATAATGAACCGTATCCATCAGCCTATAATCTCGTACGGGATTTAATTTATGACGGATCTTATGAACTCTTTCTGCTGCTATTTTTGGAATATCATCTCTTTTGCCCGGCACGGAAGAACTTTGACGCCTACCTCGGGCAGTGATGCCGTCGTAAGTTGTGAAATCCCGACCATATTGTTCTTTTTGTTCTTTCCCCATATGTGTGGCTTTGCTTGCGGAGACCGACGTGGATTGCTGTGCGTATCTTTGGAAGGCAGATGTTTCAGGAACATGACTGTACTGCTCTATGTAACTGCAACCAGGATGGCTGTTCAGGGAAGTTCTCACATGGCCTTTGCAATCCTCATCCGATGACGATGTCGGTACATTAGTTTCGATAGATCTTAATACCATTTCTTGTATTAAGAGTTTACGTTCTAAGTTATTTATTTTTCTTATCAATTTCTTTACTATACGACCAGAAATCAATGTATCGTCAGAATTTGATTTCGTTACCGTAGCCGCGTCAGTTTTTCCGTTTTTTAATTGAACTTCTGTCGTTTCATTAACCTTAGGAAGGTTCATAATTAGTTGAGGCTGGGCGTAGACATAACATTTTTCGGTGGATCTGTTTTTTCTATAATATAATTTGCAATCTTTTTGACTTAAATTATCAGAATTTAAACATTTCGAAACAGTGGTCGAATTTTCACTAATATCTTCTGTGAGATATGCTTGGGAGAAACTATCTTTGTTTATTAAAATATCACTTTTAATATCTTCGTTAGTGTTTGACTCAATTTGACATTTATCTGTAGCGCAACCTGAAACAAGAAACCTTTGTTAAGCCTATAATTTTTGTATGTATCAAAATAACTGAAAAACTAGTAGGCCAATTATCAAAATACTTATACCAATAAAAAAACTATGTTATCAGTAACATAGCCATTTTTTTTTCACGCGGACGAAGTCTCGAGCAACAGCTAGTATTTTTATAAAGTAACGATTACTTACGATTCGGAAAAGACAAATGATCTCCAATCGCTAGTCGCGATCCAGTTTTATGCGAACGCTGTGAATAATTGGTTCGTAAAATTATCAAATGTTTATTCAATAACAATAGGAATAAATTGATTTTACCTTTTTCGTGTTAAATCTATCTTTTTCAGCTAAATATAGAGTTTTAATACCAGGTGCCCTCGGCTTAATGGAAACCAGTACTTTTTGAGTCGGTTCTTGATCGAAAGGACTATCTTGAATTATTTCTACATCTAAAATAAATTTATTAATTAAAGTATCATTTTTATTATTAACTTAGAAATGTAAGGTCTGTGGGTATATTTTAAAATAAGGTTAGTTTTTCACGGTATTAAAAAGAACATAGAATATAACATCTACAACATTTCTACAACAAAATATAAGAGTTATATGGAATACCAACAAATAGATACAGAAAAATAAAGACTGAAACACACAATATAGTTAAAATAATAAATAATACGTAATGAGAAGAGAATGTCTTTATGCCATTCTTCTAATATGTCTTGGACATTATAACCTTAAATAATTGTTATCTACCTAAATACAGGTGACTTTTTGGTGAGTCTTCCGATATTTTTGCGACAGAAGAATTTTCGTAATCAATATTCCTAATAATCTTCTCTTCTTTATTAAGCAATGATTTCTTTTGAGATGGAAGCTGTTTATTTTCCATCACATTTTATTCTTTTTCTTTACCAGCATACTTAATAATTTGATAAATTATATAGAAAACACACTAAAGATTTTTTAAGGTGTAAAAATTTTATGTTTTGCCAGAAATGTGTGACTTAATGACGTCTTTGTTCTTTATTTAATTCACAAGTACGACATAAAGAAGTATTGATAAACCGTATTCTTATATTGTCCTACGGTTAAACGAATTTTGAATTCATATAAGGATTTTTTTAACTTATTTATTGTTAAAATATTACACGCTATAATTTTCACATTTTTTTTAGATACGAGACACCAAAAAATCCAAGAATTAACTAGATACTTATTAACAACATCTCATTTCGAAAATAGAAGAAGTTATGATAAAACAAAAAAGTTTACTGTCAAAATTATAAAGCGTGACGTTTTAACATTTGTAATTTTGTGAGTATTGTATCTTTATTTTTGACACTAAACGTGTGAAGAAAAAGGTTTCCTGTTGTTCTAGATGAATTAGTTTTTGCTGGTATGTCCGAGCAAGACAAAAAGAGCAACCCCCCACCGCTAGGGGGTCCCTCTGTCCTAGTGGTAGATCAGACACAAGGCAGTAGACAGAAACAATCGTTCCGAGCCACCGAGCTGCAGCAAGAAGCGTCGGAGTTACATCATAAGCGATCGCACGCTTTCGGAGTGCCGTGTAAGGCTTTTCATATTTTACAGTTAACCTGTCAATATCTCAATTCTGTCAATGTACATACGCTCTTCTCCTTTTTTTGTTATCGTTATATAAGCTAGAAACGAGTTTAAGCCATTGCTATTAAGGGCTTTTCATTAAAAAGCTATTATTTAGATGACTTATTTTTTGTGCATTTTCAAATAATTATTTTAAAGTGATAAGTGATTTTATAAGTCGAGTCGTACGTATCCCCAAAGATCAGATCGACTCCCTTTCACCCAATTCTGAATAATCCGATAATATCAAAGTTACGCCTATAACATTGTACTTAGAATATTCTTTAATGTTTATGAGCTTGTAAGTGGTAAGTAAAGTTTTGGCATCGTCAATGTAGCGACTATTGTCTCCTGTCTATTCAATATATAAACTTTTTTTGTATTTTTTTTTGTTTCAGCCGTAGGTGAAGAATTGAAAGATATATGTCAAGAGGCTAACGGTAGTACCGACCCGGATAACAAGGAACAAAAGGAACCAAAGGGACAAGACGTCGGTTAGAATATCTCATATTTATATGTATACTTTGGATCCAACCAACAGTGGCCCAGCGTGGTTGACTATTACCTAGTCACCCTAATTTAGGGTAGGCTCCGAGCCCCTCGGTGGGGACGTATCTCTATTCGTCATCATGATGATGATATCTTCGGATTAAAAAAATAACTGACGAATTAGTAGAATATCTAACCAAAGTATGGATAGTCGTTCAGGTTGAAGGCCTAAGTTATGTTGTATATTGGACAACCGTACGCACTTTATTTATATTTTATTGGCCTATATGTCGAATATTTTTCTACCTTGTTTGTTATTAAAAATGCAAACGTTTTGATAATTATGTCATGTAAATATCTATTGTGTTTAAAATGCTCTGTATTTGTGCAGTGTCGAACGAGATACAAAAACAGATGTTGACGAAAAAGTTGTCTTCAAGCCACAAGAAGCACGACCCGCCTGAGACCATACAGTACGAGACGATAACGTTAGCGCCCGTCAATGTGGAGAACAAGGTAGACTAGAACATTCACGTATGTATCTTGTAGACAGCAGTGAGTGAACCAATACTACAATATAGCATAATTGGAAAATGTAACATAGTGTCATTGCGTGCTTATTCCTCGTTTTTGTTCAAATGGTCTTTTGGAATGTTTTGATTGTCTATTTCAATGAATTTGGGTTTTTACTCGTAAACACCGATTTGATGTTTCTGAAGAAAGGTAATCCAAAATTTAAATATGATAAAATAGAAAACATTTAACCATGTTTCATAATTATGTATATGTACAATGCATTTGAAATGAATAATTGTTTTCAGATAGAATTTGATACGAAAACGACTGGAGCTGTTTCCGGGGCAGCGACTCCGCAGCCAATTCCATCAGCAACCGCAAAGGAGCCAGCACCACAGCCAACGGAGTTACAGCCCCAAGAGTCACAACCTCCGGACTCAAAGACGCAGGAGGCGGTTACTGTTGTGGTGAAAGAGGAATGCATAAAGGAGGATATACCAGAGCAGCCCAAAACCGATATAGAGAAAAAACAATCCGATTGGGTGAGTCATTTGTAATGTTGAATTAAATGCGAAAGCAATAATTAGAGGGGGCACAAACCTTTGACTAAACTATCGCACAGCTGTTGTGCGATTGTCGATTGATTCACAGCCCACTGTTTAGTTGCACTACTAAAAATAGGAATCAAAGAGACTAAAAAGTTGTGAGCTAGTTTAATCAAAGCTGTGTCAGTTTTGCATGTGTGCTGGAAAGCCCGGTTAGACGTGGAATTGATTATGTATGTTTTGTTAAGGCGTGCGGTTCTATTAAGCTTGTTCATACTAAATTCGACATCGATTATTAGTAATATTATTAGACGCATTTCATATTAGTTATAACAATTCAATGTCCACTCGGGATAAAAGTGTTTAGATCGTAAGCTAGTTTAGCGAGGCAGCCCGCCATTGTTTGTCTGTCCATATCTATATTCCAAATCGTAATTGATGATATGGAAGAATATTAGATGTTTAATATTGGCAGCCATTTGACATAATATTGTTTGCTTTATAGTCGTATATGGAGGAGGAGCAGGCGGGCGGGCTGCCGCGGGAGAAGCGCTCGAGCCGCGTCAGTCGTAGCATGCGCACCTTCTTCTGCTGCGGAGTGCCGTACGAGACGCCCTCGGAGGACGACGTCTCCGTTGAGAACTACGTGTCCGGCATATAGACCACTCTAGGAAATAAATCGTTTATAACGCACACTGTCCAATAATCGCCGCCGCGAATTACTCGTTGCTTATCAAGTTTTTTCCACGTTTCACGATCTTTATAAGATTTCAGTAAATTGTACTGGCTATGTATGAAAGATGTTACATTGGCGGTTGCCAGCGTACGGTAATGAAAAATAAGTTAAAGAACATTTTGCGTGTATTCTAGTTGTGTATATAAAATTACTAATACAATGCTCTTTTATTTTACCCGATTCCGATCAGATATTAGCGTAGAAAGTCGTTGGGGCTATCATAAATTTAAGAGAAGGTTTACCATGCTAGAACAATACCACAAAAGAAGTAGCGAAGGACGTATAGTCCATATCATTTTGCCTCATGTGTCTGCATCAAATACCGTATACATTAGGTTGCACCCTATAGACTTGATTTGGGGAAAACCTATTTCCGGCAGTGAGGTGATTGGATAAAAATAGGAATAGTTACGACATAATTACATTGTTGTAGAATGCATCAACGAGTAGCCGTTGTTATTACTCGTTAGACGAAAAGGCATCAGTTGGTCCGTGCAAGCCCGCCACGTGTCTCGAACGTCCCTCAGGCATCTGCATCAGTCTACCAAAGGTTATCTTACTAATATTATAAATGTGGAATTTTAGATGGATGGATGTTTATTAGAATTTGTAGCCTAAACGGGTGAACGGATCCGGAGGAATTTTGGCATAAATGTAGAGCATAGTCTGGAAAAACACGTAGGCTTGTTTTTGTTTTTTTAATTCTACTCGGACGGAGTTCCGGGCGAAAGCTAGTATTTTAATATAGAAATGGTTTTTTTTAATGTTTTGACATTAACTAAACACAGTTAGCCCAGTAACTAATATGGAGAAACTAAATTCCTTTAATATTTAATAGTGAAGATCTTGTGAAGAATTTGATTAATAAAGATCGATTATGTTAAATGACAGGACCTACCATGATTATATTGTGATAATTATGTTGCAGAGATCGTCATTGTCTTGCAACATACGAGACCAAGGACCAGTTTCAGGCATTAGCTTAGTCGTCAGGGTAAACTAATTTATTTAATGATTACAAACGAGATACAGGATGTATCATGTTTCAGATGATTTAATATATTTTCTTTATTTATAGAAACGTTGTTCAAGGCCATCGGTGAACATCGAAATGAGAGAAATACATAGTGATCCAAATGGTGATTATTAAAGCAGTTTTATGTTAAGATCTACATTTTTCCGTATTGAATACTTATTTATCTTTTAGGAGCTTTCTCCCGTAAGTCAATTCGCGTATAATTAAAAAAAATGTAGCCTATATGTTCTTCTAGGCTATCCTCTACATCTATGCTAAATTTCATGGCGATCCGTTCAGCAGTTTAGACTACAAACTCTAATTAACTTTCATGCATCTAAACTTTCGCATTTATAATGTTTGTGTGAAGTAAGAAACATCTCGTGTGTGCAAATCTTAAAACGATGCGTCGATTTTGGACAACTTCCAACACATTTGCAATTATTTGTTTTTTTAATATACTTTGGGAAAGAAGTTAGTAATAAAACTATTTAAATCAATTTTTAGTTGATCACTCTTTCACATTAATTGAACTTTTATGTTTAGGGGAACTGCAGGCGAGTTCTGACGAGTGCTTCAGTGAAGATGCTTAAAACTCAAAATTGTGTTGAAATTCTTAATTTTTTTGTATGAATTTTAAATATTTATAACAGTTTTTTATGATTTTTGAATTTCATAAAATCATCAAAAAATTTACATTTGATTTATGAGGATATTTCGATGATATAGTTATTATTAAATGAATAAAGAAAACATGTTTAATTTTTATACGTTTATTTTGATTGAATAATTTTTACATGTTAACACTTTTTATACTTTTGCATTTTACACTTTAAAAATTTTCGAAAATAGCTACGATCTACGATCACGATACCAAACATGTATACATAATTAGTTCGCACAACTCTAACCATTCTCTTAAATTATCTCAATTTTATTGAAAAGAATAAAAGTTTTCCATGATTTTAAAATATGTTTAATTTGTGTTTAAAATTCTGAACAATTCAAATATATGCAAAAGTATTTTAAAAGCGTTAAATGTCAAGAACTTTATCAAACTTTTCGGGACTCATATTTCAGTGGGATAACTATCGTAATTAGTATGCCTTTTATAAAGTTTGTCTATGACTCGAAAACATATTTTTCTTTGCTGTGGTCCGCTTCATTAATGAACATCCGTAGATTTAACCTAGAGCCATCGAAATCGGTTGAGGGGCCCTAACTAATACGTGATGCCGCCCAGGGCCGGACCAGCCCTATTCCCCTGGGTTAAACTTAAAAAGGCCCTGCTTTAACCGTTAATTTATAGTATATAACTTAGTTAAGTAGTTAAGTGGGTAAGCATCTTGGTGTCTTGGCTCGGTTCCGTATCTCCTGTGCGATGCGCACGCTCTTCGGCATTCGGCAATCGTTGCAAGCGGCGCTGTGATCCATCATACTCTGCCGGCCCTTTGTCGCGCGATCCGTGTAGAAGTCGAACTCGCGCGGTTTCCAGCTCAGCTCCGTGTTGCCGCAACGACACGTCATCTCTCGACATATCTGTCAACAAGAAGACTATACTGGACACTTAATCTTTGAGGGTGTTTAGCTGATTATTGATATTCATTACCGCTTATGAGAGTCTTAAAATACTTTCAGTTAGTTCCTCCCTACCTTATTTAACTCTACTGATTGTCGGAACAGTGTATGCTGCTCTTCCATACATCTCTTTCATCCGTCATATCTGAAATTACTTCCCTCTTAAGCTACTTCACATAATCCATCCATACTTTCTTCGGCCTTCGGAAAAGCGGTAGGGTTTATAGTATCTATCTCACCGAGGCTAGGTACTCGTCGCGACAGGAGTCGGGGCACTCGCATGTCCAGTTGGTGGGCGGGGCGCAGGGCAGGCACGGCGGCACGTAGCACTCGCTGGGCGACGGCGAGTTGTAGCATGTGCACTGCTGGCACATCGTGTACACCTGGCACACAACGTACATGAGTACACATTGCTGACGTATATCACAACTAAAAGATCCCCAAATATACCTACCAGCCAAATAGCTCGGGCGATTTCATTTTGCACGTAAGGAAGACATTTGCAAAGAAGACAATTTTCAAATTTAGTCAACTCTGGAATTCCCAAGTTTTTCTCTATTCCCGTCGAACCAAGGACAACCTAATATGGACATCCAAAATATATTTTTAAAGTTGAGTTTAAGCACAAGAACTAAGATAACTGTTTATAACAGAAGTTTGTCGTAAAGCTGTTAAACAGGTTTGTGTATCTACTTACTTCGCTGGCGAAGAATTGACAATTAGGTGCGCAAGTGCCGAGACAGTCGACGTACGCGCATTGCTCCACCTTACCACCCTGCAAGCCTTTCACGACGTTTAGTGTGTTGCGAGCCAACGCGAACGCGCCCGCCAAACTTGCCGTCGCGTGCCGGCTGCCCTTTGAGGCACACACCGCCTCAGTGCCACCCATTATACACGATGTCACGCACTCCACCTGAACAGCAACACAAATATTAACATGTCTTCTAGTATTTCAACTTTAGTTTGAAATGTCTGCAGTGTATTTGTTAACCCTAGAGTAAACACATTTAAGAAATAGATAGACGACATAGTGAACATTTTTTCACCGAAAACTTTGAAACGTGCTATTGTTTTAACGATGTATCAATATATAGCGTTAGTGGATCAAGTGAAAAACGACGAAAAACTATGCTTCTTTCAAATATTTTTTGTCTCTTTTTGCTCAAAAGGCAAGTATCGTAACAGTTAAGTTATTTGTGATTGCTTATTGTGGTATAAGGGTCAAAAAGGCGTTAAAAAAACACAAACATACATGTTCTTGCGTCAATGTGCCGGGATGTACTGCGGTGGAGAGCACTGGCACCATGGTGTTGGGAGTGGCGCCGCCAATGACGGGCACGCGTACGCTCTCTGGCGGCACGCGCAGGAAGTCCGCCAGCACGGTGTTGGCGCGGACGCAGTGGAGCTCAACACAGCCCAGCAATTTGCGAGGGTTATACACGTTCCGTAGTCTTTGTATCTCGCTGATTAAAGGCACCATACTTTCCACAGGCTCCGTACCGACTATGGTAAAGGTCTGTGAAACGGTTGATTACATTGAACCCTTTGAAAATACGTATTTGTATAGACATTTTATTGGCATATTATTCACTTGTATAAAAAGGATCATCTAATTCGGACAAAATTAGAGCGCGCACAGGTTTGACTAAACTATCGCAGAACTGTGGTCGCGCTTTGACTCCTATGAGCTTATATGCAGATGGGCATACTCATTTTTAGTTGTGCAACTAAAAAGTTGAATTGGCTACGAAACAATCGAAAATCGCACAATAGTTGTGCGATAATGTAAAGGTGTGCGCTCGCTCTTAATAAATCTTCTTTTTTTTTAGACAGCAGTTCATCTATTCTACGACTCAAGTATTTATGTGTATTTTAATGGACACAGTTTCTAACCTCGGGACAAGTGTTGCAAATCTGCAAAGCAATTTCGGTGATGATTGGCGCGCTTTTTTCAAAACTGTCTTCTTCATCACGAGCTACAATTACTACTACTTTGGCGTCCTGTAATAATTAGAACATGCTATTTATTGGCTTGCGGCCTACCGATGTTCATAATTTAAATATTAAACTAAAAGTAATTAAATAAAAAATGCAAGATTATTTTCTATACGGTATAGCTAATCGATGTCTGGCATTTTACCTTTAGGGCATCGCATAGCATATGACGTCCAGAAAACGATGAGATCTTGCATTTGGTGTCAACATGACTTAACTCCATACCATACCCGCATGTGGGGCTGATGTCGTATAAAGCTATTTCATCTAGTAACGGACTTTGTTTCAATAGCAACGCTAACGGCTGACCTGAAATCAAATGAATGTTATGATGTTTCAATAAATTGACGACATTTTACTATTATAAAATTAATAAATCCATTCACAGTGGTAGGTCAACTTAAGGTAAATCTTGTGAGTTGTTCTTGTTATCTTAAATTAATGCATCCTACAGTAATCGTAACTATTTCCAGGATAAAAAGTAGCCTATGTGTTCTTCCAGACTTAACACAAACGTTTAGGCTACAAATCTAACAAACATCCATCTAAACTGCCGTACTTATAACACTAGTATGGAGTATGATTTGTTACAAGAAAATGTGTGTTATGTTGATTTGCAATTAAAACATAATAATAATCTTTGGCAAAGAATGTAATTACTAAATAATTTATCCTCCTTACCCGTGTTGCCGGCTGCTCCACAAATAGTTACCTTCATGCCGGCAGGACATGTACTGTAGTTACGATACGCTTTACTGCTAGCGATTTGTTTCGAAAAATGTACAATGTTTGTCTTTCGTCGGACATCATTTTGTAAAAAGTTAAATAAAGTTCTCAAACGATACATTTTTTTTTGAATTTTTTAATACTAATTTAATTTAGCTGTTCATTATTTTTATGATGTTTACAGTTTATGACAACTTATTTAATCGAAAAAGAAAGTTGATGATGTCACAGAAACCTTCTTGAATTAATCAAGAAGTTTGCTTATGAGTCAACGGTGCATTTCGCCTACCTTACTAATAATTATAAATGCTAAGTTTAGATGGATGGATGGATGTTTGTAATATGTATATCTACAAACACTAAATGGATCTCTACAAGAACACATTTAGTTTTTATTTAAATCTCGCAGACGGAGTCGCGACAGACAGCTAGTCTATACTTCTATACTAATGTTATGAAGTGGAAAGATTTGTCTTTTTGTATGTATTGAAATAACTCAAAAACTACTGGGTCGATCTCTAAAATTCTTGCATCATTAAAAACCTACCTAAACCTAAATTGATGGAGCTTGCCTTAGCAATATTATTTACTAGCTTCCGCCTACCACTCCGTCCGCGTGAAAATAAAAAAAACAAAAGTGAGTAGCCTATATGTTCTTCCAGACTATCCTCTACATCTATACCAAACATCATCGAAATCCGTTTAGGCTACAAAATCTAACAAACATCCATCTATCTAAACTTTTGCATTTATAATATTAGTCTGAAGTATGACTTACAAACACTTTGTATTAAATAAGTTTTTTTTTTAAAGCATTTAACCTTTTTTAGTTACTCAGTAATATGTGAATTATAAATGGAAATCTAAATTTACTTTGCCGATAACATACCATTAGCAAAATTACAATGCGGTAAAAGTCACCATGGAAAAACTAATGTTTTTTTCTATTTCATCCACAACTTTCCACCATCATGTCAGTACAGATGTATTTAAAATGTTGAATCATTTGAAGAATTTTTTAAAACCAAAATTAAATGACAATTTATCTCTTAATGATATTTTTAAACCAATTTATTCCGTAATAACTATCTTAGGACTCTTTCCGTATAGTGTGAAATATCAAGTAAATAAACATAAATATACCATTTTACGTAAATCTATATACTTTAATAGTATTTATGGTGTTAGTGTGGTTTTAACAATATTTGTGTTTTTAGTTTTACACATTAGAGAAGTATTTTTCACTTCTGATTCTAGTCCTATTACAGACGTTTTATTGACTAAAATAAATTACGTTATAGAATTGACAATATTGATGATTTTTATTATAGTTACATACGTGAATGCATTTATAAATCGTCACAAGTATATTAAAATGTTAAATACAATAATGTCGACTTACCACGATTTATTGAAACATAAAAATGTTACTGATCTTAAACGTATATATCGTAAAGTTAATTTACTAGTTAAAAATCTATTTTTAATGTTTTCTATGCAATGTTGTATTAATTTTTTGCAAGGAGATCGATTATGGAGGATGATATTGATGTTTATAGCTTATAACTCGGTACAGACTATACAATTTGTAATGATTCTTTTTTATTATGTTACAATAATGTTGCTGGTCATTTTGTTGTCAAGTCTTGAGAAACAAATCACAGAATTACACAAAACAAATGAAGATAAATGTTTCGTTCAAATGAAAACGCAAACATTTACAGTTAGGCAAATAGAACTGTTGTATACGAAAGCTTATGAGGCCAAAACAGATATTAATATAATTTTTCAATATCCTTTATTAGTATGTATTTTTGAATGTTTTTATGGAATTGTAAATGAAGCATTAATTTTATATCAAAGCCTTTTCGTCGAAAAATGCATTACTGTTTATGAAATATTTACTTTTTCTTTTTGGATTATTTTTCATTTACTAAAGATATTCCTTTTGGCATCATCAGGACATGCTTTGAAGATAAAGGTAAGAGTATGATTTAATACCATAAAAATATTTGGTAGAACTAAAAAAAATTTTTTCCAGGTTCGCAAAATTGGACTAGCTTTGCTGGACATTCCGACAGAGGGACATGATGTGCGTTGGCATATGGAGGTATTTATAAACTAGCTTTCGCGTTGAAATAAAAAACAAAAGTAAGTAGCCTATGTGTTTTTCCAGACTATTCTTTTACATCTATGATAAACTAGCTGTTTACGACTTCGTCCGCGTGGTATTAGAAAACATACGAACTACATAAACAAAAAACTACGTATCCCTCGAGAACCAGACATTTCTCGGGGATGAATCTTATCCCATGTGTCATACAGACTTTGTTTTATATCTGTGCCATATTTCAATAAGATATGTTGAACCATTGTAGAATAATCGAGCAAACATTAAAAAACAAAATTAATCCCACGGGAAACGTAACTATTCCCGGGATAAAATGTAGCCTATGTGTTCTTCCAGACTATGCTCTAAACCTGTGCCAAATTTCATGGAGATCTTCAGTCGTTTAGGCTACAAACGCTAACAAGCAATCATCCATCCATCGTAACTTTCGCATTTATAATTTTCCTCGAGATCGGTTCAGTAGTTTAGGCTACAAACTCGTAACAACTATCCATCTAAACGTCATTTATAATATTAGTAAGGTTAACCTTTAACTTATACCCCTGATAATATCAAAGTTTAGTATTTTATTTTTTCTTACAGATACAACATTTTTTGAGAGTGATTTCTTACAAAAACATTGTAATTGTGTTGTTTGATTCAATTTCATTGGATGCATCACTAATGTATAATGTAAGTATACACCTACATACAATTTTCTCTCTGGATTTTTCCTCGTGAAAATTGTCTATTATTCCAAGTCGAGTACTTCAGTTGCATAAAGCATAATTTTTCCTTTTCAGACGCTTTGTTCGGCATCATTATTTCTTATAATATTAGTGCAAATTGATAGAACTATTATTAAATAAAAGAAGTTTGAAGCAAAAACTTCATCCAACAACAAGAGAATCCCCAGACTTGAAGACTATTACTTGGATGATCAATTCAACATATGATTACATTCTACTATTGTAGGTTTATTTGATTTACTACGGAAAAAATGTTAAAAGAAAATAAAATCTTAATAAAAAACTTGCAGAAATTCTTTCACGAAGAGAAATTCTGTTTTTGCTTGTTATTTAAATAAATTAAACTGATGGAGATAGTATAAAATAAAAAACACTATTCAAGCAAACATCAAACTTTATTATAGGAGCTAAAACAATATATGCGAGCAAAATGTCGTTCATTATTTCATTAAATTTTAATTATCAATAAACTAGCAAGAGCGATATTTGAAAAAACCGTCGACTACGACGAACAATATTAATTAAGTAAAAACCAAGACTGACTAAACACAAACATAAAACGTGAACTCCGATGTGTCGTGTGTCGGACGTTATAATTTCATTTAGTTGGTCTTGGTCGAACGGAACTCCATTCCAATACTCCCGTATCTTTTCTAATTTGAACAGTGCGTAAACGACGCGAGCGACGCGGATGACGCGAGCGACGCGTACGACGCAAGCGACGCGGATGACGCGAGCGACGCGTACGACGCAAGCGACGCGGATGACGCGTGAGACGCTTATGACGCGGCGTCGGATGACGTCACACCATTCAATTTAAAAGAAACCGTGTTAGTGCACCAGCACCGGATACAAAATGTTACAACCTCTATACTTTGCATTAAAATAATGCCCATTTTCACAGGCAAGGGATCCTAACATCGCAAACTTGTACCAGTTACGTACTCCACTCAATGTTGTCGACTTCCCTGCAAAGTTTTCTATCGTGTACAAAAGAAAACCCACGTTGACTACAAATGAAATTAGTCCGTTGGCCGGCGGCCATCTTGTTCCCGTTTAATGCTCAGCATGATATACATCTCTGCGCACCTCGCTGCAACAACTAAAACAATATTTATGCTATTCCACCATTATAAATATACATTAAAAGCTAAGATTTAGAATTTGGATAAGTAGATAATTATTTTTACTTTTATTATGAATGCAAAAACATGCTAAATAATGCTGAATATTAAACTGGAAATAATCCACACATTTTTTTTTGTGATTTTTTCTTTACATACATTTTATATATTTTTTTTACATTTTCTTAAAATAATTTATTGAGTAATTTCCACGCTGGGAAAATTACACTAATTCTATGCAAAGTATAGCTTGTATTTAATTACATGACCACTCCATACTTTGTTTCGAAGTTTACGGGCTATGCTATGTACTCGCACATTGGCAGCGACGCAAATAAAATCATTACTCTAAATAAAACCACACAATAGAATATAATATACGATTCTCATGAGCCATTTTAAATAAAAATTTCATTTTTTTCTGTTCGATATTCTATTGGATTGGATATATACATACAAACATGTTTCCAACAAAACATCAAAGACTTCGACTTGTTTGTTTTTTACTAAACAATGTCCCTCAAATATCATTAAAAACTATGAATGTAGAAACGTGCCTGCCAGTTACCAAAAATACATGCAATTATAAGTGATACAATTAATTATACACGTGATATGACAAGAATACATTTTTAAATAATAGTTATACATTTGAGAATACATGCAAGCACTAATTACACATATGATATGCCAAGAATACATTGAAAATGTCAGTTATCCAACTGAAAATACATGCAAATGTTATTTATACATATGATATGCCAAGAATACATTTGTAAATGGCTGTCATACGACTGAAAATACATGCAAAAATTAATTATACGTATGATATACCAAGTATACATTTAAAAATGGCAGTATACATAAATACACTGCCAATATGCCAGTTATACAGCATAGCCCGAAGCGAATCCCGATCGTATGGGGGTATTGAAGGTACAGTCTCAGTCCCGGCGACATCGCGCGATAAACATCGCAGTGGCTTTCCGTGCTCTCTACTAAAAACACTCCAAACTAATAAGGCAAACATTTTTATACGTAGATAGGCCAAAATAAATTAAATTATACAACTATAGACATGTATAGTCCTGCTGTAAGTGCAAATTGAATATACTGGCATTATATGTAAGATTAAAATTCTTATTTGCCAATAAACGAGTCTACATTTATATTGAAATAGACGTGAAATCTTAAAATACAAGCAAACAGGCCTATCTATATATTTAAATATTTAACTTGGAGCGAATTACAATCGAGCGATTTACAAATTCACTCGGAGAAACACCAGTTGCCACTAATAAATGATAAACGGATGTCGCACGTTCGAGAATTCTCACTTCTTCGTCATAATCTTGAGATACTCCAAAGCGTTCTGAGCAGCCGAGGACTGAGCATCCTTGCTGGTCAGCCCCGAGCCATAGCAGACAGCCACGGGCAGAGTAGACAACTGCACAAGGCATTGAGAACGCCCTGTCATAGATTTCTCCTCAATATCAACGTAAGTCACTTCAAACGCTTGCTCCGATGCTATCTCTTGCAGAAATTGGACGAAGTTGAAATCCTTGTTGTTCAATGGAGTCACCTGTAAACAGAACACATGTTTAAAGACCAGTTAAATAGATTTGATAAACGCCAGCATGCACAACATTCAGTCTCTTACTGCCACAGTCTTTTAATGATTATTTTTTTAATAAATTTTTATTAATTTTACTAATATTATAAATGCGAAAGTTTATATGGATGGATGTTTGTTAGAGTTTGTAGCCTAGACGGCTGAACGAATTTGGCATAGATGTAGAGGATAGTCTGGAAGAACACTTAGGCTACTTACTTTTCTTTTTAATTCCACGCGGACGGAATCGCGGGCGACAGCTAGTTTACTAATATTTCTTGTACCATTCCAATTAAACTCAGTTTTTACTAAGAATGGTTTAAATAATGAAATGGCCATGAACTGATAGGTACGGTTCAGACAGACCTGAGTGTGAAGTAGAGCAGAGCGTGTTATCGCAATTAAAATTGAGTCTTATACAATTGAAATAGAGTTTAATTTTACTTTGCTCATCGTGTTCATCAGGAGCAATCAGCAACATAAAAAAGAAAATCATACTTAGCTTTAATCACATGAAGCACAATTTTATTTGTGATAAACCCTTAAGCTATATGCTCCAAACAATTTACATGGAGGTTAAGTTTTCTCATAAGTTACATACATAAGTGTGTTCATTACTGATCATTAAATGTGAATGTGGCAGTTTCATTATCATGCAGGTTAAGGGCAGAGGTTACCATGCATGTCAGATTTAATAGGCATATCAGATAAGTTATCTTAGCAATAGACACAACTAGAAATAAAATTCAAAGGTTATATGTATTAATAAAAATAAAATCGCAATATTTTCTTTAAATATCCTGAATGAGTAATCATATATATAGACAATATAAGGAGTAAATAAATAAAACATGATAATAATCATGATTTGTTTTGTGTAATCCATACAAATATTATAAAGAAGATTTGTATTTTTGTATGTATTGAAATAACTCAAAAACTACTGGGCTAAGTTCAAAAATTTTTTCACCGTTAAAAAGCTACGTTTTCAGTGAGTAACATAGGCTCCATTATGTAACATTTTTTAATTTCACGCGCTGAAGTTGCGAGCCGACGACTGAACTGACTGAAGATGTAAATATGTGACAATTATAAATACATATATATATTATGATCCACATAAGGTAAAAATAAAACTTGTTTATCCATACAGGTAACATTGAACAGCAAAAAATAACTAAATACTCTTCATGCCAACATTTAAAACACATTCAAGAACAAATTTAAGAATCATTTCATTACCCGACTGACAGAACATTTTTATCTTGTTTATTTATTTTATTCTTAAAGTGTTTTCTCAAAACAATTTATGCTACATTTTTCTTTGAGGAATAATAAACACCTGATAATCTCATTTATCATCTATGAATATATTTTGGAACATTTCAGTGTTTAAATTGACTTGCACATGTATACTAATATAAAGATGAAAGATTTGTAGTTATGGATTTTTGTATGTATTCGATTTACGTAAAAACTACTGGGCCGATTTTAAAAATTCTTGCACCATTAGAAAGGTAATTTATCTGAGAGTAAAATAGGCTATATGGCCAACATTTTTTAAGTCCAGGCCGGCGAAGTTTTATAAGAATTAAATTGTTTAGATAAGTTTGTTATAACTTGTGATTTCCCTTGAATTCGACTATATATGTGTAACTGTGTATATGACTGACTTTATTTATTTATATTGTAATGTTGGTACTGCAGTCAGTCGGGTTTATTGACAGATTGATGAGTGTTATCATACCTGCAACTTGGCCAGGTTGGGGCCGATAGATTGCTTTAGATGTTTGTGGAACTGCGACACCTTGTGGCTGTGACTTGTAGTCAGTGTGGAGATTTTACTATCTTTCAAATCGGCATAGCGCGACGCGACACCCTAGAACATAACAATTATTACATTTTTATATATTCATCTAATCCGTCTGAAAGATAGTAAAATACCTGGCCAAGTTCGACCAAACATTTTGATACCTACAGAATTGTATTATGGGATTGCTGTCTGTTTCAATGGGAGATTCACTCTACTTTGAGGAATTAGAAATCAGGGGTATCGCCAAGGGGTAGGCGTTGGTATAGTTCTCCTTAGAGAAACAAAATTTAAAAAAAAACTATATCCAATAGTATACCAAGTATATAAAGTATATCCATATTAATACATGGCCTAAATTATTTGCAGGTGACACCCATGGACATGTGTTAATACAAAAATAAAGTAAGCGCTTGGAAACTTTTCTATAGAATATTTACATTTGCTATGTGATTTACAAATAAAAAACGAGTTCACAATAATTTATGTGAATGTTTGCAATGAGGATTTTTTTGAAACCACTAACTAGTAATAGAATGTAAGTTGCATACAAAATAGATGATTTTATTAAATTCCTAACTAATCTATATTGCAATATAAAATTTTCAATATTTTTACTCAGACCTACTACTACATGTAATAGTCTTTTTGTACAAAAAAAAAATAATATTAAATTGTTAAAACTTAAGATATTTGTGCAAATTAGTGGACAACATTTGTTAAAGTAATTATTGAAGGGAAAAATGAATTAGTAATTAGTCTTTTATGCAACACAAAAAGGCAAACAGGAGAACAGATTTTCACATTTAAGGCAAACACAATATATATAGAAAACATAGTATGAACCTTTAGTTAACCCAATTTTAATTAAAATCTATTCATGAAATGATTTAATTCCATTTAAAGACTTAACACTTTCAGTGCCACCAGTGTGCCATTCATGTTGAGTTCACTCCATATAAAAAAAATGTAGTGGCATGAAGGTTTAAATATGAACAATTGATATAGTAAATTACATTTCACAAGTATAAATGCCGAAGTTCAGATACATGGAATGATGTTAGAAAGTATCACCAGAACAGCTAAATGAATCTCAATGAAATTTGCCACAGATGCAGAGCATAGTCTGTTCAAAAAACATCCGCTTGGACAGAACCACAAGAAATAGCTAGTTAATATTACCTCTTCCTCATTCTGGAAGGATTCCGGAGGGTTATCCTTCAGCGCCTGCCACATCTTGTATGCAGCCTGACGCTTGGCCAACTTCTTAGACTTGCCCGTTCCCACTTCACGACGCTTTAGTAGCGTACACACGATAGTGAACTGACGCTCATGAGGCAAACCTGAAATAGAATAATAGTTTTACACAAAGCAAATAAATCTTGTTAAGATTATTTCAATTAGATGGTTTTGTTCTCAAACCAAACTTTCCTATTACAACTTTTCATCAGTAGCATTTGAAGTGTTAAATTAATCTGTACTTTATAAAGCGGAAAGATTTATATTTTGGTATGTTTTGAAATAACTCAAATTCTACTGGGCTGATTTTAAAAATTCTTTCACGGTTAGAAAAGTAGGCTATACTTTATAATTTATAATGACACAAGCCAAAAGCTAGTAAAAAATAAATAAACAGCACAAACTTTTTACTTTGCTGATATGTAACATTAATTTATCCATTTTTGTAGCTACAATCCCCGAAAAATATACAAAAAAAGTCACAAACATCAGACCACATTTAGTATTTTTAAAAACTTACGTCTATTAACGTTATCATCATTTTCCGCATGATATGAAGGCGGTGGCCAGAAACGAGACATGCACAGCTCCTGCAGCCAGCCCACCGGATTGCCCATCAGCTTGTCCTCAAACAACGACACCACTGCACCACTTAAACAAAAACATTTACTCTCAATTATAATATACAAAAATATATAATAAAAACACAGTTTTCACCCCAATATATTCTCTCCGTTCTGACAATTTTAACTATAGCCAAAAAGAGATAAGTGTACACTGCAACTGACAGCTAAAATTTCATCTATACACGCATTTTAACTAAAAAGTACAAGTCTTAACTTATTAGTTATAATTTAAAAATTAAAAACAAAACTTGAAAAACAATATGGAACCTACAATAAGTTGAATGTAATTGGACTTCATGTGATGTAAAAAATAGCTCATTATTCGTCATTTGTCATCATTCATATTAAAATTCCAAAGGCATTTCTCTTGTAGATTTTCAAATAAGACCATAGGTTGTTCAAATTGGTAAGTATGACTGTACACTTCTAGATTAAATATCAAGCTTACGGTTCAGGGACATTTCCATTAGTTGGTGGATCAGGTGGAGCTGCACCGGTGAGACGGTCCAGCAAAGCCTTGGCAGCTGAGTGCTTAGCTTCTTTCTTAGACCTCCCTGTCCCCATAGCTATAAATATATATAGTTTTAAAGTTCTACTTTTTTACACAAGGCTGCCAATAACTGGGAAATGGTTTAACTGTGCTCACCATAGTGAGAGCATTCCCGTATCCTAATTTTTTTTTAAATAAAGAAAAGTATATAAAACTAAGAATGGGTGCACACATTTGACTATACTGTCGCAAAACTGTTGTGTGATTGTCAATTAATTTGTAGCCTATACAACTGTTTAGTTGCACATCTCAAAATTTAATAGTAGTGTGCACTCCTCTATATAAGCTTATAGGAATCAAAGTGAAACCTAACAGTTGTGTGATAGTTTAGTTGTGTGCATGCACTCTTATTTAAGTTGTCATTTACAAAAACTTTTAAATATGCTACATTAATCCTTATAAGAATTTAAAGTAACTGTAGTATGGTTTTCCTTACCGACTAAATCAGCAACAGTGACTCTGTAGCGGAATGTAGGTTCATGAATCATTCCCTCTATTTGTACCAGCTCATACTTTGGCACTGTTCCACGGCGGGCTAATAATTCTTGTAAGACCGAAACTGGGGTTTTCATAGGAAGAGCTTCCATTTCCTACCAAAACATATGTAACACTAAGATAGATAAAGTTACTTATAGTTAAAAGTATCAATAGATTGTTTTGGTTTCAAATAGGATTCTTATAAGTTCACACAATGCTTTGGTAAAAGTTCCATTAGATATTGTTTTGTTTTGAAAGTGTATTTCAGCATTATCAATATCAGATAGACTTTTCTTTTAGCGTTATTAATTTAATAACTTATTCAACAAACCCTTTTAGCAGCTTCATCGAGAGGCAGACGTTCTAAGCTGCTGGGTTGCTTGGGCCGATTCTGAAATCTGCGACGTGGTCCGTGAGGCACGTGCTCACCGTCCGGGCCGGCGCCGTGCATCGGCATCCCGTGCACCACGCCCGGCACTCCCGGGTGCATGCCCCCTGGCTGAGGGTGCACCACTCCGCCGTCCATCTATTGCACAAAATAGCATTCAATCGCATCGTATACGCAGTCCAACACTATTGTAACCTAACAGTTAAAATTTTTAGTGTATTAACGATAATTTGCACTCTTATTTCTTAATCGTTAAATTAATAATACAGTTATGGTAATTTAAAAGAATAATTTTTTTAATGTTAAGTTTTAGTGTTATTAATGTAATTATGTCAATTCAATTAAAGGCAATACATTTTTAAAAGCTGGGATAAAGGTGTTCTGAGTATTATCAACCCAAAGAACTTACTGTTAAGATTTATTTGCTTTACAAAAAGTGTTTTAAGGAGAAAATAATTTCACGAAGGTGTAACATGTGATCGGGTAAATGACATGGCGCCGCACCGGCCATTACCCGCAAAATGGCTACATGCCGGCAAAACTTGCCAAAGATTTATGTTATTTATTGAAAAAAAAACATATTTTTTCATGATTTAAAAGAAATTTAAGTACCTACCATTTTATAATATCTATCCAAGATTGCAATTTAATTAAACTTTGGTTAATTAGCTTTTATACTGCTATCGCACTTAGTTATTTTAGATCACATACACTTTTGCAAGTAAAAACAATCTTTACAATATTAGAGAAAATAACGCGATTATTAGCCGTACAACTTAATAGATACCGAGAAAAAATCTTAATTAAATTTTATGCACAGCAAATGATTTTATGAACAAAATCATATAGAACATAGAGTATGTAATAGTAATGGACCTAGACATAGACAAATGCATAGTCATCCGACACTGATCGATTTAACAATTCCTTAGTAGGTAGGTTGTATCCCTTGACATTTTGTGCCTTTATGGTTTTTCATTTTGGCGCTAGCTGTATTAATTGATATCAGTGCTGGAAACCCAAACTAATAAAAGATATTGAATTAACTTAGAAGTAACTTCAACGGACTCCTGACACGTTGTAGAAAGTAGTCGATCGGTTAGGAAATAAAACACCGTAAGTGGTTATGGATTTGGCCATACGCTTCGCCGGAATCCCAGTCACATTTCCAGGGAGGCCCTCGAGTGGATCCAACTGGGAACAAGAAAGTGTGGCCGTCTTAAACAAACTTGGCGGCATTCAGTAGTGGCCGATGTGAAGCAATTGGGCTGTCATGGCCCGAGACAAAACGCAGAGCCCAGGACCCAGCAAATTGGCGGCACACTGTAGACTCCCTCTGCCGCACTTCGAGTGATTGTCCTGTGTGACAATAAGAACTTCAACGGACGTTTTTATGTTGGAACAAAGCGAATGCTGTCATTTAGTAACAACGACCTATTCAGCGTTTATCATCATTGATCAAAAGTTACCTGAGTGGTGACAGAAACTTATTGCTTTGCCATAATGTCTGGCGTGCATTGCCTTGCCTTGCACGAGAAATTTTGTAGATGGAGGTTAAATGGAGGCAAGTCCGTAAGTAAAGAAGGAGAGGATCTCTTTTATAAACCACCAAAAATGCAATAGTTATTATAAATATCTAGACTAATCATTTCATGAAAAAAAAATTAGATACTTGAAAAGTAATTTAATTTGTTTAACAAACATTACAAGCAGGGGAAATCAATTTACTTTCGAACTTTAAAAATGTTTTTCCGTGAAAATTTAAATTGATTTAGTTTCAATTTTCTCGAAGGTGTAACATGCAGGTAGCGATCAGGGACTGAAGGGATATTTCGGTCTGTAGTAATAGATTTGCAAATATTGGACCGTGTTTCATCATCCTTCGACAGTGTCCATGTTTCTATTTCTGCACTGCTAATGTCCTTTTCAAATGCATCTTCCATATTAACTGTACAGTCATTTTCAAGGTTAAAGTCATTCAAATCTTCATCAAAAACTGAATTATCGAGTCTAGGTTCATCGCGAAATTGCAACGGTGGTAATATAATGTCTTCTTGCGCTAGACTTTCTAGGAGTGATTTTGGATTCAACATAGATTGACTTATATCTAAATCATCACTGAATAATTCTGTTTGCTCGAAAGTAGGACTTTCACTGTTAGACGATTGTAGTTCAGGAGATTCGGAATCATCAGAATTTTGTCCTGTAATTTCAATATCGGGTTCAACTAAAGACTGATTTATTACAGGATCGTGTTTATTTGTGTCTGTGTTATCTTTAATACTTTCAAGTATTTTTTTCATTAATTTCGAATGGTCTAATTCTGGAGGTGGTTGAGTATTTTGATGTTTAGGCTCGTCGAGTTTATCTAGATCTCTTATTCTAAAGGGTCTGTTAATTTTAGGATTTTTATTGATTGTCGTATTTTTGATGCAGGTAAAATTGGGCGTAAAACGATCTCTTGTATCTGATTCACAAAATTTGCTGGAATATAATTCGTTAAAAATTAGCGCAATTTAAGTTTAATGCAGAGCCTAAAATTTTAAGTTAAACATTTTAGGATAAGGAAACGTGAATAAATAAATAATTTAAAAAATAAAATTTATTTTTCCTTTTGCTATTTACGAATTTTAATATAAAATGAAAACCTTTTCATACGTTAATACTCAAAAATTACCTGGAGGCTATCTTTTTGTACTTGTTGATAATGTCTTTTACTGTGTTTAATGTTTCAGGAACGGAATTATTTTGTTCCATATGTGTTTCTTCATATGTTTCGTTCAATTTTTGTGCCGATTGAGAGTTTTCTTTCAATTCTGGTTGTACCGTGTTTTTTTCTTGATTATTATAAATGTTAATTGTTTGTTCTTTTTGTGGTATCAATTCAACTATATCGTTTTTGCAAGTAGTTTCTTCCATCTTTTCGTTTTTTATTTTGTTTTGGTCATCATTTAATTTATTGTCTACTAAAATGTTAGGTAGTTCCTCTTCAATGGACGTAAAATTGCCTTGTTCTAAAGTAGTTTGATCTTTAACAATGTCCAAATCTATTTGAACTTTACTTATGACGCAATAATTAGTTTTCTTATTAGTTTTCGTGCAAATGTTTACCTTTGTTTTGGTAAATGAAAACTTTTTCATATATTCACATTCTGAGGAAATGGTACTATCTAATAGTTTGTTGAAATATGGTTGAAGGGGGGTTTTTTTGTCCTGGATCTTTTGAGCTTTTTCTAAACCACTGTCGGACCGAAGTTTAGAGTCTTGATTTATGTTATTAGTAGGATTAGAACATAATATTGGAACCAAAACCTTATTAAATTCAACGTAATCATTTAAATAGTCAATGTCCATAGTTTTATTGATTTTATTTAGTTCTAAGTACTTGTGATTGTCAAATTGATTTGGTTTTACACAAATAATGCTCTTGTCTTCGTTATTAGTTTCGACATCTTTGGAAATCAATCCCTCTTCTTGTAATATTTGTGAAACACAGTCTTTTGTTGTAATACGTTTTAGATTTTCTGGATTAGGTATTGTATTAGGGTTTTCACTAGTTTTAATAGGATCATAGTCCATATTATTGTTAATGGGTTTATTTTCGTGGACCTTTGAATAGATATTTGTAAAGTTAGACATTTTATTATGTTCATTTTGTATCTTTCTTAATGCAAAGAAATCATTGGATATGTTTTGATCGTTATCAGGATTGGACATGACGTTATTGTTTTCAATGGTGTTCGAAATGAATATGGGGTTTATGTAATTTAAATCATCCCCTTCGAATTTATTGAATTCTAACTCATCTAAGTTATAATGATCATTCGACTTATTTTCATTCTGTAATATTACGCTATTTGTTTTATTGGTTTTGGAAGCTTCGGTGATTATTGTTCCATTCTGATGTTCAATTTGTAATTGTGGTAATGTAGACTTTCCAATGTCTTCTTTATCAAGAATTGAAAGTTCTTTGGAGATTTTTAAAGTGTCATCGATGTTTTTGTTATATAAATATTCACTATTTTCATTAGTTGGTAAAAGGTCTTCACAATACGATTTGCTTGGACTTACTTCTAACAAATTTAGAATATTTTTTTCTATGTCATTGTCACTTCGTTTAGCTTTTTCTATATATTCGTCAATGTGATTTTTAGTAATGTTAACAAACGTGCTCTGTTCACCTGTAATTACAATGTCATCATTTTCAGTCATATTATTTGCTTTCTCTTGTATTTTATCAATAATATTGAAGTTGTTTTTCTCTTTTCTCAATGCCTTATTAATTACCCTAGGTCTAGTTTCTGTTTTTACTTTAAAGTCATAAATAACTGGCACAGATTTTTGAGTCACATTGTAGCTAAGTTTATTTTGTACCATACTTCGTTTTTCGATTTCATTTAAAATTTCGCTGAAATTCGTAAAATTTACGTTTTCCTGCATTTTATTGATAACAGTTATGTTGTTTTCTTCATTTTCTATTGACTTTTTAAAAACAGTTCCACTTTTCGGTGTATTAATCTCTAAATGATTTTTTCTTTCAACGATCGTTTTAGTAAAAGGTTTAGATATTGACATCTGTTTTTGAATTATATTGTGGTTAGGTTTAACTTGTTCTAGAATTTCTTTTTCGATATCATTTAAGATTTTACCTATTTGTTCATCTTCTTCATTACTCTCTTTAAATTTCATAGTATTTGTGTCCTGCATTTCATCAACAACATTTATGTTGTTTTGTTCTTTCTCTATTATGTTGTTTAAATATTTAATTTCAGTTGTTGTTTGTTGTGGTTGTTTTGTCGTCTTAACTTCTAGATCATAAGTTTCTCTTCCCATGTGTAGATTACTAAAAGGAGTAAAAACAACTGGCAGCTGTTTTTGAGTTACATTGTTGTTACTTGCGCTTTGTTCTAGAATTTCTTTGTCGTTTTTATTTAAAATTTCATTTATTTCATCGTCCTCGTTATTACATTCGCTCATCGTAAAAAAATGTTCATCATCAAATAAATCAACACCAAAACTATTTTTCTGTAATATTTCATTGCCTTCGATTTTCTCACTTTCAGTCTCATTGCGTTTATCATTTGGTTGAGTGAATGATTTAATTTGTTCGATTATAGCAAAATTACATTTCCTTTTTACCGCGTTCTTGTCAACAGGATCGTAATTCTGTCTTTTTCGTATTTTAAAAGTATCTGTTATGGCTGTTTGTTTAACATGTTTGCTGTCTGTTTTCTCTTTTGAAGAAATTGGTATAACATTAGAGTGAGATAATTCTAGCCCTTGAAATGTATGTTCACAATGAACATCAATGCCGACTGAAAAAATACTTATTTTAGAATTTTTTTTTACTGTATCCAAATCAAGATTATAAACAGTTTCCTTACCGAAGTTAGAACTAATACAGTGAGCCATAATTTTGTGTTCAAAGTTATGTCTTCTAACAGCTTGGTATGTTATTTCGCCATCATAAATGTTTATTAGGTCTTTGTCTCTGGAAAATTATTTTTAAAAATGTTGTAAAAACTCTAAATTATGCTATTTAATTCTTGTTTTTAATACTTACTTGAAAGTTGCTAATATTAGTAAATAGTTTTCAGAATCTCCTATAATTATGTAAGACTTGTGATTCGCACCGGCAGTTAAATGATCTAGGTTCTCAGCTAAATGCATTTGATTTAGAAGTTTTAGTTGTACGCTTACGCTATTTTCATCTATTGGGGTAATTGTTAGTTGATACTTTGGTAGTAAACTTATTTGTTTGCGAAGAACATTACCAGCTGGTGGACCTTTATTCATTATCTGCAGAAAATTACAAAAAAAAGTCGGCTCACATTCTAATTCTACTGCTACCAATAAAAAAAAACAGCTTGTGCTGTAAAAGCTATTATGCCCGGTGAACACTTGGCAGTTAGACAGTTGGGCCGCCCGGCGTAGATTGTGTGAAGTCACTGGCTTCAGTTAGCGTTCACACTATGCTAGTCCAGTTATTTTGCGATACTGACCAGCTGTCTTGGCCAGGTGTAAACAGCGCATTCGTCTATGGCTAGACAGCATCATACATGCCATCATAATAATATTTAAAAAGGCGAAAGTTTAGACGGATGGATGTTTGTTAGAGTTTGTAGCCTAAACGGCGGAATGGATCTCGATGGAATTTGGCATAGGTATAGATAGCCTGGAAGAACTCATAGGCTATACTTTTTATTTCCACGCGGACGGAGTCGAGGGCGACAGCTGGTAAATAATTCACAGAATAACCTCTAAAAGAGTATTAACTCACTCTTTCCAAATCTCGTGGATGACTCTCTTCTAGTAACATGAAGTTAATTTTTCCAGCAGTAGCGAGTAAAGTGCTGTAAGTCGGCCCAATTCCTTTCAACTGTTTGCTAACGTATTTTGAATTCTCCCAAATTTGTGACTCGAGGCATTTCGCTAAAACTATAGCATTTAATACTGCCTGATAGTTTTGCGGAGAACTCCATTCGTTCGATCGAGTTACATAAGACAGTAAACCTGAAATTATTTTTATAATGCTATTTTTTTATAGTTTGTTGGACTAGTAAACTAATTAAAACCAAAAACTAATACAAATATTCCGAATATCCTTAGAGACTGAAGTAAATTAATTTCATTTTTCACTGCAATTTGGTTATTTTACTTCGTAATATTATGAATGCGAAAGTTTAGATGGATGGATGTTTGTTAGATTTTGTAGCCTAAACGGCTGAACGGATCTCGATGAAATTAGGCATAGACGAAGAGTATATCCTGGAAGAATACATAGGCTTACTTTTGTTTATATGGAGTGGATGGAGTCGCGGGCAAAAGCTAGTATTAAAATAAGTAATAAATAACGTTTATTTTGGAATCCGCAATTGACTACACATATCGTATGACAAAGATAGAATTGGGACATTTAAGTAATATAAGCAAAACCGTGGCCTTGTTTGTCTGTTCAGACATATTTCTAGGTGCGGCTAATCACAATATGTGATTACAAATTGTTAATACTTTATTTATATGGAGATATAAATCTTTTAACTTATTTAATCATGAACATATTTATAAATGATTTTCAATTATCAAATTAAATAAAATCTTTAAGCTTATTTTAGCGAAACGAAGATAATCAAGGTAGAATATTTGCACAGTATTTGGTTATAAATTTTAATTAAGAATTAATGTTAATAGAATTTGTAACTGTTAAAAAGAGCTAAAACATACTAAAAAATCTTATATTTGCTACCCAGGTTTCTAGTGCTAAAAGTAACATCTATATAGCAGAGCAATACTTAAGTGGTCAAAAGTGTAGAGTATCCATTTTACTTACATTTACAAATGCGATTAGCAATTCGCATTATTTTGACGGCTTCTTGATTTAAGGAGGGTTCATGGATGGGTAGACAGCTTAGCACAGCCTGGATTATACTGTGAGACACAAGACAAGGAATTGAAAATGTTTTTTTGAAGAAAATATACGATAATAGATTAGGTTGATTAGCTTGAAAAGCAAGCATAGTCCACTAGTATATACTAGTATTGTCTTATTTTAAGTAGTTTTATATATATTCCGGTCATGCCCATAACAAGTAATATAACTGTGAATATGTCTGACAGTGGAAGAGTCCGCTTTAACATTTTCGCACTGTAGGTTGGCTGGCCCCCAGCAATACCACGACCACACAGAAGACAGGTGTGAAGGGAAGCAATTCCGTGTTTCATCTGAAGTGTGGTGCCGGAGGTCTCATTTTAGTCCCTTTCCCTTTTCTTGAGAGGAAAGGATGGGTATGGAATGTGAATTTGACGGTGGAGGAGATATAAATATGAACTTTATGAGCGTCTCCTCCTCCATCGATTAAGTCTCTGGGCAGCATTAGCTTCGCCATTTCTCCGGATTCAGGTGGCCACTTGCTACCTTATGAAAATAAAAACTAATTCATATTGTACAATTAACATGGCATATTGTCTAAAGATGCAACTCTACGCGTCTCTTCGAGGTTTGTTTTGTGATTTCACAGGAAGAAGACTGAACTGATCGTTTTATGCAGTCTTTGGTTACCTAACCACATGCTACCCGGCAGTGGCGAGGTATTTTACGATGGTATATTGTGTGGTTGTTAGCTGTGTTTACATTGTTATAAATAGTACCTGAGTTTCTTGACTAGAGAAGATTGACCTATTTAAACTTTGATAGCATTTTTCAGCAGCAATAATTAACGACAATAATCAAGCGATTACTTATACGATTTTTAAAACATTCGTTCATTATATTGTTATACTTTTCCTTGTATTTGAGCAAAGCGAGATAACAATTTGTTTTCAAAAAGTGTTTCTACACATGACAACTTTAGACGGTTCGTATTAATCTTACTTCCGACTAATTTTATAAATGCGAAAGTTTAGAAGGATGGATGGATGTTTGTTAGAATTTGTAGTTCTCGATGAAACTTGGCATAGATGTAGGGGATAGTCTGGAAGAACATATTGGCTACTTACTCTTGTATTTTTTTAATTCCACGCAGGCGGAATCGCGGGCGAAAGCTAGTCCTTTAAAATCTTACCAGTTAAGTTTCATCTGCCTTGTGTTGATCTTCCCCTTCATAGGGAAGCGTATAGTTGCGGCTGCGTTGTTTCTGTTTAGCGCGTTTAGGCATCTCCGTTCGTCAACGCGGAGGTGCATATCAGATAGTTCGTGACTCTCGCATACAACCCATAATAACTGTTCTAGAGACTCGTCGCCTTTTATCTATGCGAAAAGATTTGCTTAGATAGTTAAAACGAACGGGTTTTAACTAAATTGTTCTTTTATCTCGATACAAGGATAAAAGAGCCGCTTGGTACAGGTCAGTGTACCCGATTTTTTGGGTACATCAGTTAGAAGACCCAAAATGTATTCTTATTTGAATATCACGTTACTTTGAAATACTGAGACTCGATAATTTACTTCAAACCCAGTCAAGGCTTGGGTATGGATGTAATATAATATTTAAAAAGAAGACATAAGTTTATTTTACTAAATTATGTACTAAAACGGCCTCAGTTTTCACCAATCAGATGATTAGTGCTGGTCTCCAACAATACCGATTTGCGTGATTTCTCATGTTTTTTATGTTATATGAGTATCATGATTTTTTTGGTTTGCCTAAAATTAATAATAATTTTAATATAAATTTAATAAACAAAGTCTTTAGTCTACGAAATGATAAGAATGTTTTAAATGAAATAACCCAAAAAATAAACTGACGTGGGATAATACAAAATTAATATTTCAGATATACAAATGAGCCAGACCTCTTCGTGGATATGAGCAAATCTTAAAAGCTTTTTAAACTAATGATAAATCGATATCAAATTGTCATATTACAAAATTAAAATATCTAAAAGAATCGCAAGTTTATGAACAAGTAAATATGAGGAAAATCGGGTGATGAACTATTCTTTTTTTTAGTCGGGTTTGCTTTTTTATCATCCGTATGACAATTGGTACATTGGTGCATATTGCATCAAATTTTCTTATTATAACTAAAACTCGAAAATTTACTAAACGTATTTCAAATATTCTTCCATTACCCAATAAAAGCTATTCTAACAAGTAACGTAAGATTTACTTTTTATCTGTTTAAATTAATAGACAATAGATATCACAAACGCAGATAAGTCTTCGGTGCAAGGATTATGAAACACGATGCGACACACAAATGATATTACAATAGAAACTCGATGAGTCTAGACTGAAGTGTTAAGGGGATAATTTAAAGCCTGAGGGTTAATTACATTGCAGTGCTTTTCTAACCAATGAACTATACAATTAAATTATCATGCTAATATTATAAATGCGAAAGTTTAGATGGAAGAATGTTTGTTAGAGTTTGTAGTCTAAACGGCTGAACGGATCTCTATGAAATTTGGTATAGATGTAGAGGATGGTCTGGAAGAACACATAGACGCATTTTTGTTTTTTCTTAATTCCATGCGGACGGAGTTGCGGGAGAAAGCTAGTAATAAATAGTTGTCACTTACTAAGATGTGGAAATGGAATATGAAAAGAAATTATACTGTATTTCGATAAGTTATAGTTTAAATGTTCATTATTAAATACTTCTACACTATCTTACATCACTTACTTTCATTATACGTTTCATGGTTTCCAAATCCAAATAGTAAATAGATAGTAAACGGCCAGCTTCTGTTGATTGTATGCAGCATACTTCATCCTTCGTTATCAGACCCGACCTTTCTAACCCGTTCACTGCTTTCATGCACATATCTGATTAAATTAAGGATGACAGTTTACCCAAAAGATTAAATATAATTTTATTATTAATTATTTAAATTACGGCCACGTGACATAAATCTTAATACAAGCTCGTTAAAGTGTCTTCAATGACATTTTACAATTTATAGGGTATGCAACAGGTTGAAATACAATTTATATAGTCTTAAACGTTAAGCTGAAAGCGGAATTTATATCCATTTTTATCAATTAACAAGTTAATAAAAGGTTGTTCATATCACTATTAAATACCAGAAAAGTAAAACAAACTTTACTAGTAGAGTGTTGGTATTAATAACGAAATTGTGCAGTCAAAATATAAAACGCTTGTAGTCTCTTACTTATACTTGGGGTTAGAGATCGCATGCCTTGATAAATCTAAAGATGGCACGTTCTTTCGACACACATTCGTCATGATCCGGAACTAGTAGCGGATTCATGAAATCCAAAGTGCAATGTGCATTTATTTTAACAAACTTTATAAAGCCACAGATTGCGTTTGACATCTTTATCAGATTATTTAACATCCCTTAGATGCCTTCCACATTTCTTACCATATAGAACATAGACGTAAATTAGAAATGTAACGATTGGTATGCTGTTTATTTAAGTAGACATTCTGTGAAGACGGACTTCCATGTAGAGTAGACCCATTAATGGCTCTACAAAGACCTTACAATTGTTGACTGATCTTGAGTTTACTTGTTCTAAATGTATGACCTACTAGCTGTTCCCATGCGACTTCATCCGCATAAAATTATGAATATTTTATTTTATTGTTTTTTAACAAATTCTCGATTGCAAATGTCAAAATACCAATGACCTTACTATGGCAATCTTGTTTCTTGACGTTAGCAGCTCGTATCGTATGGTCGGTTTCCCACATTAGGGTTTTTATCAAAATGTTTACCCCCTAAGTTTAATGGCGTGAAAATATATATCCTAAAGCGTGACGTAAGTATAGGGCTGTTTATAAAGAAATAATTATTCAAAAATATGCTGTAATTGCTGAGATCTTAGGGAACAAAGAAATGTGTGTTTACGCTTTATTATAACAAGTATAGATATAACTAAATTTATATCCTGTTTTGGTAATAAATGTTTTACTGTAATACATACCTTCAATTTTCCTAGAAATAAGATCTGTAGGCGCTGACTGCGGGAGACCTAGATACATCTTCGGGTCACGTGCTGCTCGTACAAAGAGAAACGTGGATCGAACCCACTGAACGCACTGCGCTAGGTCGATCAGAGTTCCCAGAGCCACTTCGCTGTTTAGATTCTCAGCTAAACGTTTATGTAGATAGCTTTGTAGAGGTTCACATCCTCCGACTAGAGCTTGATATCTTGCCTACACAAAAAAATTTGATAAATAGAACTAGTTAGTTTTATTTTTTTACTACAGTTTGGCGTAATATTGTATAATGTAGAGCTAAATTGTTGTTTGAGTTTTATTTACTACATTATAATATTTCTGTAACCCTATTAAAACTGCATATACGCGCTGTGATTATTATTAATTTCCTTGCTGGTAATAATAGCTTTATTTAAAAACATGATTGACGTTTTGTCATTGCCATTTTGACATTTGAAATTAATAAATCATCCTTATCAACGATATACTCAATATTTTATACAAAATATTATAAAAATGGCTTTAACTAAAGAAGAGAAAAAGGCAAAAAAGGAAGCTAAAAGGCTAGAGAAATTAAAGGCAGAGGCTGAAGAACGGAAGAGACTAAAAAATGAAGAACTCAAACGAGAAATGGTTGCGCAGGCTCGGAGACGAGGGGCATTGGATAAAAAATGGAGAGACCTGATGCTTAAAATAAAAGAACCTGTCTTCAAACAAGATATCGAAGTCTTTTGGCACAGTTTTGATAGGACTGTTGATAAGAAAAATCATTATATCAACAACATAATGAAACTTATAAACTTAGCGGATGATCAGTTCCAGCGAACTGTAGCTAGTTTTTGCGACACCTTAGACACTATGATTCTAAACTTTTTGACTGGTATTGAAAATATCTCTGAAGAGAATGATCGTAGAACTGCTGCTTTATTAAAAATGGGGGAAACAGAATCAAATCAAATTAAATCAGATCATAATGCAGCAGAAACTCACTTGCAATTATTAATATTCCATGGGCACACTACAGCCGATACTCTTGCTTGGACAACACGCGGAGAAAACTTAGTAAAAGAAGATGAGGATCGAAACAAATATGCTAGCGAACGGGAAAATCTTCGTTCTCACTTAGAAAACTCGTATAATACAATGTGGGATGATTACAAAGCTATTCTTAAAAACTACGTCTTAAAAACTGCTGCCAATCAAAAAGCAGTGCGTCGATTACGCCGTAAAGAAAACTTGATGGCAGACATAATCGCATCACAAGCTAAGAAAATAGCTGACAGTGATGGTTTACTTAGGAGACTTCGAAATGAACTTGCTGCCTATGAATCTGGAACGAAACAAGCTGTTTTTAGGGACCGTCGTGATAGACATAGATCAGCTTGTTTTCGTTTAAAGCAGATATTATTCGACGGTTGTAAAACAGATACAAAACAAATGGCAAATTTAGTAAAAGCTTCGGACAATACAATGGAATGGCTGAGAGAGGCTCATAAAAAAGGTGAGAAAATCCTTCGCCTTGCTGGACTATGTCGAAAATTCGAAACTCAACGAGAAAAAGTTTTACCGTTCGGATTATCTATACCCCATTCTCCAGTACAGTCTAAAACAAATCTGAGGAGACTTCAATCAGATGATTCCTTAGTAATGAAGGCAATTTCAACATCTTGCGGTCTAACAAGACTATGGCAAAAGATTTCTAAAGCTGAATTAACTCGGAAAGCCTTGGCAAGAGAGAAGGCGCTACTTGAACGAGAGAATGCTCTTCTTCTCCTTCAAATAGAACAGCAAGATAGCAATCAATTTCAACCTGAAACTAAAAAATGTATCTGTGATAAAATAACGAAACGGACCTCAATGTCTAAGCCAGTTCCGATAGACGGAAGTATGGAAATGAGGAAGTATTGCATAGCTCGTTAGGGTGTCCGATTTTTATGCACCTAATACTTATTTGCGATCTTGTGCAATACCTTAATAATTAAAAGAGTTAATTTTAGAGTACAATACGTCATGAGACATTTGTATTAATTCCGCGGCAGACGGCGCGAACGTTGCATGTCGCAATGACGCGAGACCTACACGCGGCTCAAACGATGCCACTATGACCTTACCCACTTCTAAAACCGTGGGACAGGCAACGATCGATAAGCGTTTTGGAATGTGCTTTAAATATTTTTTTTATAAATATCTTGTAGTGTTATTTTTACCTTTGAATTGTGAATATAATTGCCTTCCAAGCATTCTAACCATTGTTTTTAAAGATATTTCGAGCGTTAAATTATGTATTTTAATAAATTTATGATAACGATGATAACGTGTGTTTTGGAATTAAATTTAAACCTTAAAAAATTACTTTGGTTACTAAAAATGATTGAATAATGCTGAATATTAAGTAAACTAACTAAAAATAACTGGGCAATGTAGTTGAGGATGTCTAATGTAAAAAAATGGTATAGTTATTATTTTTAAATCGCTTGTATATTAGACCGTAAGATCGTGTCACTTATTGGTAAATGCAAGTTCATGTGGTATTAAGTTTTACATAGAAGATACACAATATAGGTATAATATATACTATTGTTGCAATATTAACCTTGCCCTTTTGAATTCTAAGAAACAAGTATTTATGAAAATATAAATAAAATACTACAAGTCTCCGTTATTACAACGCGCTAAGTTACAGGAGTTAACGAGCAATGAAACTTTAAATTGGCGATAACTTGGTATAGGTTAGAATTTTTGTAAAGAATGCAATAACATGAAATCGAAATAAGCGCAGACGATTGAGTACCTCGTCCTTTTGGATTAAGCTTTAATCCTCATAAAGATTGATGCTCAATCGAAAAGGAATAGAAAGGAAGGAATAGAAGAAGACGTAATGCTAATAAACTTATTGAATTGAAAGAAAAGTTTCAGCCAAAAAAGATGGTTCACGATATAAATATCAGAGACAATTAGAATCTACGACCTAATTATGCTCTACTAGCTGTTGCTCGCGACTTCGTCTACGTGGAATTAAAAATAGTAACAAAACGTACATTACTGAAAGGTAGCTGACATAGCTGGGTATATTATAGGGTATTTTCTATCTTAATATTGCGTGGACGAAGTCACAGGTAATTAGTTAAAGATAAAAATAGAGTGAATTAATTGCTTAAATAAAAATGATATTAATAAAGACGAAAAGTTTGTCAAAAAACGACTCTCGAATACAATTATTGGCCTAAAAAGTACCACATAGTACTTTGTAACATACTGAAATGTACTAAAGCATTGACTCTAGTTTGATACCTCACTTACAGATATTAAAAGAACACACAAACCGGAGTGTTTTACTATATTAGATTAGGTCATATTAGAAAACGAATAACATTTTTTAAAGAACTTTATGTAATAAGTATAAATTCGACACGGACAGGTCGATGCAGCATGGGGAGGCCTCCCGCAAGATGGACCGATTACGGGAGTATCCTGGATGCGTGAGGCACAGGACCGATCATCGTGGCGATCGTTGGGGGAGGCCTATGCCCCGCAGTGGGCGTCCTATGACTGAGTAGTAGTAGTAGTATATATAAATTGATATATCGATTGTCTTAGAAATTCCTATCGCACTTGTGAGTTTGTTGCTTCCTGTTTGTATTTTCATTGCCGAAACTTGTTGTAAACTGTACACATTGTAGCCATAAAATCAAAATATTAAAAAAAAAAAAACCAGGGAAAGTTCAAATCAAATATACAAAAATACTTTCTTACCTCTACCGATACGTTTTTATCGCGAAAAAAGTTGTAACTAATATAACACTAGCTATTGCTCGCGACAATGTCCGCGTGAAATAAAAAAATGGTCTGTGTTACTGACATACAAGAATACAAATCTTTACATTAGTAGATATAGATTACAAATATCGTGTCCCATTTTAAATTATCCTAATTTATTTAGGAAAAATCAAAAATCTAATCGTAATGGAAATTAGGGTACAGGTAGTATAATAAATTTGCATCTTTATCCACATGCAGCGATCCTTTAAATATTTTAAACTTGTTAGATTTATCGCGCCTTATTTATATGTCTTTTTTTGCCTGTCGTAAAGGTAGTATAATTGAATTTACCTTAAATTTATGAGTAAACCCGAATTATTATTGTTTTATTTATTTTTTGACTTGCCACATATTAAAAATATCATGACAATGATTGCCAGTGGATTATTGCTTCTACAATCGTAAACTAACAGTGGTAGAGTCCGCAACTTCTTTTGCAATGAGCCGGCTTGGTGCTTACCATGATCATAGTCGGTCAAAGAGCAGCGGTAACTTCGCTAATCTGGCGAATTCCGATGGCCGCTTGCTCTTTGACCACCGACCAAAATAAAGTCTATGTTGTTCTTAAATCGGTAATTGATGCTACTATTGTTGACTTCAGAAATGTATTTCTTAGTTCTGAAGTGGGCAATATAATAGTAATATATCTTAAGCGTGTAGTATATAAAAATACTGATCTGATACTTAAGTTTCGAAATATTTTGTGACTAATTTTATGACTAAAAGGTACGGAAAAGGTAAACCCCATCAGACATGATGACGCAAACAAAAGGAAAAGTTATAAAATAAGATCTTTATCAAATGATAGTTTTTTATGCAAAAAGATATCGATCTCATTATTTTGAGCATAAACGTAGTTTATTATTGGTTTTATGGTATTCGTAATAAATAAATGGTTTCATACACGATTATGAACTGTCGTCGTTTGAAAAGCATGTCGATGATAAAGGGACAGAAATGTGCATCACTTCCTTATCACGAGCTGAAGATGACAGTGCGTGTCGCTTTCACTGGGCTCTACCTCAAAGGACATACTAGTCCTTCCTTGTGCCCTATTTAATATGATTAAATGTATGTACTTTGAATTTGCTAATGTGTTGCCAACGATTACTACATTTATTTCACAAGTTGTATTCAGGACTGCGTAGATTCATGAATGTTTTAAACAGTCTAACAATGACGTAAAAACTGATTAGTCTCAGAACATCTGTCTGAATTGAGCTAATTTTGAATTGACCTTTGTATTTAACTTGTAAACGCAAAATTTAAAAAAATATCACGTTTTCTAATAAAAACATAAAATCGATATTTATATATAAAACATTTTATTTATTGTATTTGTTTTTGGTATGGATATATCATTAACATGAAACTGTTTTTTGATAGTAGCCCGGCGAGGCTTTTCCGACCACGCATTACTCATTTAGCTATGAAATGTGAGTATAATTGGAGATTCACGGTCACCCCAAACTATGCTTTAATTGCTTGATAGCCGATCTTCACGTAAAAGACATTACAAAATAATTACTAACCATATAATTTCGGCCGAAAAACGATTAAGTTACGAAAAACGTGCAAATGCTTAAGACTAAGAATGAGTAGTTGCGAATACATTGATGCTTTTGTATTTAAAATGTATTTTGTACGTAGTTGTAAAGATGCAATGTGTTTCTAGATTTTGTAAGCGGGTAATGTATTATGAATTGATATTTAGACACGGCTATTGGGTGTATTCGAATGCGTAGAGACATCCATCATGAGAGGGCGACATTGTGGTAACCTCGGAACGTAAGGGGAGTCGTGGGGTGCGTATATAAATATCAGAGAGTACCGGGGCGCGACATCAGTCGCTGCCGAGCACTCTAACAGCCACCGTTGTCAATAGCATCCAGTTGTAGTGTTTTGTGTAGTATCATTTGTGTTCAAATATACCAACGGTAAGTTTTTAAACTTGTATTAATATTTTTAAACGATTCGATAGAAACTTATTAGATTTTTCAAACTCCGGAAATAAGGATCTTCGATATCATCAGCTCACACATGACTGAGGGATACGGATAGGATATTATGTCAGGGACTCTCACCCATCTTAGTCAACTTCGCAAAAAAGGATGAACATTATAAAGTGCAATTAATCTATACTATACTAATAAATAAAATAATAAAAATAAAATAGCTTTATTAATTTACTATTGTAATAAAGCGTAAACACACATTACTTAGTTACGTAGGATGTCAGCAACCACAGCATATTTTTGAATAATTCTTTCTTTAATAAAAAGCCCTACACTTAAGACACGCTTTAGACTACACGTTTTAACGCTATTAAACATAGGGGCTAAATAAATTGAAAAAAAAAAAACCTTCATGTGGGAAAAGGACCATAAACTACAATTTGCCAAAATTAAGGAAGCAAGGTTATTATGGTAACGATAATTTTGCAACTGAGAATCTGACAAATGTAAACAATAACGTTTTTATAATTTCATGCGGATGAAGTCGCACGAGAAAAACTAGTAAACTAAACTGCAAAGTGAGATTACCAAAAAACAATTTGTTATAAGTAAAATTGAAGAATTAAAGAAGTTCAAAATTTAGCAAAATATTAAAGTAAAAATAAATGGTAACGACCAAAAAATTTATGCTATTCCTTCATAATTTTCACTATCGTCGATTTCTATAGAAATAAATTATTAAAATTGAGAGTATCTCTGGTTTTCCTTGAAAAGAAGGAAATTAATAGTTTTAAGATTCGTAGCTCTGTTCATGCTGTGACACTTTTCAACTGAGTGGAAACTCTAATTTCTTACGGAAAATTACAGAAGTTTCTTTTTAAGAAAGAAAGCCGATAGAGAAATATAACTTCAATCTTAAAAAAACCAGTAATGTTATATCATAACATCCGACAAAATGTAGTTAACCGTAATTGGGATAAAAAACTGAAATTAACGCGATACGAATTAAAACACCGATTGTTTTTCTTTAAACTTCCGAACATATTTACGCAACCAATGAAAACATTAACAAAGTAATGCTGTCAAAAAACGTTAATGAGTTAAACCGTTTAACAACATGGATATATTTAGGACTAGCTTTCGCCCGCGACTCCGTCCGCGTGGTATTAAAAAAAACAAAAGTAAGTAGCCTATGTGTTCTTCCAGACCATCCTCTACATCTATACCAAATTTCATTGAAATCCGTTCAGCCGCTTAGGCTACAAACTCTAACAAACATCCATCCATCCATCCATCCATCTAAACTTTCGCATTTATAATATTAGTATGATTATCTTACAAGGTTATAATTATTCAGTAACACCGAATATAGAACGACACGACCAAGTTACGCCTCGTTGGCCCTCCTTGTAATTTAAGTATTTCGGTTAATGCGGTAACAATCTGAGATTAAATCGAGTCTAGTAATGCCAATGTCATTAAAATAAAGGGCCTACTAAAGGTAAATATTAACTACTCTTTTAAGAACTCTTTAGGAAGGCTAAAAGGTTTCTTTTTGAGTTACAGTTAGATTTTATCTTGTCAAAACAAAAATTTTAATTAACATTTGTTTCGCTATGTGCACAGCTGTTTGACAGCAGGAATAGACAGCCCATTCCTTCCGCTATTACTCAAAAGAAAAATTAATTCACCTTACATAATTAATTAAACGATCAACGCATGTGCGTTTGTATTCTAACACGTCGCGTGTTCGAACACACCCAAGTTTTTATATTACTTCGGCTTCAATAATTTTACTCATAAAGTAATACTATATCTTTTAATAACTAGACGCACCATGGTTCGTCTGCTAAATTGTAGCCGGTTGCACTTGCATCGATAGGGTAAAGCTTGCTACAAACTGACATAAATATGTTAGTTAAATCTTTGTGTAGGCAAAATATGTAAGTTGAACTTTATACGTAGAGTTTTGCCTATACTCACACGCATGTCAGTTACAATTGATCGTCTGAAGAGGGCTTTAGCATTTCTTCCTGTCGACAGTTCGAGTGTTATAGTTTGAGATGTTATTAAAATGTCATAATTGCAAATTGAAATGCACAATTTATCACATCTAAAAGCAATTGAAAAAAATCATTAAGGTGATACAATCATAAATCATTACTAATTGGCCATGTTCTTCCAACCTTCACGACTTAAGTGTCATGAGGATGTCGTAAAATAATTTTCATATTATAAATACAATTTTGCAAATAACATAATTTTACAGTAACGTTTTATTGCTGTTAAGCTTGTTTTAATTTGTTTAGGTCCCTTCTACGTAAGTTTTTTTTTATAACATAAGGTGACAAAGGAGCAACAGGCCACCTGAATACGCTAAAATGGCGAAGCGACCGCTGCCCATAGACGTCCGCAATTGCAGATGCGTTGCCTACCCTTATCCGACGAAGGAGGAGGCGCACATAAAGAGGACATTTCCCCTTCCTATGCATCTCCTCCACCGTCAAATCCACATCCTCTTCCCATCCTGTTCTTATAAGAAAAGGATGGTAAAGACGACACACTCATCATACGAAACACGGAATTGCTTCCATTTCACGTCTGCCTTCTGTGTGGTCGTGGTATTACACCGGGCGTGCCGGTCCATTCGTGCTAAGATGTTAAAGCGGGCACTACCACTGTTAAATGTTGTATGTAGCTTTAACTTCACGACTTCAATCGCGCGGAATTAAAGAAATTGCAATAGACATGGCCTATGGTATCCAGTCAGTTATAACTTAATATTGTAAAGACAAAACAATTTTTGTATTCTGTTTCGTACATGTAGTTGTTAAGTAGATGACGTATGATAGAGTTATGTGGAGGACAAACGCCTATCGCGTCGATCCTACGGGAGTAGGACAAGAAGGAAGATATATTTTTACTTTATGCGTTACAAAAATTAGTATCCATTTTTAATGTCACTATACTCGTATATTATACAACGCAGTAATTTTTTGCCATCCAAATATAATGTTGTCAGTATTAAAATAGATTATTCATGTGCGAATTTATTTCAGTAATAATTAACAAAATGTATCTAGTTGCAATTTATCTAAATCTCAACACTTTAAGCACCCATTCAAAATTAACCTCAATGCTATAAAATGAACATTGAGCTAATTAATGTTGGTAATTCGCTCTTTGTTCGGTTTTTCTAATGCTTCGAGAATATTTTAAAAGCTATTTTCAAAATATCATGTCTTAACATCAGTCTATAATTTCGTTAAAACATTCATAAAATGTATACGAATTCTCACATTTGCAGTCAAATTGGCATCGACTTGTGACTTGTGTCCGCAGAAATCAATCACACAAGGCCACAACAATTACATCTATGATTTTATGTAAATAACAACCTCTTTCGTTAATTACAATAAACACATTCCTTTGTTTTGGAAATCCTCACAAAGTTGCTAGAATATGTTTTCTAATTTGTTATTCAAACATACACATCACACGCGTATTTATAACTTAATATGAAAACAACACTTTTCTATTTCTTTTCCGTAACGCAAATAATAAGTCGTAAGTTTACTTACAGATTTTTATGTATAAATCCATTAATCATGAGTTATTATAGCCTCAACTAAATGGTAATGACATATATAATAATTAAACGTACTTTTATTACATTTAAAATGGTCTAGTTAACATGAATAACCCATTCATTAACTTCATTCGTTCACATTTTCACGCATCTAATGACAATTTTCAAACCATAATGAATGTTTAAAATTGACAAAGAAAAAAAACCATAGATTATTATAAAGATCAATTTACACATTTAACACACATCACTTAACAGTTCGACTAGGTCAAACTTCCAGTCAAGATCAGATTGTGTGACGTTCTTTAATAACCGTTTTTGTCTTTTACAATATAACAGATGTCATCAACAAAGATGCTGATCTGCGCGTTTGTGGTTGTATGCGTGAGCTTGAGGCATGGACTGGCAGCGCCCGCGCAACAGGAGGACGGACCACCCACACCGGTAAGTTATAATTGTGTTTGACAAATTTTAAGAAAGACTAGAAAGCCCTACGATAGATGTCTATAAGAGAAGTCGCGACCTTCAGGTTTGAGGAATTGTTGTACATGGAGAGGGAGTGGCAACTTAGAGACTTTCTCTAAATTTTACAATTGTATTAAAATTTTAGATACATGTTAAGATCAAATGCGCTTACGCTGAGGTGCTGTTTGCTAACTTGTGGCAGACCACAAAGAATTCATACACTGTTAAATAAGCTTACGTGAGAAAGTTTTCAAAGCGAAGTGTATGGTTAACTATAAATTCTAAAACCAAAAGAGAAATAAATTAAAAAAAAAATAAACATGAAAAAGAAAAAAAATATTTTATGCAGCAGTTAAATACCATAATGGTTAGAAAGAAACAAAGTACTTTTCAATATCATCTTCATTTCGCAGTCTATAAAAGGAATCAACAACATCTTATTAGCTCTCTAAGAATACATAAAATGCTGAATAAATCACGTGAAGCACAGGTCATTAGAAGTATGGAGTGAGGTTCCTAGCACGATTGTTTGGAAGGTCGCCGGCATTTTCATAGTTGAATATTCATCACGATTGACATGTTTGGACAAAAGATGAAGAAAAATATGTTGGAAGGTGAAAGAATGCAAATAAACGTACTTAAGGAATTACTAATTAATCGATATATTAAAAGAGAAACTGAGAATTATTTCTTAAGTTATGTACTTGAATTTATCCGTAGTCATTAAATGTTCTAAATAAAAGTATATCGTAGTCAAATGACCAATTGCGATTTCGTAATATAAAAAAATTCGCTAGCTAATTGTTAATTATTTCGCGAGTCAAAGTTCGTGTGACAAAAATTAAATGTTATCATTACAATCTTTCATGTATACCAATTAAATTCGGTATTTACATTCTTATATGAACTTGAACAAATATATCGCACGGAATTGCACTTCTTGTGTCTCAAGGTACAATGCATCGGCTTTTTATTGTTCGTTGTTGGTAACGCGATCACGATAGATAAGGTCACAAAGAGGCTTGCGATTGCGTCCAATTAGATCTCAAGCAACCGTTCACATGGCTAACATAATACAAAGTTACTGAGATGCACCTGATAGGCTATAAGACGTGTTAACGCTTTGCATTAGTCCTGTATCTAGAGACGGACTTTACAAGATAATTGCTATAATAGTTTTATTTGCAATTAATTTAAATGATTGGACTGATGAGTTTCCGTTGTACAATTCTTTTATTGTTAAATCTGAATATTAACTTGATACATTTGAATTCAGTATAGCTAGCTAAAGCAGATTAAATTAAAAGGAGGAGATACTGTTTACATTTATTATGTACAGAAATCTCAATCACCTTAAAAATGTTTTTCATCAAAGCTCATGTATGTAGACGATATGTCAACATTCTTTAAATTTTTCACCGTTCAAGACTTCCTCGCTATTTTATTTATTAAGATTGTTCTGAATTAATCTCAAATTATAATCGTATTTAAGTAAAACAAAAAATTGCGACATAGCTTTTATAAATTAAAACTTAAAAGAAACTTTTAACTTCCTGTAATTCAAGTCGATGTAATAAGTTATTTACCAAAAAAACCTATTTAAATATAACTACAAAAAACTAAGTTAAACTTAACTTCGCGTAGAATTTTCCCACGAATCTTCTTCTTATAAATTGATTTTTTTATTCTAAGCACATTCAAGGTTTACTTTATAGATGTAATAAAATAAGCAAGGTTACTTATATTATTACATTAATTTACTTTTGTATGTATGTAGAAATATTACATGAATGTATATTTTAATATCTATAAAAACTAATGATTGAGACTTCTGAGAAATATGTCAAGGGGTTATAATTATTAAGTTTTAATTACTTTAACTACCGAATAAAATTAAATTCTAATTATTTGGTATATTTTAATTGAATTTATTTATCTTACTGTTGTTGTAAATGTCAAAGTTTGGATGAATGTTTGTTAGAGAGAAAGTTTGACGTCTAAACGGTTCAACAGATCGCGATGAAAAGCTTAAGAGTATAGTCTGGAAAAACATACAGGCTTACTATTTTTTTTAAATCTACGCGGACGGATTCACGGGCTTAAGCTAGTGGCTTTATAAAACTGCATAATAACGATGTATTATCTTTTTTTTACAGTACGAATATAAATACGACGTTGAAGATCCAGAGAAAACATTATATTTCGGCGCCAACGAATCTGGTGACGCACAAGGGAAGGTCGTCGGGGGATACCGAGTATTGCTACCTGATGGTAGACTCATGAACGTTGAGTACACTGTCGAAGGTGAAAGCGGTTTTGTACCCAAGATTACGTTCGAGAATAACGCAAACCCATTCGCACAAGGCAAATGAAAACGCAACGATAACAGGATTAAAAATTGTGAAATTTATAATTAATTTTAATTAAATTTAATATCTATTTATGTTTCGCGTTCATCGAATTTCAATTTATTACCTGTGATTATTTAAAATTGAATAAAAATGTTGTACTTATCGCTAGCCGAAGTTACCAATTCTGTGATTCAAGTTATTATAGGTCAATGCCATTACAACTAAGAGATCTTAGTGACTAGTTTGAGTTACGATTTTGTTGTAACTCGATTTAGTATAATTTTTTTAATCATGTAAATTTTGTAAGCAAACAAATAAATACGTTTATAAAAGGCATGCTTTTCATTTAAAATGTTATAAATAGTATAGAGGTCAATCTTTAAATTGTATGTGGACGAAAGTTTCAATCCAATTTATGGGCTAATCTTTTTTGAAACCTGTATTGTAACTATTAGGAGAGAAAAGTACAATTTAACATTAAAATAACTGTAACAATATAATTAAAATAAAACACTCAGGCCACTGCCTCTCGCCAGAATGTCGCGCTATTCTGATACGTCCGAATGACATTGACAGCTGTCATAGGGATGGGACGTCAATGCCGATGTTCTAGTGTTGCCCGATTTTCTTCTTAACTAGTTAAAACATACCTTATCAGTAATTCGTGTCATTATGACAGCAGTTGCTTCGGTATCGAACTGTGGTCGTCCAGCACGGCCCACCATTTGCAGCACCGTACTGATACTATATTCCTATAGAAGAAAGGAAACTATTTACTGATTTTTACTGGGTATTATTGAATCCCTTGCATTTTAGAATTCGACCATTGTTTTTTCCAATATTGATTTTCTCTTACCTGGTAAGTACCATTAACATATTGTTGTGTGTTCTTGATAATTACAAGATGTGCTGGTAAGTTCACGCCCATTGCTGAAAATTTATTATAACATAATATACAAGAATAATTTTAAAAAATGTGAAAGTTTCGATGGATTTTGATTACTACATAATCTCAAGAACAGCTCAACGAATTATGCTAAAATTTGAAATAGATGTAGAACATAGGCTAATAACCTTTTAAAATTCGCGTGAAGAGTCGCGGGCGGCAGCTAGTTCTACAATAAACTCTGATAGTGGATGTATCATAATTCTTATGGAAATTACGGAATTTACATCTTGATTATTATCTAGTATCTCATTGTAAGAATTTAAACTTCCCGAAGAGCACGAAGATCTTCAGATTCATAAAACAATGCGTAATCGCAATTCGTAATTTCTTTTATGATGTCATAAACAGAAATTCGCAAATTGCCTCCGCCCAAGGTTAAAAGGTCATACACGTGATGCATGCTAATCTTTACAAATTACAATGTATTCTTGTTAACTTTTACCTCAATGATACAGACACCTGATGTTTTTAAAGTAGACATCTATACTAATATTATAAAGTGGAAAGATTTGTATTTTCGTATGTATTGAAATAAATCAAAAACTACTGAACCGTTTTTAAAAATACTTTCACCGTTAGAAAGGTAATTTATTTAAGAGTAACAAAGGCAATATTTATTTAGTTTGACGCGAGCGACGTCGCGACCAACAACTAGTTAGCAAAAACTTTAAAGATTGCAGATACGTTACCTTCTATTGACAGTGCAAGGATATTGAAAAAGGTTTGTCTTTTGCAACCCACAATAAGAAATGGTTTGAAAGATAGTGTGGAAGAGAACTGGAATTAATTTTCAAGTATCACACTTTTTAGAAGAAACTCTATACTAGTATTAACTTACCCAATGTCGTAGTTGTTATCAGTATGGGCAGATCTCCGTTGCGAAACGCTCTCTCTATGTTCACCCTCTCTTCGAACAGTAGGCCGGCGTGATGGCAACCGATTCCACATAGTACCAATGACTAAAGAATTATATAAATATCGATTTTTTGTTACTGAATTGTCACTGTTTGCCTTGAAGAGGCATTTATGGATTTGCTGGGCTTGAGGTGGCGGAGCGCAGATGGCGCTTAGAGTATACCTCGTTTAGGAGTAACTAAACTCAAGGGCTCCTTTAAGAGCCTTGCTACGGCCCGTAATTCGTTATTATTACCGGACTAGGATAAATATCCACTATATGTTATTTTTAAATACCATATTTTTCTTTATTTTAGAATAAAACAGAGATAGTAATATTATTCGCAGTCACTTTATTTGAAATGCACTTTGCATGAGTAATGAAGTCAATTAAATTTAAGGAAACTATCTTATCTTATGAAATAATCTGTGTAAATTGTCAATGCACGAAAGGTGACATGATTAAGAAGGGAGTGATGACAGAGATGACGTAGTTATGTAGAGGACAAAAACCTGTTGCGTCACTACGGGAGGATAAAGAAAATGACATTATAAAATTATATTTAAATCATATAATACTTTAGTGAACATATAAGTAGATAATTAGGTAACTAACCTGGATTTTCTTAGTCTTTATAGCGGAAGCTAAAATCGTGAGTTTTGCTTTCTGTTCTTCGCTAAATTTAAATGTTATATCTCGGGATAAAGCCTCTGCTGTTAGAGTTACGCCTTTTCGAGTGTTACAGAATATCTACAATAAATTGACACTGCAGCTAAAGTATCATCTTACTAATATTATAAATGCGAAAGTTTAGATGGATGGATGGATGGATGTTTGTTAGCGTTTGTAGCCAAAACGGCTGAACGGATCTCCATGAATTTTGGTACAGATTTAGAGCATAGTCTGGAAGAACACATAGGCTACATTTTATCCCGGGAATAGTTACGGTTCCTGTGAGATTCATTAATTTGGTTTTTTAATGTTTACTTGATCATTCTGCAACGGTTCAACATATCTTATTGAAATTTGGCACAGATATAAAACTAAGTACACATGGAATGTGGTTCATCCCCGAGAAATATCCAGTTCCCGAGGGTTACGTAGCTTTTTGTTATTTATATAGTTCGTATGTTTTCTAATACCACGCGGACGAAGTCGCGGGCAACAGCTCGTTACTTATAATTTTTATATTATAAATTGACAAACGCGCAAGCGGCGACCAAAATTTGCTGAAATGGCGAAATGACCGCTGCCCATAGACATCCGAAATTTCAGATATGTTGCCTACTCTTAATCAACGCAAGATGAGACCCACATAAAGAGGATATTTCCCCTTCCTGTGCGTTTCCAGCGTAAAATCCACTTTTCCTTCCCATCGTTTCCTCTTAAGAAAAGAGACTATAACAAGGCCTGCTGCCTCCTAATGAATTGTTGCCAATTTTATTATTTATTCGAAGATACACTTATTACACCTTATAAGCTACGAAATCTTTTATTTCAAAGATTTTAGTCTTTTTTCCCCAGTTTTTGACTTCCCAAAAGAAGGAGGTACTCAATTCGTCTGTATGTTTCTTTTTTTGTAATTACCATTCCAATCTTTATCCTAAAGTTAAATTCTTTATAAAAGTACTAACCAATGTCGGCTTCTTATCACCATATCTATGAATGATAGGCCACAGTTTATAGTTTAAGGTGATATCAAATTTAAATATACTCGTTCCCGCGGGGCACTGGTAGCCCTCCACTACGCGCTTCAACTTTACCGGACGACATTCGTCACCGAATCTACACAAAATACGTACAAATGCATTTTTAAAATTATTTCTTTTTTTATTATTTCGTCTCTATAAAAATACTATAAGAATTAATTTGTATACCTTTGTAACTAGCAGATTAGTATTTTGTCTAACATTGGGGAGGTAGGGGTGAATGGGGATTGAATAGACTTTGTAGATAAGGGTAAGTAGGGAATATTGCTGTAGTAGGGGATGAATGGGGGAAATGTGTGAATATTTCTTACTTATAAAACACAGCGGGTTTGTTCGTATCGTTAAGCCATTCCGCGACATCTTCAGGATTGCTAACGGTAGCTGAAGCAGCGACAAATCTTATTTTAGGCGAGTTCGCGTCTATTTGTGATAAATTTATAATTCCTTGTTTTTGTTTCTGAAGTTGCTCTATTCGGTAAGTTGACTGTAGTGATGACTAAAATTATAATTCATAAAAAGTATCAAAGTAATAGCGTGCGCAAATCTGAAACTAAACTATCGCACAACTGTTTAATCGCACTTTAATTCCTATGCGCTTATATGGAGGTGCGCACACTACTCGATTTTTAGTTGGTGAATTTTTGAAACAGTTGAATTGGCTGCGAAACAATCGACAATCGCATAACAGTTGTGCGATTGTTTAGTCTAATTTAAATTAACTATTACTTCATCGAATGAAAAGAATTTACACATAAAATTAAGAAAAATCTATATCCCTAATGTATCGTTGTTGTTTATTTTTCACCTATCAAAAAGTTTCAAAAATAAAATTGTGTATGAACTTAATCTAATCTAATTAAAAAAAATTATATGTATTATTACGTGATCTTTTTTGGCGCTTTATAATTTACGTACTCAATGAACTTAGAAAAAAATGTTTCTGATAATGTAGTTACGCACCTATTGGCTAATTTATCGGTTTTGTGTATACTTGTATATTTTTCTATGCAATTGTCGGATTAAATTAGCTGTTATGTATACTTATATAAATAAAGAAATAAAATAAATAAATAAACTTAAGAATCAAGATTGTTAACTAAAATTATTAGTACATACTTGTATAGTTTTCATGCGACTGACAACAGCTTCTAACACAGGTCCTCGAGTGACATCGTTCAATATATGAACCTCATCTATGAGGAACAGTTTGATAACTTCCACCATACCTCTGTAGTCGCGCCATCTTCGTGTCAACAAGTCCCATTTCTCCGGCGTCGTTATAATAATCCTATACGATTTAAAATTCATCAACTTGATCTTACCCCTAAAGGGCACAGTATAGACTCTTTCAAACATTTTTTTTTGTGACTGAATGGCCACTTTTTGCCTCGAAGAGGCATTTACAGATCCACCCGGCTTGAGTAACTAAGCTCGAGGGCTACATTAGGAGCCTCGGCACGAGTCGTTACTTACTACGATCGCTTCGGTGGATGCTCCATGGAGTGACAAGGCACAAGGGCCCCCGAGAGGGGACCTCGGACATCTCTATCAGCCGTCATATAAATTTACTAAGCCTCTTTCACACAATCCGTACTTTCTTCGGTCTTTCTTTACCTTTATATCCATCCACATTCAATTTTAATACTTTCTTGTTTATATCTTTTCATAAGTCTATACCAAGTTAATCATTTTCTTCGCTATTTCTTCTTGTACTTTCAAACTTCCTCTAAAATACATTCTTAATTTTGTTTCTTAATTTAATCACAAGTAGATACTGATCTCTACTACTATTCGCTGTATTTTTTTAAATTATTTTGCGTTAAATGTTACCGATAGAAAGACCGCAATATTAAATACGATTAGAAGGCGATCGATACAATTGCAATCTAAGATAAGCAAGAATGGATCGAGATCATATATTGGGATTGGATAGTCGAAGGAATTCGTACCTGTAAGGTTTCAATTGTGAGAAATCAACATCAGTATCTCCCGTCACTTCAATGCATAAGGCATTCAATTTAGTGAACTTCGGATACCATTCGGTTAACCTTTCAGTGCAGATGGCTTTTATTGGAGCCACTGGGAACAAAACATTTATATCATCTTACTAAAAGTAAAATAATGCAATTTATATTTGGATGGATGTTTATTAGAACTGGCTGAACAGATCTTCATGAAATTTTTCATAGATGTAGAGCATAGCCTGAAACATAGGCTACTTAACCATTTTTTTTATTTCGGGTAGACGGAGTCTCTATCGACAGTTATAACATTAAGTCAATAGTAATAATATCAAGCGTATAAAAGCAAAAACGCTTTAATAAAAAAAAATATTTAAAAATTGGGCTGATGCATATTTGCTTTTATGCCCAACAAAGTAATAGTACAAGTAGGTTATTAAGAATTGTGACAATTTCAGTGGACAAGAGATAATTAGGGAGTATTTTCTTCCTTTTTTTTTTAAATTACAGATTAAATTTAATATACAGACTGTAAATGATCTTAAAATCTCCATCAAAATTTTTTTCCTCCATCTCCATGAGTAATTGAACGATGGCCATTTCAAATATAACCGTTTTTCCGGATCCAGTTGGCGCACAAACCACCAAAGATTTGTCTGAAATTATTTTACATTTAACATTAAAATAACTAAAACGTAAGATAATGATCATAATTCTATGAATTACACAGTTATTAAAGATTAAAATTTCGAAATCCATGATTTTTTCAAAGCAGTAAATTAAACGAACCAGAATATAAAGCATCTTCGATAACTTTTGTTTGCACGGCGTTAAAATGTTGAAAACTGAATACATGTCTGTACTTCGGATCTGTGAAAAAATATTTAAAACCAGTAAACCTTTTCTGTTAGATGCTATTCTGCAAAAATTGCATGCTCATCGAATGCTATTGTTTAATTTAGAGTTTTTAACTTACCTATTTCTTCAACACTTCTTAAACCTTGGCGTTCTCCGGTGTGTTTTGCCGGTCTATTTACACCTTTACTTATTATGTTAACATTATTTACCACATGCTGATCATCTGCATTAGTGGTACTTGATGTCGACAACGAAAATGGTGGTGAACTGTCTATTTCTTCGTTCAGTATATCTGTAAAACTTTCACTAAAACAAATATTATAAACACTATCTTGATCTCTTATAACGAAAATTTAATAAAAAATTAACTTACAGGTTAGTCATTATCTTTTAATTACATCTTTAATCAATAATTGCAAAGTGACGATCGTGTGAGGATTAAATAATCTTAACCTGATTAATTTTACCGCCACCGCCGAAATTGAAATGTTTATGGTTAATAGTAATAGGTTATAGAGTATGCGAGATTCAAAATTATTTAAAATTACAACTTTGAATCACTTTAGCTTATAAATTTACTTTGTTAAATTAAACTTAAGAAATAAAATATTGAATGATAAAATTCTCTTATCCATGCAAATAATGACTTTTGTATTTTATTGCTGCACGTTATAATACTTATAACTCTTTGATGTCTCAGCTACTGTCTTCATATTCTTTGATTTGGATGTTTTATTTGACGTTTGTCATATTTTCAAAAACATTTTCCTCAAAAAATGATTTTTATATCTACCCATGTTGTTTACTGTGTTATTCGCTTATTTTGTTTATAAGAGTAATCTGTAGTATTTAAAAATTTTATTATGTCAGTAAAATGTAATTGAATTTAATTTTAAACGATACTTACAGGATAAAATACTTACGTGTTATTAATTTCTAGGGAGTATTTAAAAGATTACGATAATGCAGACACAATCAGTATTGATACATTGGCGCTTGAGGAAGCCGTACAAGACGAACGAGAAAGAGAGATATCGGAATTAACTTCACTTAGTAAAAAAGTATGTTTTCTTCATACAAGTATACTGTACTACAGAAATACGAAATCGAAACTGGGAGCTACTTGCCATGAAGCCTGGAGGACGCTTATTAAGAAGATAGGGGGTTCTCCGAACACTTGGAGGGAACTTGGTTATTCATTAGGTATATCGCAAGATGATTTAGATGTAAGTTTTCTTATATTTTAATATTTCATTATATGCATTTATGTTAACTGTTTATGAATATTTGTTAAATTAATATGTAAATGCCCCATCTGAAAGCAAAATTTGTATGTCAAATCTATAAGTTTTAGGAGTACAATAATGTTATTAAATTTCAAAACATTATTACAGTACATCATGAGTACAGTAAGAGAAGATCCGGCTGACACAGTACTTAAAGTCTTTATGCAAAATGAGAACGCAACCTTAGACAAAATCCTCGATGCATTAGTCAAAATGAAACGTTTCGATATCCTGAAATCTATTGACAATCCATTCAGTATTTTATCACAGTCTTTCTATAAAGAGGATAGTGGCTACCATAGCGGTAGCAAAACGACAGGAACAAGAGAAATCATAAGTTTTACAAAGAACTTACCAAATTATTTACCACCAGCTTTAAACAAATCAATGATAATCAAGGAATCTAAAAAACCTGATAAACCAACACTGAGACCACCGATCAAGACTGATGATACAAAGATAGAAAAGGAGCAGCCGATTCTATTTTTGACATTTACCGAAGATGGCTGGGCAACGGCAGTTAATATCAAACAATATGTAGAAAATTGGACAGATGTACCGGCAGTAAGTGTAATTACACTTAATGAGAGAAGGGATGAAGTTTATCAGAATCCTGAAAAGTTTATTAGGGAATATTTTGAAAAGGTAACTTTTCTTTGTACATGTACCACTTACTTTATGTCCCCACAGTTCAAAATTACTTGTCTGATTAGTTTATATGTGAATTTAAATAAAACTGGTATACTGCCAAATATATGTTTTTAACACTAACTCACAGATATAAATAAATAACACACACAGATATATCTTTATGTAGGAACATAGACGACAGAATCACATATTTCTTTTTTAATTTTTCAGGCTGATTTCATAGTTCCAATAATAACAACAGGGTATTTAAATGAAATAAGATCTCATGCACCAAGAGTACATAACACAATTGATAATTTGGACTTCAAATATGCCAGTTTTATATATAAATTGATAATCAACCATTATATACATGCATCTGGTTGTCTTAATGAAAAAGTTCGCAGTGTATTGCCTCAAAACGCAGAAGTCAATGTTCTTTCAGATATTAGAATGTTTCCTGACTTAACACCTTGGACTTACGAAGAAAACTTTGATGAGATGTTTAAAGTGTTTTTGAATAAAGAATACTCAAGTTTTTAAACAGGAACTTAATAGTAGTGAACTATAGCAATATTACAAGGAAACAGTGGTATTAAATTTTTCATGAAATATACTAGATTGAGATAAATTTACATTCTTGAAAGTACAAACATTTTTAATTGTTTAATTTAGAATTTAAAATATATATGGATTGTTAAAAACAGGAAATTTGAAGCAGGGAGTAAATTTATATGTTAATATTTATAGAAATGTATCTTAATATTATGAACTGTGTTGACCCTCCATAGAAAAGTGTAGATTGATGTTAAATATCACTATTTACATATGTTAAGGTATAGTTATTTTGTATTATTATTATTAATTTTTGACAGCTGTAATAAATAAAACAAATTATTTCATATAACTAATTTTATTACACACTAATTAGTCTTCATATGTTAAAAATATGTTATACATTAACCAAAAGCTTTAAGTGTTGATATTAAAAAAAAGAAAAATATTAATCTTCATTTAAATAAGTATAGAAAATTATTCTTACAATCATAGGATGAGGTTCATTTCGTTTTACATCAAATTTAATAAAAAATAACGAAAACACCCTTTTCTGATTATTGTCATTGTAAAGCCCGCTACTAACTCAGTTCTGACCCTTTTATATGAAACCTTGAACTTCTGTTTAAACAATGTTCAACTGTTCAGTTAAAACTGTCAGTTGAAATTCATCTGTAGTGGGCTTAATTGATTGTACAAACTTAAATAGCTAGACATAAAGTAACTATTGTCTACATAGAAGTTTGCTCGTTTTCATCATCAGTTTTCTGTGTGTCATCCAGAGAGTCCACCTGACTGACATCGTTGACATCAATGCCTGTGTCATCATTAGTGTTGTTGGTCAGATCCTGAAATTACAGCACACATGTACAAGTCACATTTTTTAGTCTTCTAAAACTTAGTTTTAATTAGCACACATTTAGAAAATAATTTCTAAGACAAACACAATAAAGATGTTCAGTATTAACTGAACAGTAAAACAGTGAAGCTAAAACTGTTGTATGTAGGTGTTCATTTTTTCTATATTGAAACTGAATGTGTATCATCCTTTATAGACTTAATAGTAATCTCTGAATACAGCAGTTAAAACATGAGTGACCAAAATCATAAATACAAAAACAATATTTGCATAATACAGAGTATGACAACAAATAACAAATTTGTTCATATCTTAGTAATGTAGAATTATTAATAACAAAAACACAGAATAATTGTTGTTAATGATATGTTATAACTTCTTTAACCACTAGCAATGCTATTCCATTTATTTTCACTGTCCACAAAATAATATTAGTCAATCCGATGCCTAGCTTTCCTTTTTCAATAAAAAAAATATGTTAAGCGTACCTTGACAACTTCCACAAAGGCATTAGCTTCTTCCAACATTTCTCTCAGCTTCATATTCTCCTCTCTAAGTTCTTCTATTGTTTCATGAAGCTTCTCATTCTGACTTAATGCTTCCTGTAATGCCGCTCTACAAAATTCATTTCATTACAAAAACAATTGAGTTGCAGAAATTCAATACATGTTGATGTTTAAAAGAAAATATCAGTCTACCTTCAATATGATGAAAATTGTTGTCTTAATGTTTTTTATGAAATGTCATACTTACTGGCTCTTAGTAGCTAAAGCTTTCCAGTAATTTTTTGAAGCAGTTTTATTCGTCAAATCATCGACCGATACTTTGTCATCGAGATTAGCTTGAACTTTCTTGTGTGATGGACTTTTTCTCTTTAATGGAGGTGCTCTAAAAAATAGATAGATTAGTAATATGAAGGCTGTTTACATATTACTATTTTTTTAATATTAAAACTTACATGTCAAGGACAGGAGATTCTCGAGACAACTGATGTTTAGGACTGTTTGATGGTTTACCCACCAAATTTTCCGTGTCCGTTACAGTACTCTGAATTGTCCGTAAAGACTTCCTGGTTGTGCGTGGCACATCCTAGAATAATTCAAAGTAAATTAATAATGTTTATTTAACAATTTCTAAAGGGTTTGGAACTATACTTACTTGAACATCACCAGAGCTCATTTTTATTATTAATCAATGACACTTCACTTCGGCAATTGAATATATGTAAAGTAAGTAAATTAATAGCTTTTTACATTTATTATAATGATATTACACAAATGATTCCCAAAATAAAGGCGCTACAATCTCAAAAACTAGTAAAACAATGGCAGATGCTAGTTTTTGACAGTTTTGACGTGACACTGACAAACGTTTTCCCGCCGTTTTATTATTATCACTGCCAACAACAGAACTAAAAGGAACTTAGAAACGCCTTGAAGATTGATCCACGAAATGTACAAATAGCAATTTAGTGATGTTTTATTTCTTCGAAAAATATTAGACAAGAAAGATTTTATACTGAAACGTTTTTTTAAACCAACCATTCCTTAATTAATTTATTTTTGTGACATTATTTTTTTTAGGAACTGGTAACTCTCAATCTCCGTGATGTCACTGTCATGTGTCAACATCAAGTGTTAATTATTGTGATTGTCGTCTTTATCATATCAGTTTGTGTAATTTCATTTATCAACTAAAATCTAAATAGTTAAGAGTTACGAGTGAACAACTTAACATTAGCTAACTCTTTGGTGTCGTCGTTGTTTAAAAAATTGTGTTTCACAAAAATTAAGCTCAACCCAATTTTCTTTTAATTTCCGTCGTATTTGTGGTAATAATATTTGTAATTAAAACTTATGTGGTGCCTGGATTATAGATATTATTAAAAATGGATACCTTGAGGTAAATATTTTGTATAACTTGAGGTAAATTAACGATTGGAAAACGAGGTTGTATAAATTTTCAGCGATTACTGAAAGCCTTAATGTGTTTTGTTTATTTCAGGTTTTATTTTGTGACCTGGAATGTGGCTACTAAGTCTCCAGGTCAAGACTTAAATTCCTTATTGGATTTTCCATCACAATTTAATCGAAATAAACCTTTACCAGATTTCTATGTCATTGGGTTTGTATATTTGTAATTATTCATGTGATTTAATTTCTCCTTCAACATAATTTGTCTTCTATACAGTGTAAAATATTTTTAGACTATAAAATGTCCATATCTTTAATTAGAAACATTTTTCAGTCTTCAAGAAGTCAAATCAGCTCCTCAGAACATGGTAATGGACAGTTTGTTCACTGACCCATGGACATCCACCTTTAATAAGATTCTGTGCAGACAAGGCTTTATCATTGCAAAGACAATAAGGCTGCAAGGCATCTTACTGATAGTGTACACACAGCTTAAACATGTTACACATCTACGAGATATTGAAGCTCAGTACACTAAAACTGGATTTGGAGGACTATGGGTGAGTTATCTAATATTTTAACTAGATTACTTTTTCCGCGCGATATTAAAAAAATATGTGGTCTATACCTGACTGTGTTGTACATATGTGCTAAAATTTATTGAGATCTGATAAGTTCTTTTGAATATATAAAATAAACATTTGTCTATCAAAACATTCCCATTTAAATTATTAGTATGAATCAATATGAATGATAGATTATTCTGAAGAAAGAAAACTACATCCACATAAAATGGTATAACAAAATTATGATGTTTTTAGGTTATTGTACTTTCATACAATTAAATGAATGTGAAAGTTTAGATGGATGGATCAATGTTTTTTATTTTGCAACCAAAATGACTGAACAGATCTGGATGAAATTGGCATAGAAGTAAAACATAGTGTGGAATCCACTTTCTTTTGTTTTTTTTTTAAATACCACATGAATGGAGTCACCGGCAACAGCTAGTATTAATATGGTATTTAATTTCAGGGTAACAAAGGTGCAGTTAGTGTGAGATTCAATATCTATGGTTGTTCAGTGTGCCTTGTGAACTGTCATCTTACAGCACATGAACATTTACATCACCATCGTGTTACTGACTACAATACTATAGTAAATACCCACACATACCATGTTAGTGAAACTACCCACATATTGTACCATGAGTGAGTATTTTAAAATGTTAATTTTAGCTTTTATAAGTTAAGGAGAACTATCATACTGCATACTAATATTATAAATGTGAAAGTTTAAATAGATGGATGTTTGTTAGAGTTTGTAACCTAAACAGCTGAACGGATTTCGATGAAATTTAATATAGATATAAAGGGTAGTCTGGAAGAACACATCTCACTTTCGTTTTTTTTAATTCCAAGCGAATGGAGTCGCGGGCGAAAGCTAGTTGTCTAAAAAATAATGGCACCAAGTTCGGTGTATTTAACAAATGCATTTAAATCCCCTTAAGAACATCAACTTTTCAATTTATTTAACTTGTACATTTGCTTCAAATAGTAAGTTTTTGTCAATAGTGAAGACCAGCATAAATAATGGATAAAACCATGAGGTTGCCTCCATGCAGTGCATCCTTTGCTAATTAGATTATCAGACTATTTTAAATACTTACAATGAGATAGAACCGTTTTTTTTTGTTTGTATATAAAAGCATATTGTGGGATCATTTTATTTATATCTTAATATTGCAATGCATTAAGTTTTTATAGTGTCTAATCATTTCAACATCTTACATTGTTAGCATTGAATATATTTTATGTATTAAATTTAAAATACATGAAATCATAAAATTTATATAACACTATAATTGCTCGCGATTTCGCCCTCGTGAAATTAAAAAATAGTTACAATGTATCCTATATTACTCACTGATAACATAGCTTTTTAATGGTTAAAGTTTTTTTGAAATTGATCAAGTAGTTTTTGAGTTATTTAAATACATGTATACAAATCTTTTTCTCTATAATATTAATATAGATATCACATTTCAATAGAGTACAAATGTATACAAGCTGAATATTTTTAGCTATGTGTTCTTCATTGGTGATTTGAATTGCCGTCTTCACCATCCGCCAGAAGAAAGCCCTTCAGCGGAAGAAATAGTTGCTGCACTACAAGAGGTAGAAAAAGATAAATATGCAGCGCTACTGAAATATGACCAGTTGTATGGTTCTCAAGAGTTAGATGAAGCATTTGTTGAGTTGACAGAACCCGAGATAAGATTCCCACCGACCTACAAATTTATAATAGGCACCGATGATTATGATCTCAAGTAAGTAAATCTTACTATTATTATGAATGCGATAGTTTAGATGGATGGATGATTACAGATTGCAACTAACTTTTGTGTCTTATTTCTTAAATGGATCTTGATGAAATTTGGCATAGATGTTGAGTTTATTCTGGAAGGACACATAGGCTACTTGTTTTTTTTTTCAATTCCACTGATAATTACATTAAATAATTATTGCCCCTCTGTGATTATTAGAGTACTTTTTTGAAATTGAGAAGAATTGTTATTTAAAAAAATCCCAATTCCATGACATGGTTTCCATTTAAAGTGAACTGACATTGCGGTTTTCCTAATAAAATTCTACGTACATAGTTATGTGACTAAACAAAATCACATTACGTGTGAAATACCTCTGACGTCAAACTAGAGCAGCTAAAGATATATCGATCTGTTGAATTGGTTAAAGTTATGGCTAATTGGCCGAGAAACACGTTTGAATTATTTTGGCCTACAAACTTTATTCAATTACACAGTAATAGAGTAAAATATTTATTAAATATTTTTCAATTACCGATCCCTTAGAATAGTAGATTGAGGACCGTATTCTGGAACGATATTTAAACAGTTCGCTTCGTAAGCGCTACTTACAATCAGATAGGCGTTGAAAATGAAATGGAATTAGGAGTTTATCTTATGCGTAGTCTCATCGTTTAAGACGCCGTTACATATTTAAATCTCGTTCCAGTATTCGGCCTATAGTTTCTGATGGTTGAGAGTTTAAAAGTGTTGAAAGGAGTTTCTTCTCTTATTGTATTATTATGTTGCAAACATTCCAGTTACTTGACTAGTATGCTTCTGTATTTTAAGGAGAAAACCATCATGGACGGACAGAATATTGTACAAAGTTGTACCAAATAATTACGAGAACATAACTCTGAGAGCGGATTGCATAAGTTACAATGACCTACCACATTATACCGTTAGTGACCATAAACCCGTGGTAGCACTGTATACCATCAAGGTCAGTACATACATTTTTTGATATGAGTGCATGTTGTCTAGATTTTTTACTAACATTAGTAGACATTTTGTGTTACGCTGTTGCTAACGAGCTCTAATTAGTCGGCATCATTTAATAGCTGTGTTCTATAACACATTTATGACTACGTTTCTTAGTACTTCGGAGATTCGTGTGAATGTTTTTTTTAAAGTTTGTTTTGTTACGACTATAATCGTTTCGTTAATATATCGCAGTCCGCGAGTAACTCCTAACGAAGCCAAGGCCCACATGATGCTAGAGATTTCATTAAGCGAGCACAGGTTACATAAGCTATTACGTCAATATTAACGCAATTTAACATACTTTTGTTGGTTATGTTTTGTAATTTTTAGAACATAATTAAATAGTTGTTAATTATAAAGGGAGACGATGGGGATATAAACCAGAAAGTGTTAAGATTGAATGTGGATAGCTACAAAGGTAGAAGACCGAAGAAAGTATGGATGGGTTGTGTGAATGAGGATATACTTAAGAAAGGAGTGGATTCAGATATCATGGCTGATGAGATGTATGGAAGAGCAGCACATACTGTGCCGACCCTTCATAAGGGATGAGGGGAAGTGGATAATGAGTTGTTAATGTTACTTAAAAAGATAATCAGTATCTTTATCTTAGCGTTGTTAGTGTTTATTAAAACTGTGTAACTCCAAAAGATTTTGGTTGCATTGCAAAGAATAATGTAATTTATTAGTGTATGAACGTAAAATAACATCTGACATAAATATACTAGGAAAACATTACTAGGTTAACGAGCCATATCGTCTCAGTTACTACGTAGATAATTAAAAAGATCTTATCTAGAAAAAACATTTGTAACGCATCTTACAATAACATCCTTAGTGAATTTACAAAACTTATGTGATTTTACATGCACTGCATATGCATGCTTTAGCACATGCTTTGCTAGCATGCATGTTAACCTATGCAAAGTATGTAGCAGCTTTAAACTAACATGCTAGGTTCAGAGGCTCTTCACTCGCTCCCTGATGGCTGATGTTCCAAGAGTAGCGCGTTCTATGATCAGAATGCGAACCGCTCTCGTCAAGCCTGCTGACACCCCTGATGATGAGGCGGGCACTAGCATAGATGCTCATGGAGTAGATGAAGATGGTGAAGATGTAGTTGATAATGTAGAAGGCGTATTTGTCCCAGAAGAGGTAAGTTTGCATGTTTTTGCCTTTCGGCCTCATTAGTTCGCCTTCGGTACACAGGTTGGAATGGAAACTAGGTGTTAATATCTGCACTGCAATTTTTAAGAATTCATGTGTTTTGTATTGAAAATGTGGAATGTAATGCTACGCTTTACTTTGATGTGTTTTTCTTGTTTTGCATTGAAAGTGCGGTTTTTATGATTATATCGTTTTGTTGCAATAAAAATTGTATTAACATCATTCGTTACTGTAATAATTACTTCGTATATGTTGTTGTTTCCTTATAAAAATTAACACTTTCAATTTTAATGTTATGTTAAAATATTTAGGTAATCATGTTTGAGAGATCCCTATAGTAGCTTTGGACCGAGATACAGGCCGCGTGGAATTAAAAAAAAATAAATAGCACGTGTTCCTTCAGACTCACCTCTACATCTATGCTAAATCTTAACAAATACCTATCCATCCATTTATAGTATTAGTAAGATATTCTTGGCAGCATAAAATATACAATTGTGTTGTATTCAGTACGTAATTGCTGATATCGTGATATTTCTGTGTTTCTAGCTTGTTGTGGGGTTTCAATACTGTCCCCATTGCAATGCATTGACAATGCAATGGAAGGATTCTAACAGATTTAATTACCTGACTAACCTAATTCTTTTGTTAGTATTTTATCATAATAGAATTAAATAGGATATTTTAATACTAAAAGAAATACGCGTAGAAAATATACAGCGTTATAAGACAAAAATTTATGAAAATTAGTCACAGATGGCAAAAGGGTTCAGCTTAAGAGATACTGGTTGGTTGATGTTACATCTTTTAACATTCGATATCAAAAATCATTTTTACTGCACAATGATTGCAAATATCAAATGTTGTAAAATGTCCAACTGAGATAAATCTGACAGATTTGTTGTTTTTGCCTATGAGATTGGAACTTTTGCATTATTGTTGGGAATGTAATATATTGGTTTGAGTTTATAACAAGTTTTCCCTAGTATCGACCAACGTGATAATCTTTCCGATAAGGCGATAAATGTACGATAAACTCAAGTTATTCAGCTGTAGCTGATACTGTGTAATTAAATACTTCGTGATATACCTAATTTCATAATATTACAAACATATTTTTACTAAACCGCGGGCCAACATGACTAACCTAGTCACCCAAACTTAAGGAAGGCTCCGAGTCTTGGTGGGGACGTATTTTACTTACTACCTACTACAAACCTTTAAATATTATAGTATAGTGCTATTCAATCTTTATGTATGCTCGGAATATTGTATGAAGCGTTCATGGAATACGGTATATAGAGATGTAGGGAAGAAACAGTCTTGTTCGAGCGTTCTTCTAAACGCAGTGTAATCTGGCAAAAACCACGAGCATCTATTAATTTTGAATCTTGTAATACATTTCATTAAATTAAACTTTTATCATACTCCATACTTAATATTATAAATGCGAAAGTTAAGATGGATGGATGGATGGTTTGTTAGAGTTTGCAGCCTAAACGGATTTCTTTGATATTTAGTTTGAATGTAGAGGATAGTCTGGAAGAACACATAAGCTACTCACTTTTTTTTTTATAATACCACGCGGACAGAATCGCAGGCAAAAGTTAGTATTTAATAATGAATTGACACATCCATGGGGATTAATTTTGGCAACATTTCTCGATCTATAATAAGTATGGAAACATTAAGTGTAGAAACATTTTTTATTCATAATAGTTATCTTCAGTTCTGAAGTGAAAGTTTAAAAGTGCGTATTAATACCTTAGTCCTTGATTGTTCACAATCTTAAAATGTACTTAAAATACCGAGATCTTAAACAAGATTGTAGAAATAAGGAGAAAACGAAAAAAAGAAGCAATTATCGGACATTTGATATTAATATGCAAATAAAAGATTCTGCTCATCATTGTATTTAGAATTCTACCCTTTCAATATTTCATTAATCCAACCTTTCAACTACTCGTTCAAGTACACAACTGGCTACTCGACTGATTTCTTGACCGTCTAGTCGACCAACTCAATCTCAACACGAAAACAGTAAATTGCAATAATTTCATACATTGCGCGTTTTTATTCTTGCAGGTGATGGCAAACTATACAGAGAAGACGGTGGAATTCGCACCAGTGGTTAGAATCTGGTACATCGGGGACGCGGACTTCAGGACGCATTGCACTTTGTCACCCGACGTTGAAATAAACCCCAACGACTGGATCGGAATTTACGATGTAAGTTAAAACTACACCATCCATATAAATACTATCACAGAATCCTTAACCAAACGATATTTCAAGTCAAAATTTGTACTGTCGCGGAAATCTGTGGTGTTCCGCTTCAGGAAAAAATGCCTTGTTTATTATAACGAGACAAACTCCGTCTTTTCCTACAAATAACTAATTAGATAGCAGTGAATGGTGAAAAGGGTTAATAATAAAAAGAAACTAGACGTGTATCACTAAGCGACTTTTTTTTCGTTCAGATACTTAAAAGACGCATTTTATTGGTTTTGAGTTCCTCGTCTCGTTTGAAAATGTTCAAACGATTTTTTTTATAATACATTAAAAAAAAAAACAATTGCAGCTCGCTCGTTTGCTCGTTTGCCACCTTATAAGGTGGCCACCTGAATCCACCGAAATGAAAAGCGACCGCTGCCCATAAACATCCGCAATTGCAGATGCGTTGCGTCTTCTTAACTGACGGAGGAGGAGACGCACATAAAGAGAACATTTTGCCTTCCTATGCGTCTCCTCCACCGTCAAATCCACTACTTTCAAGTAACTCTATTATAAAGCTGTAAAATCTTGTTAGTACAATTCTACGGCTTATTAATTGAATTAGGTTAATATATGCTTAATGTTAGTTAATTAGATCGTTCTAGATCTAATATCGAGGTCAAGGAATGCACGTTAATGCATGTTAGTAGAGCATTATTATAAGAATTGGCGATAAGCGGATTCGTACCCTTTATTGATAAAACAACCGAAAAGAGTATCATATGTAAGTCCCATAAAATAATATAACTTTCTTCGGATGGGTCAAACATCAATAGTTAAACCTTTTTGTATATCTGTAAACCAAATGAGGAATTGAAAAGCGAAGACTGGCTGTCCTGGCTAATTTTTGTAAACGTTTTCTCAATCTTCTATTTATCAATAACTAGTTGTTGCTCGCGACTTCGCCCGCGTGAAATTAAAATACCTACATTAAAAATGTAACCTATGTTACTCAGTGATAACGTGGTTTTTTAGTGGTGCGGGAATTTTTTAAATCGGCCCAGTAATTTTCGAATTATTGCAATACATACAAAAATACAAATCTTTCCTCTTTATAACATAGTATAGATATAATACAGTATTTACTACTATGATTGAAACATTGTGCATTTTAAAAACATGTTATTTTAGAAGCTGGCAAAATTTAACGCAATTCAACATAACCGGAAATGTTACTATGTGCGATAAAAGTAGTTTTCCTGATTTTTATCAATTCTGAGAACTGATAACTTTAATTTAAAATGATAAGTTACAAGCATTTTTACGAACCGGAAATAACAATCTAATTCGTGGAATATCTTTATATTGAGGATTTCTTTTTAAAATCGATAGCCAGACCTATATTTACTGTTTAAGATAAATATATATAGATTAGCTAAAAAATATAGTCTCTATGTTGTTTTATTATTTGCAAAAATACACTACACTAGTTAATTGAAATAAAATGATTGTCCAAATACCAAATTTCATCTTATTAGGTTTATGCCTCTGCCCACTATCATGTAAGGCTAGTCTATTAAGTGGAAACTTGGTCTTAGAACCATTATCGAAAGCCACTCTACAGGTGATTCTTTATGGTCGGATCACAAGCTTTGTGGAGGTAGAGGATGTCAATTTCTATAGTTTAAACTCGAAGTATGTTGCCCTATTTTCTATGGTTAGTTAATTTATTGTAAAAAATGTGTTTTTTACGATTTTAAAGCTATAAAAATCGGGTAAGATAGTATGCGCTTAAACGATAGCTACGGAAGTCTTTTTGCTTCCATGAAGCTTGTGATCCGTCCGTTTAGGATCACTCTGTATAGACATTTCTTCAAGTTTTAATGTTCTAGAATAAGAATATATTTATTGCACACTAATGATAACTATATTAATGTTGCCTTGGTTTCTTAACTAGGATTCCTGTGTTTAAGAAGCCAAGGACTTCCCTTACAAAATGATACATTAATGTTTACTGTTCGTTTTGCATTTTCAGGCTGATTTCCATAATTTAGACGATTACATCGCATACGAATATTTAGCTAAAGTATCGTTGGCACACGATTCTCCGGAGAGCGGACACCCGCGTACGATCACGCTGAGCTTCCCCGTGGGCAGCGGCGTGCGCACGCCCGGCTTCTACAGGTTCATATACTTCAGCCAGCCTAATAATGAAGTCAGGAGTGTCCTCGGTGAGTTGATATAAGTGTTTTATGATCGAAAATGTAATCTATCTATCCTATTATAATAAAGCGTAAACACACACTTCTTTGTTGCCTAAGATGTCAGCAATTACAGCATATTTTTGAATAATTATTTTCTTAATAAAATCCTCACACTTACGTTACGCTTTAGGCTATATATTTTGACGATATTAAACTTAGGGGGTAAATATTTTGGATAAAAACCCTAATGTGGGAAAGAGACCGTAAGTTGCTGCCAACATCAAGGAAGCAAGATTGCCAAGATTTGTCATGTCGCCATTTTGACATTTGTTATTGATAATTTGACAAATGTGAACAATAAAATGAAATTTTCATAATTTCGTACGGATGAAGCCGCACGGGAACAGCTAGTTCTTAATATAGTAAAATTTATTTAAAAAGTAAAGCATAAAAAATAGTGATAATTGTAAAGACAACAAGGTTAGGCAATTTATAGTCTAAAGCGTGTCTCAGTTATAGGGCTTTTTATTAAAAAAGCAATTATTCAAAATTGTACTGTGATTGCTGACATTACTATATAGTGTGTGTTTACGCTTTATCATCTTAGGAGAGATATAGATTATTGTAGTGAAAAATTAAGATATTTATGATGTCATGCGAATCGCACGTAAACAGCTAGTCTATACTGTTAGGAACAATATTAGTACCGTGCTGTAGAGTTGGCGCAACTCTAGATTATCGACATAAACGTCACGTCCCTAGCTGACAGCTGTCAATGTCACTAGAAGTATGGATAGATTGGCGCGTAACTTGAGTCTTGACGAGAAGTATTGCTCTGAGTTAAAAGCGATAGTATCAATTAAATAAGTTGTCTAATAATACTAATGTTATAAAGAAAAAAAAAATGTATTTTTGTACTTATTGAAATGACTCAAAAACCACTGGAACACTTTATTCTAACAATAACATAGTAACAAAAGTAACATAGGCCACTTTTTTTATTATTTTTTTAATATCCCGGAACGAAGTTGCGAGTAACAACTAGTATTATTTAAAACTTAACACATTCTCACAAACCCTTCAGGTATATCGGATCCTTTCGAGGTGTGCAGCAAAGAGGATGCCCTGGTGAGTATCGACCCTTGCGAGCAACCTTCCACCAGCTCCGAGAAGCCGAGCTCCGCCACCACCGACTTGTTCACCGACTTCACCGGCCTCGACGTCGCCAAGCTCTCGCGCCACTTCTCCAACGACCTCAGCATCGACTGACTAAAGACGTACCTTCCCAGCTCGCCCGCTAGGAAGAAACTCTAAAAGGTAATCTAAGTGTAAATGTCTCTTTTCTAGCCCCTTCACTTTTACCGCGTAAAATTACTATATACTAAGGGCCAGTCCTACCAAATTGTAAATTGTTTGATAACAATTGAACGTGTAAACAACAAAATGACGTAATTTTTAAGCTATCTGGGCTTCTATCAGCCAGTGGTGGGACAAGCCCTAAAAGTCTTTTTTAGCTGTCGCTTTAATTTATCCGCGTAAAATTTCTATGCTAAAAACTACTGGACCAATTTAAAAAATAATTGAACCATTAAGAATTTATATAATCAGAGTGACATAAGCTATATTTTTTCTACGCTGGCAAAGTCGCGTGAAACAGCTATTAAAAATGCAGCCTATGTTACAGGTAACGTAGCTTCTTAATGGTGTAAAATTGAAATCGGCCCAGTAGTTTTTGAGTTATTTCAATACATACAAAATACAAATCTTAACTCTTTATAATATTAGTATAGATATTGAATAGTTGCTGAATGTTAAGGCGGGAATACACATGCCAGCTAGCACACTTGCAAGCTACTGGCATGTTTATTCTTATAATATAGCTGGCATTCAAGTTGACTCGAAGAGTGAATTAAATTTAACAATGACATACCTCGTCTAGTACGGTCTAGTGAACTGGCATGCAAGTTACTATTCCATTTATTGTCATGTGTATTCCCGCCCTTATTTGTTAATCATCGGTCTTTGTTATTCCACTGAAAATGTATTTTAAACATAGTTAATTCCTGACACATTGTATATTCTACTTTATACTGACAGTATAAAGTTCATTTTTGCTTGCATCTGAGATTACAAATAGCAATTTCGCTACATCCAAGTTAGACATTTTATAGATTTTATGTACTTATTTAATGTAACATTTAGTTAATTTTGGTCATTAAATATAAATCAATGCAATAATGAACTTTATAGTTATATACATAAGTATTATATTTAATAAGAATATTTAGAACTGACAATGATGAGCATTTAGACGGATGTAGCAAATATACAGTACATTAGAGGGGTCAAAGAACGGTTAGGATTGAGTTAAATGGAGTGAATGAGTCGAAACTATACTCACTCAATCATTCACTCATTCGTTCACACGCAGTTCAAATGAACGTTGTCTTTAGGAGTGTACCATGGCTTTTAGACAATAATAATGTAGGAACATTTTAATAAAATTACAATAAGATTATTTCAGTGATGTAATAGTACAATTAATAATAGGTTGAAAGTTATTGTACAATTAATGTTGTTTATTTTCCTTTGACATTCGTTTATAAGTCTTTTTAAATTACGTGATAGCTAAGTTTTTTATATTGTTTTCAATTTTTTTTAGTATGAGAAATACCACAAAAAATCCATTGTAAGAAAATTATTCACAATTAGAAAAAAAACATCTTTTGTTATGAAAATATTTGTATAAAATCTTAGTTTTAAGTATATAAATTGCAATATCTTTGCAGTAATATCTGTACAAAAACATAGCTATTTCACTCACATGTTAAGTATAGCAATAGAATTATATAATCTATATCTATACTGTTATAATAAAGCGTAAACACACACTTCTTTATTGCCTAAGATGTCAGCAATCACAGCATATTTTTGAATAGTACTTTTTTAAATAAATAGCCCTACACTTACGTCACGCTTTAGGCTATACATTTTCACGCCATTAAACTTAGGGGTAAATATTTTGGATAAAAACCTTAATGTGGGAAAGAGACCATAAGTTGCTGCCAACATCAAGGAAGCAAGATAGCCAAGGACATGTCATGTCAATTTGACATTTGCTATTGATAATTTGACAAATGTAAACAAAAAAAATTTCATGCGGATAAAGCCGCATTGGAACAGCTAGTCTTAAAATAAACAAGGAAGTGATTTAATACTTAATAAATGTTTGTTCCAATATTTATGTCACAAATTATATTACATAAGATAATTACATGTAGTTAAATTCCGACATTTTGAAAATTAAAATATTGCTTCATTAAATTTCTATATTGTAGAGTTTCACAAAAAATCACAATTATTTAAAATATTTGTAACAAAACATGGTTAGAACTAGTTACTTAAATATGACAATATTTTTTTTTCTTATATTTAAATATGTAACAATAAAACTGTATGTGTTTTTAGCTTGCCTAACTTAAATTTATATAGGTAGTGAAATTTATTACTATGTACCCAGAAATGTATATAGACATTTTGCGGATAAATCTTAAAATAATTGCTAATGGAGGCGAATGAGGCGCCCTCATCAGTGTTTCTATTTTCCTGGTTTCTGGTACATTAGTAGGAAAATGTAGAATATAGTTGTACTAATATCTTTTCTAGCTATGTAGAAACTGTTAAAATAAAGATTGTACATTTGTTACCAAACATTGCCATATTTTAAGTTGTTGGTCAGAATGTTCAATTTATTTTTAAAGAAATACTAAAGACCGTAATACATTTTACTTTCGGTATCATTCTTATTTGGTATTTTACAAAAATTATAATTTTGAAATTCTAGTTAAATTAACGACATCTTTCGGCCAAACATAGCACGTGATTAGTTTCAGATTTAAATAATAGATGTCGCTATAAGATTGTTTTTAACTTTCGTAGGGAATTATAGATGGCGTTATTTTAACGTAACTATCGAGATGAAAATAAAGTTTTATAAAAACAGTTCTTTTTTTAGGAGCGGATTTTACTTTATAAGGACGATCTTAGTTAAAATAAAAAATTGACAAAAGAAAATTCTTTTTCAGAACGTCACATATTTTTGAATACAATTGTATGTGATTGCAATAAATATTGGTAAGACAGCATAGTATGTTTTATGACGCATATTTCTTACGATGTTTTTAATAAAATTCATATTTTTTATGCATCTTATTGCATTGAAATAAAGTTCAAAATATTTTAACATATCGTTAGTTATACGTTACATTGCTAAAACCTGCGTTGTTTGTGTATGTCGAAAATTAGCAGCACCCATGTCAGTGTTTTGTATGACAACATAATGTTTAACAAACAAAACGTGATTGTTTAAAAAAATATGTTTGAATTAAAAAATAGTGTTACTCTAAATTCAACCATATTTGTTTACGACGTAAGGTTGCTTTTGATAAACCATAAATTGAAGAAAATGATTGGTTTATTCACAGATTTAACAAACATACAAATAATTCAGTCATAGGTTTGGGAAGTAAGAAAAGAAACTTTTTTTTAACTTCTCCGAAAGTAAATAATGACGCTATTTAACTGACATTGGTGGTTATTTAATTTACGATTCGATAATATCGAAGAATTTACGACTCAATTACTGACAAGCTAAGGCTCAAAATTGGCTCATTGTTTCGACAATAAGAGTGGATTGGCTCAAAGTTTATAGACATTTTTGAAAAGTTTAACGAAAGAGAAAAACTATGCGAGTAGTTTTCTCTACGTATATGTATTATGTACGTACATGCTTTATACGCGATAAAGAATTATTACAAGTATTAGTTATTTAACATAATAACGTTACAAATAAAAAGGCCTAAAAATAAGTTACTGTTTTTATATAATTAATTGATTAAAGTCAAAAAAAAAACTATATTTTTATTTCTAGTATTTTATAGAAAGTAAACCGGTTACAGTAACATCAATGAGACCGTCAATAATTGTAATAAGCGATATTCTATTTAAAAGCAATTGCATTCAGTCAGGATCAAAAGTTTTGGTCGCCGTATGTTTTGTGTGTTTTCTATTGCAGCCGTGAGAGGTTATTTCTTAAATCAATCAGACATTACAAACTTATACAACTCATAAATACCACCGATTGAACGACAATTTGTAACTTCGTATTGTATATTTTTGTAGAAAACTGCAGCAGTATGTACATATTTAGCTTTATTATAAGTACTTAATGAATTTAATATATAAAAAAGTTATATAGGATTATTTCAAAACACCTTATGTAATAAATAATGTTTATTCAAGTTAAAATATGTTTTGTTATACAGTACCTATGTAGCTTGCCAAATGTTTACTTCTATGTCTGACATTTTAAACTCTAGTAGTAAAGTTTAGTATGCTTCATGTAGTAGAATGTTCCCTCTAAAATCTATGAAAAAATGACGTAGGTACGTTACGTATGTTGTAACCACTATATAAATAAATGCAGCAAGGCTTAGCTACAAGTTTACAATAATGCATATTATATCATATATTATATCAATGTTCATCATATATTTATTACTCGTTCGTAAAATTTATCATTCCTATAATCTTAATTTCTAATTTACTATACGAGATTGCTTGTAATGTTTTGCATTTTCGGTTACGGGCATGTTGTAGAGTTTAGTACAAATGATAAATGTAATCAATGTCACAACAGTTGTGTTACGATAATAAAGTCTATTTAGTTGAATTTGTTGTTTTATTTTTAAACACGTGCCATTCCAACTGCATGACGTGACGTGACGTAGTCGAGGCCGACTGTGGAGAATATCGTACGCGGCGATGAGTAAAGCGATGCCGCGATAAGGGATACGTGAAACTGAGTGATGTTTATCGGCGGAGTGCGGAGTGCGGCCGCGTAGCGCGTAGCGTTATCGGGAAAGCGCGGGAAAAGCGGCCGCCGAGCTCAGTAGGCCCGCGTACGCCGACCGATATGGACGCCACGACGCGCGCGCTCGTTCTCACTCTAACCGCGCTCGCGATCGTCGCGCGCGCCCACCTGCCGTCCCACGACAACATACTCAGAGTCCAGCTGTGGGACGCCGAAGGTCTCAGCCGGGACCCCGTGCCCCCGCGGATCTCGGAGTCCGCACTCAACCATCGCAAGCTCAAAGTCAACGTTAACTCTCTGTACGATGCCATGATGAAGGAGTCGGAGCATGGAGCGGAGAGGTTCGCTCGGCACAAAGTCCGACACAAGAGGCGGCGGCCGCGCCAGAGCGGCACCGACCTGCCCTGGAGGTTCCACTCGGGCGCAGGCTCGCTCAACGTAGCCGCCTTCGATGACGCCGTGCCCTGGGATGTGATCGAGGGAGGTGGCGGCGGGGACTCGGGCAACGCGAGTGCAGTGATTTCCGCGAGTGTTGCGAGTAGCGCGGGTGCCGCGGGTGCCGGCAGCGGGCCGGAGAGCTCGCCGCGAGACGTGTCGCCGCCCATGACACTGCGCCAGGACGAGGAGGTAATGAGCGAGGGCAAACAGCCGGCGTAGACAATGCGGCCGCCTTTCAACGCCATCGCCGCCAAGGGGCTGCCGATATTCACTTAATGAGCCGGCGGCGCTCAGGAGCCTCTAGCACCTATTCACCACTTCCTTTGATTCCGCACCCTCGGGCGGCGATGCGCTGATAAAGTGAATGCCCTCCATTGTTTTTAAAATATGTTTTCTCGCTGAATGTCGATGTTATCGCGCCGGGCGGCCTCGAAATGAAGTAAAGTGTTTAAGGGGAGATTGGCTCGCAGTCGGTAATCGGGAGATATGTCGCTGATAGCGGCCGCTGCACTTCGCGTTTCCTCGACCACTCATTATTTAAATACAATAACAGAGTGTTGATAATGAAAACGTATCGAGTCGGAATTTTGTTTTCAGAAGTATGTGTATGGAATTTCTGATAACATATTTTATCTTATAAAACGTTTCGTGGCCGCCAATCCGGATCGTATTGCAGTAGGATGATAATTGTAAAAGTGATTTGCGACGCTTCTAGCTATTATGTTATTTTTTATTTACTTGTAAGCATTTAAACAACTGATATTAACTTGATGTGATGTTATCAACCTTCATGTACTGCATCTCATAAAGTGTATTATTATCATTATTGCGAATATTTTTTACCGTGGTATGGCTGTGGAATGGACTGAAGTAATTAACTTCTTAGGCTTTTAAGATGTAATCTTTTAATAGTGTTTGGTGTACGTTGTAAACTTATAGATATAATTGTTAATGTAGGCATGTATGAGAATCTATTTTCAATATATAAATTCGAAACATATAAAGGAATTTCATTTAGTTTGTTGTACGGCGTTTCTGCAGCGATCCATTGTTGCCGCCCCCCGGCCCTACACTTTGTAGGGGGCCCTTTACATACCCGGAATTTAACATCCGACCTTTCACATATATTGTTAACCTTTTGCGAAACTGGTTGGGGTTCGACTGTAGGGCCAGTTCTACATTGCTGATTTATTTCATTCAATGGATTTTCGGGACCGTATTCAATATTTGAATGGATTTTGTATAGATACAAAATCTACTTTAATTTGGTTCCCTTTTAAAGTAAAATTTGAAAGTCCCATATCCGAATACTTAAAAAGATAAATATATGACAATTCCACAAACATAACCAAGTATAAATACAAGAAATTAAAGTTAAAAACTATATAGACATAACGTTAATATTGTTGATGGGAGCTAATTCAAAGTAGTAATTAATTTTAAAAGAAAGCAAGTATAGAGTAACATTTCTAAATCTCTGCGAAGCATTAGGATTAAATGACCTTACACTTAAATTGGACAAGTTCAGATCTTAAAGTCGACAGAACCAATTTCTTAAAAACACAATATTCTAAGTTCACAAACAGTTTTCAGTTAGACAAATACATTCACGTATAAATATCAAGCAACAAAAATGAAATATCGAAAGCTACTAAAATGAAATATTGGCAGCTTATATGATAGTCAATTAAGGGGTCTAAATGCATTTCGCGCTATCCATTCGCTAGGTGTGACCACCGTCAACGCCCGCCGCCCGCAGTGCTCCGCCGATCAACCGGAAATTAGGCGCAAATCAATAATTTCCCTTCGCAACACTGTCCACTGATCAACACGTTAATGCCGTCTGATGGATACTCCGATGTCTGTGTACATGTTAAATTAAACACTATTAAATCCAAATTCCTATCAAAACTAATCTAATTCGTATAATCATACTAATATTATAAATGCGAAAGTTTAGATGGATGTTTGTTAGAGTATGTTGCCTAGACGGCTGAACGGATTTCGATGAAATTTGGCATAGATGTAGATGATATTCTGGAAGTACACTTAGGCTATTTACTTTTGTTTCTTTAATTACTACGATGACGAAGTCGCGGGCCAAAGCTAGGTAAATCGTAAAGTGAGATTGCAATTGTGGTTAACAAATTCTTACAATACTGAATGGATTTCAATATCTCCATTTGAAACTAATAATATTCAAAAGTTACACAGATGTTGCGATACAATTATGAGTATGAACTCAGATATGAACAGTTGAAAACATTAATAGAAATGATTTCAGAAACTTAAATAGATAGTTCATCAACGTACAAATATATTTCGAGACACATGTAATGTTATAGCTGTCACCTCAGAAATGAAGTGGGTTGAGTATTACTAATAAATAATTATCTATACATATAATAAAATTGGAGTGTCTGTTTGTAATATCAAAAGAAAAATTCCAGATTTCGGGAATATGATGTAATTGCGTTGCTGATAACGAACATCGCATTTAATTTTTTTGTCTGTCTGTCCGCAAGCCGCGTTTATTCCGGGATAGTTTCAACAAGTTATTAAAAACATGACTTCATCGGTAAACACTAATAATATCCCACTTCTGTTTACATACAGAGGTCGACACAACACTAAACACTATTGTTTCTGTTGTTTACAAAACTTTTAAAAACAATAATATTGTTATTAGTGTATTTATTATCATAATGATAACAATCTTATTGTGGAGTCAACAAAAATAAACACTAAACAATTATTTTTTGCACACCCATCCTATGAGATAATTGTTGTCGAAGGCAGAATGACTTTAGCCAGCGTAAATCGTTTCCTTCCTTCATACGTAATTAAAATCAATAGTCTTTAGCGCTATTTATAAATATTTATCATGTTAAGTCAATAGAAATATCAACGGCCACATATTCAACTTTTATATTCAAGAAAATATCATAAACAGACATTACTACGATAAACAAAAAGTATGCGTATTATTAATTACGTGAGAAATTACTAAATCTTTGACACTCGATTCAAGGTTGCTTAGACCTCATATACTAACTCAACACGACCCAAAGCTATTTTAATATTATAAAGAGGAAAGATTTCTATATATTGAAATAACTCAAAAATTACTGGGTCGATAACAAAAATTCTTTCATCATTAAAAAACTACGTTATCTAAGTAACACTGAGTAACTTAATATTTTTTGTTATTTTTTAATTTCACGCGGGCGAAGTCGCGAGCAACAGCTAGTTGTTATTAAATAATTACGTATTTATTCATACTAATAGAAAATTATTAGTTCATATCTACATATTAAAAAATAATTATACATAGTACATATACTAAATCTTCACCTATTCGGTCGTAACGACAAACTAAAAAGTTTTTTTATTTTATTTTATTTAAAAATATAAAGCAAATATTTCGTAGTCATAGATACATTTACCTCTGAGTACTAAAATAAGATAAAAAGTCATCAAGTATTTTTTAACAAAAATTAAAGTTTTTTAATACGATAAAATTTGGAATAAAAATTCGCAAGAGGAAAACGTCTACAACCCCCAAAGGACTAATAGCGTTACCGTAACATGTAATAAAATATTCATGAGTTTTATTATACGTGTACTTCGACAGTTTAGATAAAAATCTATATTTAATATTACGGAATAATTGTCGTTCATTGTTAGAAATTTATAAAGAATAAGCTTTCGCCCGTGACTGCGTCCGCGTGGAATTAAAAAAGTACATAAGTAAATAGCCTATGTGTCCTTCCAGACTATCCTTTACATCTATGCCAAATTTCATCGAAATCCGTTCAGCAGTTTAGGCTATAAACTCTAACAAACATCCATCCATCTAAACTCTCGCATTAATAAGATTATCTTACTATGCTTACTAATATTATAAATGCCAAAGTTTAGATGGATGTATGTTTGTTAGAGTTTATAGCCTAAACTGCTGAACGGATCTCGATTAAATTTGGCACAGATGTAGATAATCTGGAAGAACACATAGGTTACTCATTTTTGTTCTTTTTTAACCCCACGCGGATGGAGTCGCGGGCGAAAGCTAAAATATAAATAGTTTTAATGCAATTTTTCACGTTAAATTGTATCAAACACATCCGTTCACGTTAAAAGGGGTACAAAGTCCACGTACTAATGATTAATTAGTTTGTTAGAGATTAACATCAACTATTAACTGCGGTCGAAACCATACATTTAACGTTAAAAGATTAGTGTAACACAATCCGTCCTCATTTGGGCGGTTGGTAATTAAATTACGTTCGTACAAACTATATGCACACATAATATGATCACTACCGTACTAATGAACATTGTCGGTATTTCAATTAAGCTTGAAATAACCCGTGAATCAGTGACGTCACCCGTGACGTACCCGTATACGCTGAAAAGGTTTACGCTTGCCGCTTGTCACAGATTGGGCGGAATTTCGACGTAATTATGTTAGTGCGATTACATTGTGGTATTCATTTTAGGTTATAATGCGGGTTTGTTATGTAACGAATAAATCTGTATCTATTTCATAAAATCAGATTAATTAAATAAAAGGAATTGAAGAAATAAATATGAATAAAATGACATCTAACTTTCTAGAAAGAATGAAAAAAAAACACTAGACGTAACAATAAGCGAGAATTCTACAGTCCGGCAAAAATTAAAAATATTATTAACGTTAAGTTATTGATATAAAAAATGATTTCGTTTAAGTGCAGAGTAACGTAATAAGTGGCGGAGGCCATATTTAATTAAAGAACAAATGAAAACACGGCGGTAAATGAGTGGATTTATGGCCGTATATTTCGGGTAATAACAAGACAAAAGACGGCTACTAAAGCTTTTGAATTAAATTGCAGCAGTCCATAACCACAGCTGTAACACGCAACCACATTTCTAATTAATAATTAAAGCAATAAAGGGACTCAGACTCTAACACCCTAATTTATTAATACTACGACGCAACTATGGCATGTTAGGTGCGGTTATTATTTCTGTTTTACTATTTTCTGTCGTTAAACTATAACTTCTGATAACAAAATGTTATACACATGCTAAAAGAATGCTATGCAGCTATGCTTCAGATTTTAACCGTAACTATTGATTTTAGAGTGTCTTTTACTGTAAACCAGTGATTCTCAAAGTGGTCCAGATGAACCCCCTGGGGCAAC